CCGATTGCCAGTTCCGAAATCATCGTCTATCTCTCGCTTCAGTGGGATAAATATTTGAAACAGACTCGGACTTTCCTTAAAACGAGAGAAGTACTGGCATTGAATCTCGACTATCTATTAAACATTCCATAATTTTCATTTGTTCAGTTTTCACATTTTGAATCGAGAACTTTGTCAAAATATTTTTAATGTGTAGTCTGGTAGGCAAGTCGCCAGTTTTAAACTAGTGCCATGAAGCTCGAGAAAGCTGCTTTCTGATTGGCTAATGACGACTGCTGGTTAGTCATGTCATTGGGAGGTCAAAGTTCGCGAAAGCTTGGTCTGTGACCTGTACTGCCAGCAGATATTTGTGTGCCAGTGGCGAGGTGAGATCTGATTTTGATGAGATTGAGTACTTAATTACTGACACACAACACTGACATCTTCTAAGTGGCGACAGGCGAGCTGGCACCATCCCCTGTAGGTACCCTGATGTAGGTCCGCCTCGCTCCAAGTGTAGTTGACCACATTCAGCAGTATTGGACCCTGTCCTTGGCCGTAGTGTGCAAGTTCTTTGTGCACTGCGTTTGCTCTACAATACAGAATGCAGTCAGAGAGTAATCTTATGTTTAGGTTGATTGATGTATACCATGCAGGAACCAACAATTCAAAGCATAAACAACAAGATTCTGTGTTAGAACCTGAGGACAAATTACTTCTTCACAAAATTCCAAGCCACCATAGGGAGTGAATGGAGTCGGATTGGGTTGAATCTATTATAAAACAACAACACTGGTTCAACAGACGGAACCATTTACACCCTCATAATAAAAAAAAGCGACAAAACTCTTTCCACAAGCATAAGCAATCTCAATGTAACATAATACATTGTACGATTCCGACTTAATCATAATTGGGTGAGTGAGTGAGTTGGGTTTAACGCCGCTTTTAACAGTATTCCAGATATAACGCGGCGTGTCAGCTTAATGTGGGAGGAAAGCCCGAAGTGATGCAGGTCTCAGACGTTTACCACTTCGGTGAAACCCACGAGCACGGGTATGGTGCTGACAAACCTAGATACATAATTGGGACGAACCTAGATTCTAACCCACAATCATAGGTTTCTGGCGTGCCCAAGGGACGCATCTCTGCACAGCGAATATTGCTGAATTCGGCGCTAAACAACGATTCCGACTATATCATAAGCATGTTTATGAATCACTATCACCAGGTGTTTGCGAAAAGGTGAGCGTATTCTACCTCACCGGTGGCACCTGTCACAAACACATGCAAAGGTAAGTCAATTGTTCATCTGAAATAACACGCGAACATGTGGTACAAATTCAAATTAAATCGGATATCATATTTGCCACTGATGCGTCAAATGTGGAAATGGCAAAGAAATGCTTGTGTTAATTGTTTGGTTTCTACAAAGAGTGAGTGAGTGAGTGTGGTTTTACGCCGCTTTTAGCAATATTCCAGCAATGTCACGGCGGGGGACACCTGAAACGGGCTTCACACATTGTACCCATGTCGGGAATCGAACCCGGGTTTCGGCGTGACGAGCGAACGCTTTAACCACTAGGCTACCCGACCGCCCCCGTAGTGGTGTGTCATAGATTATATTTGTTCATATTGTTCATATTGGGGCGAACCGGGATTCGAACCCACAATCACAGGTTTCTGGCGTGCCCAAGGGACGCAACTCTGCACAGCGAATCGCCACGCCTTAGACGACTGGGCCACCCGTGCCCCCGCAGACAACTTTAGCGTTGACATCAGCGTAATGGTCGTCACACACTGTCCCCCATGTTGACTGGTATTTTATCTCAAGAAGACCATAGTGTGGCCCTGGCACAAGTCGAACACTTTTGTCATCTGGCATCGTCGGTGTTCCTAAGGACCACAACAATAAGTTATTAATAAAACATCTAAGACGAATATTTTAACCCATATTATATACGTGAGTTAATTAAACAGCATCGGGCAATAAATGAACAATGCATACATCGTATTGTAGAAACCAAGATATGGGAACATGGATGAAAAGAACCCTGACCACCTCCCCTCTTCAAGCAAGACAATTTCGGAGAAACTGTAAACAATCTTTTTCTTAAGAATCGTTTCGTCACGATAAGGCTGAAATATTGCCGATGTGACGTTAAATTTCACTCACTCACTTTAAGAATCAACGTCCATGAAATTTAGAAATCAGCCATTATGTACCTGTTTTTCGGTATACCAATCCTGTGAAAACATTGTCAGAAGAGCAAGCAAGCTTCTCTTTCAACACTAAGAAGCTGTGAGTATGTTCGGCAAAGGAGAAGGCTGTGCAATCCAATGTTTTTATGCACAGAATACCACATTCAGCAGCATTCCTGGTTTGATTTTGTCGAAGAGGCGTCAAAGACACTTGCTGTACTCGTTCAAAACGCATGTTCGGACATTTTATCATGGCGGTCAACACTTCTGCAATCATAGGCGCCAACAATAAGAGGGACCAAAAGTACAATATATCCGGGTGAAACATTCCCCCCGTGTTAACCTATCGCCATCCCACATAAGTGCTGTTGAAGTCGAACAGGACAGAACAGAACAAGAGATCTACCGTTATCCTCCAATGGATATCACTGTCCATGACAGTGCCTCCATTTGAATGCATTCAGTAAATATCGATGAAGGCAGCGATGTAGTGCTCCATGTGTATTCGTATTGGATTATCCAGTTTAACCTACAATCTACATGGAGGTCCATTTGGATGGTCTATCATTTAGCTGCACAGAAAACAAACCGAAACGCTGACGAGAAATTCTTCATAATTTTAGCTGATTTAGACATTTATACGTCTGATTTTAGTAAAAAAACTTCCGGTTTCGGAAAACACATGCTGATTTATTAAAAGTTAAAACCAGAAAGTCTATTGGTTCAGGGTCATTTTTTAAAAGAACGTTATTAGTACGTCCAGTCTGGACCCTATCACTACAGGTTTCGGAATACGTATTTGTTCTGCATAATAACTTTGATTCTTCTTCAGTTTATTGAAAAATCATTAGTACTCCCAGTTCGTATCATGATGGTTCAAAAACACTTCTTGCTACGTTTGAACTTTATGACAGAAAGTACTTTTGTAACAAAATTATTAGTACATGTACAGCCGGTTTGGGGTTACCTCACTTTCGGTTAAAAAAAAATAAGTATGCTTAGACGGTGTTTTAAAAAAAAGGAATTGTCACAGAAAAAACATTGTTGCGAGATGGTTTAAAAAAGAAAGATTAAGGCTCATAGTCTCAACTTATAAAAAATATCTGGTTTTGCAGCTGCACCTGAAAGTATCAAGGCCCATGCAATATTTCAACAGTTTCCATACACATAAACAAATGGACAGGACTGGGTCACTAGTTATTGATAAAGAAAAACAGTGAAATGTGTATTTCATATTTCAACTTTGTACACCACTATCTCTAAGTGCCTCTCTCAAAGGAGAAACCACTATCTCACACAACAAACTTAAGGATAAAACCTAATTCTCGGATCCATGGGGCATTTGTCACTAAACGTGGTGACCCAAAGTATAGTTACGTCTCTATCTTCTTGGTTCATGGCAATTGAAAGCAAATGTCATCTGACGTTTGCTGAGAACATGATGTTTAATTCCTCATAGATAACATGTGAAATATGGGGATAGGGCAATTCGGAAAGAAATAGGAATCCCCACCAGCACCAGTTGTGCTCCCTCATTGTTGACTTGTTTGCCAAAGGGAATTTGGCCGAGACGTTTGAGTTATATGCTTCAGAAACATCGACTCGGATCTGATATCTTTCATAAAGCCAAATAACCATGCCCTTCTACTGATTGTTTTTTGTTTGTTTGTTGTTTAACGCCGCACTCGGCAATATTCCAGCTATATGACGGCGGTCTGTAAATAATCGAGTCTGGACCAGACAATCTAGTGATTGACATCATGAGCATCGATCCACGCAATTGAGATACGATGACATGCATCAACCAAGTTAGCGAGCCTGACCACCGGATCCCGTTAGTCGCCTTTTACGACAAGCATAGTCGCCTTTTACGGCAAGTATGGGTTGCTGAAGACCTATTCTACCCCGGATCTTCACGGGTCCACTCGTACCCGTTCCGTCTAGAGTACACATGTAATACAAACCTGATCAATATATATTCTTAAGGGAGCAGTGTAATATGTACGTAGGATTACAGAGAACTGATCCTTATAAGTGTGGGAAAGTAGTTCCACGGCTGTCTGGATATCTCATCTGGATATGTTTTTTATGTTGTTTGTTGTTTAACTCCGCATATGTTTAATTCCAGCTATATGATGGCGGTCTGTAAATAATCGAGTCTTGGCCAGACAATCAAGTGATTGACATCATGACCATCGATCCACGCAATTGTGATACGATGACATGCATCAACCAAGTCAGCGAGCCTGACCATCCGATCCCGTTAGTTGCCTCTTACGACAAGCATAGTCGCCTTTTAGGGAAAGCATGGTTTGCTGTCAAAGACCTAGTATATTGGTGCCACGTACTGTGTCATTACAAGTGCAGGTCTATAGACTCTCTGATTGTGCCAAGCGTGAAATGGAGAAAAACGCTTTAGCGCGTTACGTCTAGACAAAACTGTATAAATAAATCACGAATATATTTGGCTGAATTACTATTTTCGAAACTTGAATACTGCTACATTTTTGCACGAACTCAGCTCCATATTAAAACATGCCTTTCAGAATATTCATAACACAAATTATGACCTATCTGCAATTATCTCCATTTCTCTTTTGTGTGGGCACAAAACATCAACGACATGCTATATAACTATGCATTCAACTGATTTACGAACATATTCTCAATCAGAATACGTTATAATTGTGTATGATCGTTTACATGGCCAATAAGGTTTATTCGCGAGAACAATGTCCAATCGGAACTTCGTATGGAAACTTATGATATCCTGTACCAAACAAATTGTATAGCTTGTGACTGACGGAAACACACGATGAATTCCGAATGCTGCTGATGGACCGTCGAAGTTGAATCGCTGAGTGTTTTCGGCGATAACTGCATATATTTTCTCTCAGAAAGGTAATCATGTTGAAATATTTTTATTTCAAAGTTTTGTTTTGTTTTGTGCACCCATTTAATTTCAATATTTACCATATCGCACGAGGATTTTTGACATTTTGTCGTGACCCAATACTGAGTTCCTTGGTAGGGACGTATTTATCTCCCCTTGATCGTCAAAGGCGCTGTTCAATTACAACTCGGGTAGAGCGTGCTTAAAATGTGGTATAAGATTCTATCCTAATACTCTCACCGCTGGCTGCAGGGTTAAGAGTTTACCTCTTATCACCTTACATACATAGTAGAATTGATGTATTGAAATGTTTTGTGAAAATTTCATGCATACTGGACTCGTAGTCCTTCAATAAAATGTTATACTGAAAGAATGTTTTGTTATTACTGGTATTGTGCCTGAATAGGCCACATTATTTAATAAGTTGTTCAGCAGTTGTTTTTGTAAATAAATTGGTCAAGAATGATGTTTTTTTCTCTTTAGATTAATAAAATATCCTTCTATCAACATAATTCTTATATGTGGAAGGCAAAAAACATCTTAGACATATAAAAATTACATTAAAAAATATTTAGATTTAAACTTCTAAAAAACCAGAAGCTGCATTGGCAGATCATTTGTGACCAGACCAAGACCTGAAACATAATACGGTAATTTTTTCCTTATTTTCCTTCTGCCACACCAGTTCGCAGAAGTTTTGCCGTGTTTGAAGCTCAGCACCCATGAACGTGGTATAACAAGGAATCTCTAACTCATGGTTATTTTCTTCCTCCTAGGATCATTGGAAGGCACAACGTGGGAGACAATGGATGATCAGTACTCTGCGCAGTTCTTTACATCCTTTGTAGAGAAGCTTCAAGGATTGTGTAGAAGTTACTTGAACTTCAGTCAGTTTGTGGAGGTCAGTGGCTATGTGTGTGTGGAGATTGACAACATGAAGAAGGAGAGATACGTCCTCAGTGAACTGCTACAGAGCAGTGGTAATGTGGTCAGTGAGAGCTTCTGTACAAAAGTGTTCATGACCTCAGGAAAAGGTCAGTCGCAACCTCCTGAAAAGATGAGAAGAAAAGATGTGAGACCTCCTCGAGACACCATAGACAAGGATGTCAAAGTGTTTAGTCAGCAGAGTGTCGGCTCAGTTAGCTGTCAGCCTGTCTTCCCCAGCAGAGGAAACTCTGATTCCATGGTACTACCTCATCTTCCAGTGACTCAGGATCTCCATGAAGGAGGCTCCTCACAGAGTGACAGAAAACCAGGACTCGACATCGGCCAGTTCAACCTCCACAAGCCCACTTCAATCAGGAGTCAGTCCTGCTCTGAGATGGGTTCCGATGAAGCATACCGGAGTACATTCCAGTCCACTAGTCCCAGGGTTAAGAGGAGGATGGTGTCGGGATACGCTGAAAGCACTCCTCTCCGGTCTCCAGCATCAGTCAGCAATCAGTCCTTCAGTTCGGAATCCGAGCCGTCTGGTGACGTGCTGAACATTGCTTCCGGGACCAGTGAGATTCAGGTGACGCTGCCAGACTCTCTTGCCGAGGATGTAGGAGACTCGCAGGAACCAGCAGACGCAAACACTGCAGATGATGAAGTCATAGACCTGGACATGTTTGATGATGAACTGGTGAACAGCCCTCTTGACTTTACCTCTTCCTTTCAAGAACACAGTTTCGCAGATTTCAGACCAAATACATCATTTGATTCCAGCATGCTCTTTCTCGAGAAGCACCAGAAAGCTCCAAATCCAGGTTCTTTAAATGTCTTGAAATCTGTGGTGAAGCGATTCAAGAAGTATCACTTTGAGAAATCCGGTCATGAATTTAATTTGATGGCCACCCCTCCTGAAGAACTGAATGATCTGTTGCTGGACTATCTCATCGGGGCAAAAAAGTCTGATGGAAGTGACTTAACAGTGGGTTCTTTGAAGAACACTCAAGTGTATCTTGAGAGGTATTTGAAACAAGAAGGATATCCTTATTCTATAACCAGGGACGATAGGTTCAAACCTTGCAGAGACTACATCAAGAGTAAACAGGATGAGTGTGGGAAGACCCGGGCGGGTATAAAACATGTGCCGATAGACGACAACGACATCGAGGTCATGTTCCAAAAGAACCTTCTCGGAGCACACAACCCAGACTCCCTCTTTAACACAATGTGGTTCCTAAACTCAAAATATTTTGCCAAACGAAAACCAGGGGAACATTTCAACATGAAGTGGGGAGATATTGTATTGAAGATCAGTGAGGATGGCGAGGAGTACCTTGAACGTCCAATAAACAGTTCCTTTTCTCTAAAAGTGTTTGCAAAGCCGGAAGATCCTGAGAGATGTTTTGTGGACTTTTATAAGCAATATAGAGCCAAGAGACCCAAGATGACGTTAGATAAAGAGTTTCCCTTTTATCTGAGGATCAACAAGATTCCAGGGACCCAGTTCATGTGGTACTTGCCTGAGCAGATGATGTGGTCGCCTTTTACTTACATATGGAGGAAAATAGTTGTAGCTGCAGGACTTCCGTTGGCAAAGAAAATTTTATGAGGAAGCTGAAATGAGATGACACTTCTTTATCATGGAGTGAGTGAATGTTGTTTTATGCCACAGCCATCACGTATTACTGCATTGCTGCAGCGGTTTGTCATAACATGGCTGAAATATTCTTGATGTGACATAACATTTTGACTCAACAATTGTAAATAATCAGATTTGGATGAGACAAACCAGTGATTGACAGCATGAGCAATGATCAACACTTTCTGGGTATGATGACACAATCAGCCAGGTCAAACATTGTGACCACCTGATCCACATTTGTTGGCTCTTAGGATCCCAACTGTGGATATATTCTTTCCAGGTACCAAGAGGGTATTTCAAATCTTCATTGGTCCACAATACCCCATGCTTGTTGTTAGAGCTGACTAGGTCCCCAGTACCTCATGCTTGTTGTAAGAGCTGACTAGGTCCCCAGTACCTCATGCTTGTTGTAAGAGCTGACTAGGTCCCCAGTACCTCATGCTTGTTGTATGAGCTGACTAGATCCCCAGTACCTCATGCTTGTTGTATGAGCTGACTAGGTCCCCAGTACCCCATGCTTGATGTAAGAGATGACTTGGTCCCCAGTACCTCATGCTTGATGTAAAAGCTGACTAGATCCCCAGTACCTCATGCTTGTTGTAAGAGCTGACTAGGTCCCCAGTACCTCATGCTTGTTGTAAGAGCTGTCTAGGTCCCCAGTACCCCATGCTTGTTGTATGAGCTGACTAGGTCCCCAGTACCCCATGCTTGTAGTAAGAGCTGACTAGATCCCCAGTACCCCATGCTTGTTGTAAGAACTGACTAGGTCCCCAGTACCCCATGCTTGATGTAAGAGCTGACTAGGTCCCCAGTACCCCATGCTTGTTGTAAGAACTGACTAGGTCCCCAGTACCCCATGCTTGTTGTAAGAGTTGACTAGGTCCCCAGTACCCCATGCTTGATATAAGAGCTGACTAGGTCCCCAGTACCCCATGCTTGTTGTAAGAGCTGACTAGACCCCCAGTACCTCATGCTTGTTGTAAGAGCTGACTAGACCCCCTAGTACTCCATGCTTGTTGTAAGAGCTGACTAGGTCCCCAGTACCCCATGCTTGTTGTAAGAACTGACTAGGTCCCCAGTACCCCATGCTTGTTGTAAGAGCTGACTAGGTCCCCAGTACCCCATGCTTGTTGTAAGAGCTGACTAGACCCCCAGTACCCTGTGCTTGTAGTAAGAGCTGACTAGACCCCCAGTACCTCATGCTTGTTGTAAGAGCTGACTAGGTCCCCAGTACCCTGTGCTTGTAGTAAGAGCTGACTAGACCCCCAGTACCCCATGCTTGTAGTAAGAGCTGACTAGACCCCCAGTACCCCATGCTTGTAGTAAGAGCTGACTAGGTCCCCAGTACCCCATGCTTGTAGTAAGAGCTGACTAGGTCCCCAGTACCCCATGCTTGATATAAGAGCTGACTAGGTCCCCAGTACCCCATGCTTGATATAAGAGCTGACTAGATCCCCAGTACCCCATGCTTGATATAAGAGCTGACTAGATCCCCAGTACCCCATGCTTGATATAAGAGCTGACTAGATCCCCAGTACCCCATGCTTGATATAAGAGCTGACTAGATCCCCAGTACCCCATGCTTGATATAAGAGCTGACTAGATCCCCAGTACCCCATGCTTGATATAAGAGCTGACTAGATCCCCAGTACCCCATGCTTGATATAAGAGCTGACTAGACCCCCAGTACCCCATGCTTGTAGTAAGAGCTGACTAGGTCCCCAGTACCCCATGCTTGTAGTAAGAGCTGACTAGGTCCCCAGTACCCCATGCTTGATATAAGAGCTGACTAGGTCCCCAGTACCCCATGCTTGATATAAGAGCTGACTAGATCCCCAGTACCCCATGCTTGATATAAGAGCTGACTAGATCCCCAGTACCCCATGCTTGATATAAGAGCTGACTAGATCCCCAGTACCCCATGCTTGATATAAGAGCTGACTAGATCCCCAGTACCCCATGCTTGATATAAGAGCTGACTAGACCCCCAGTACCCCATGCTTGTAGTAAGAGCTGACTAGGTCCCCAGTACCCCATGCTTGTAGTAAGAGCTGACTAGGTCCCCAGTACCCCATGCTTGATATAAGAGCTGACTAGGTCCCCAGTACCCCATGCTTGATATAAGAGCTGACTAGATCCCCAGTACCCCATGCTTGATATAAGAGCTGACTAGATCCCCAGTACCCCATGCTTGATATAAGAGCTGACTAGATCCCCAGTACCCCATGCTTGATGCAAGGGATGACTAGATCCCCAGTACCCCATGCTTGATGTAAGAGCTGACTAGATCCCCAGTACCCCATGCTTGATATAAGAGCTGACTAGATCCCCAGTACCCCATGCTTGATATAAGAGCTGACTAGATCCCCAGTACCCCATGCTTGATGCAAGGGATGACTAGATCCCCAGTACCCCATGCTTGATGTAAGAGCTGACTAGATCCCCAGTACCCCATGCTTGATGTAAGAGCTGACTAGATCCCCAGTACCCCATGCTTGATGTAAGAGCTGATAGGGGATGGAGGATCAAACTCCATGCTTGGCTGATTGCATGTTGTTGTTTCCCATGATTCCAGTGGAAGGTCCAGACTTGATGATTTTCATGTTGCTGTCCTATTGCTGGAATTTTCTGATTGTGGCATTAAATAACATTCAGCCTCTCACTATCCCCATATAATGGACCCAATACACTGAATAGGTTTTCTAAGAAATTTGAATTGATTGGCCAGATAGCAGGAGTATTGAGTAATTTTTCATTTTTTATGGTAAGATCAAAACTATTTCATGTTTTGCAGATTGTTTGTCTTATTATTTCAACAAACAAGATGCAGAAGTCATATGAAAATCATATATACTGGTTTATTGTGTATTTGATAAATACTGTAGTTATCTATCTATTGTCCATTATAACATGACATTATGGCCTTCCAGCGTGAAATCAACCGCCTCCGTGGTCTAGTGGTAGAGCGTCCGCCCGGAGTGTGGGACCGCCTCCGTGGTCTAGTGGTAGAGCGTCCGCCCGGAGACCGCCTCCGTGGTCTAGTGGTAGAGCGTCCGCCCGGAGAACGGCCCCAGCCGCGTCATACCAAAAGATGTTAAAAGATGGTACTTGTTGTTACCCTGTCTGGCGCTCGGCATTAAGGGGCTAAAACAAGGACTGGTCGGCTCGGAGTCAGTATACTGTGTCTGAGTGGGATATTCATGTTAAACTGCGGCATGGTATCTCAGTGAGCTAGCACTATAAATCGGCATCAGTCCGGACTAGTACAAGCAGCCACACAAACACATACACGTACATGCACGTCGCTATATAAGTGCAATAATCTTGGACGCGACGTTAAACCCAATTTCACCTCACCTCACCTCCAGCGTGAAATCGTAGCCTTCCAGCGTGATATCTGTTATTATTGATATCTGTTATTATTGATATCTGTTATTATTGATATCTGTTATTATTGATATCTGTTATTACTGATATCTGTTATTATTGATATCTGTTATTACTGATATCTGTTATTATTGATATCTGTTATTACTGATATCTGTTATTATTGATATCTGTTATTACTGATATCTGTTATTATTGATATCTCACTCGGATGAAGTAACACTTGCCTGAACTTTCAGTCCGGGGGAACAGGTGGCCCAGTCGTCTAAGGCATCACAATTCACTGTGCAGAGTTGTGTCCCTTCGGCACACCAGAAACCTATGATTATGGTTGGAATACTGGTTCGTCCTGATTATGTTTCTAGGTTTGTCATCAACATACCCGTGCACGTGGGTTTTTACCAAAGTGGAAAAAATCTTGAGACCTGCATCACTTGGAGCTTTTCCTCCCACAGCCATAATATAACTGGAATATTGTTCAAAGCGGCATTATTCCAAACTCGCTCATTTACTCACTCACTCATTCACTTTCAGTCTACCTCAGTGATGCTATTGAATTCAGAGAAGATCAGTTAGAAAATACATAATCATTGATAATAAGTAGATATTATATAAGATAAATATTTGTGATGTCTTGTGAAGTATTATTTTTGTCGCATCACATGAGATGCACCACTATTGAAAATATCAACGTTATCAGGTCACTCAGTGGGAAAATTTATGAAATGCCTGTTAACCATGAGGTTGCTCTAATCAAGATAGACATTGTCCTGTTGCCAAGAACCAATACATGTGATCCCCGCTTGCCATATGGGAATCTGAAGAAACTTGTATCTATGTAGACATTGTCCTTGTACCAAGAACCAATACATGTGATCTCTGCTTGCCATATGGGAATCGACCCGTGAAGATTCCGGGGTAGAATAGGTCTTCAGCAACCCATGCTTGCCGTAAAAGGTGACTATGCTTGTCATAAAAGTCGACTAACAGGATCCAGTGGTCAGGCTCGCTGACTTGGTTGATGCATGTCATCGATCCCAATTGCGTGGATCGATGCTCATGTTATTAATCACTGGATTGTCTGGTCCAGACTCGATTATTTACAGACCCCCGTCATATAGCTGGAATATTGCTGAGTGCGGTGTTAAACAACAAACCAACCAACCAACCAACCATATGGGAATCTGTAGAAAAATGTGTTTAGATACACATGCATACACTGAAGTTGACTGAAGTCATTAAACAATATATCACATGACCAACCACAGGTCTGGGTAGTCCTGTGGGTACCCGGGTCCTACTCATTACCTACCCAACCCGAGTACCCAAAAAACCCGTTGTAGCCCTAATGGGAATTTATAGAAACTTGTAGCAAACTATGCAGGGTAATTATCATCATCTGGTCATGATACAGATTTCATGAGTCACACAGGCCAAAATTTGTTGTCCGCCTCCGTGGTCCCAGGGATTGAGCATATGCAGAGAGGTTGGTGGTACATTCCTTGTACATATCAAACCCAAAGACGTTATAGATTGTACTTGTTGTTACCCTGCCTGTCGCGCAGGGGCTAAAACAAGGACTGGTCAGTTCAGAGTCAGTATACTGTGTCTGAGTGGGTTGTGCATGTTAAACTGTGGCATGATATCTTAGCACTATTAATCAGCATTAGTCCGGACTAGTACAAACTGACACTGACATGCACATGCATGCCGCACACACGCACACACACACACACACGCACACACACGCACACGCACACACACACACACAGAGCTATATCAGTGCAATAATCTTTAACACGATACGATGTTCAGCACCTTTAAAGGCCTTTTTGAAATGACTTGCAAAGGCCTTCAATATGTAACCCATGGCTAACTCTACTGTTAAATATATATACTACAACATCTGTAAGAAGGTGTGATTGGTTTGTAACGCGAAGAATGAATAATATCAAACCAATTGTTAGTGTGTGGATTTAGATATTTATGTTTGTATGTATAGGGGTGGTGGGGTAGCCTTGTGGTTAAAATGTTCACTGAATCCACACACTAGTAATTGGTTTGACATATTTATATATATACAGTTATATATACACACACTTATATAACTGTTGTTGGGTGTGAAAAACAAGTATCATGACTATGAACTATTGTTTTGATTCACAAAAATGTTATGTTTTATTGTGAATAACTTGACAGTATGGGAAATTAAGAGGGTTTCCAAAGTTGAGCAATCTATTTCTTGTTAATGCCGGAAAATGAATGAATACCATTCTGAAATGGTTGACATATTTGTATTGTTCCAATAAAATCATCACCTCAGAATTGCTGTGTTGACAAACTTAATTACATCCTGAAATGAGGCATTATCCAGAGTTGTAGTTGCAGCGTGATATCGTAGCCTTCCAGCGTGATATCGTAGCCTTCCAGCGTGATATCATAGCCTTCCAGTGTGATATTGTAGCCTTCCAGAGTAATATCGTAGCCTTCCAGCGTGATATCGTAGCCTTCCAGCGTGATATCGTAGCCTTGCAGCGTGATATCGTAGCCTTCCAGGGTAATATCGTAGCCTTCCAGCGTGATATCATAGCCTTCCAGCGTGATATCGTAGCCTTCCAGCGTGTTATCGTAACCTTCCAGCGTGATATCGTAACCTTCCAGTGTGATATCGTAGCCTTCCAGCGTGATATGGTAGCCTTCCAGTGTGATATCGTAGCCTTCCAGCGTGATATCGTAGCCTTCCAGTGTGATATCGTAGCCTTCCAGCGTGATATCCTAGCCTTCCAGAGTAATATCGTAGCCTTCCAGCGTGATATCGTAGCCTTCCAGTGTGATATCTTAGCCTTCCAGCGTGATATCCTAGCCTTCCAGTGTGATATCGTAGCCTTCCAGCATGATATCGTAGCCTTCCAGCATGATATTGTAGCCTTCCAGAGTAATATCGTAGCCTTCCAGCATGATATCATAGCCTTCCAGCGTGATATCGTAACCTTCCAGCGTGATATCGTAGCCTTCCAGTGTGATATCATAGCCTTCCAGCGTGATATCATAGCCTTCCAGTGTGATATCGTAGCCTTCCAGCATGATATCGTAGCCTTCCAGTGTGATATCGTAGCCTTCCAGTGTGATATCGTAGCCTTCCAGTGTAATATCGTAGCCTTCCAGCATGATATCGTAGCCTTCCAGCATGATATCATGTTTGTCTCACAACACTCCTGTTTCTCAAAAACATGTCTGTGACTACAAAAAACAAGTGTTTGCATTTGTTTCGAGGTGATTTTCAAATTGAAATGCAAAGGTTATTCCAGAAATTGGCCTTTACAGAAGTAAATGAAATCAATAAATGACCACACAAGATCACTGGTAAATGTCTATGTGCTGTATCACTGGACGTTCGTCTCACTTGGCAGACATGCCCTGATATAACTGAAATACTGTTCAGACCGGCATTAAACCAATCTTGTAACTATGGTTTCAAGCTTCATTCTTCATTCAGCCTGGGTCATTGGGCTTAGTCTGTTGTCTCTGGTGGTATTAATGTTTATGTCTGATTTAATGAAACACTTACTTGATTTTGTGTCTTTCCAGGAGGTTACCAGACAGCACTATGGAGAAGGAACACTCGGCACAGTTTTTCAGATCCCTTTTGCAAAATATACGAAGAGAATGTCACAATCATGTGAACTTCAGTGAGTTTGTGGAGGTCAGTGGCTATGTGTGTGTGGAGATTGACAACATGAAAAAAGAAAGATATTTGCTCAGTGAACTACTACAGAGCAGTGGTAATGTGGTCAGTGAAAGCTTCTGTGCACAGGCTTTCAAAACAACGGGCCATTCTGATTGTTTGGGAAACACAGATGTAAGCAGACAGGATGACAGTAGCTGTTACACTTCCCATAGACATAGTACACACTCAATGAAACCCTCGTTTCCAGAAGCTGACCAAGCCCAGGTTATGCTTGCAGCTGCCTCTAAAGAAGGTTCTGACTTTAATCATGAATACACACCATTGCTGGCACCATCGTCTCAGTCCTATGGTTCAGAAACTAGCTTCAAAACAGAGTCTGTGTATGAAGAACAGTCATTTCAAAGTGAAGAGGCACAGGTGACTTTGCCTCAAACTTCTTCCAAAAGTGTCGATGAGTATGTGGTTTGCCCTGAGGTACCAGAACCCGAGGACATCATAGACTTAGACTTGTTTGAGAATGAACTTGATTCTCCAGTGTCCATGGAAGAAGAGGGTTTTCCTGCTGCATCTCTAGGAGCTGCTTCGGTTGATTCCTATGGCGGTACAACAAAGAAGAGCAATCTCAGCCCGGGGACACTAAACGTGGTCAAGAACTCTGTGAAGCAGTTCCGAAGGTTTCACTTTGACAGGGCAGGCATAGATGTTCATCTGCTTTCAACTCCCCCGGAGAAACTTAATTTGTTGCTGTTAGACTATTTCAAGGAAGCAAGGAAGATGGATGGACGAGAGTTGAACGCCAGAACATTGAAAAATGTGCAGGTTCATCTGGACATGTTTCTGAAGGATGCTGGCTATCCATACTCCATCAGTAAGGACAGACCGTTCCAGTCTTGCCGAGACTATCTAAAGAGGAAGATAAGTGAAGGTGGGAAAGTTGTGGCCCAGAAACATTCTCCGGTTGATGATAATGACATAGAGACGTTGTTCCAGACCAGCCAGCTTGGTGCCCACAGTCCTGAAACCCTCACCAACACTATGTGGTTTCTTAACTCCAAATACTTTGCCATCAGACGGCCTGCAGAGCACCTAGGCATGAAATGGGGAGACCTTTTGTTGAAGACCAATGAACAAGGGCAGGAATATTTAGAACGCCCAATCAATAACAGTTTTTCCCTGAAAGTGTTTGCCAAGCCTCAGACCCCAAACAGATGCTTTGTGTACTTTTACAAGCAGTACAGAGCCATGAGACCCAAAATGTTTCTCGATGAAGGATGTCCATTTTATCTGAAGTACGATAGGAACCAGGGCCCAAGAAACTATCATCTTCTGTCCGAGGCGCCATCATACACTTCCTTTCTAAATATTTGGAGGAAAATGATTACCGGGTCATATCTCCCCATTAATAAGAAGATATACTAAGTAAAATGTTCAATGGAGGGACTTATGGAGATTCATTGAAGAAGGAGAATTTAATCAGCTTTGTGTTTAGCCTTGAAATGATGTGAGCACTGCACCTACCTACCGATGGGGACTTGGGATAGAACAGGTACACATACCATCTGTGCTCAATCTCATTAAAATCAGATCTTAGTTCTCGCTACCGCTAAACAAAGATCTGAAGACATCCCATTACGGGTCACGTCAGACCGACCTTGCGCGAACTTTGACCGGCCAATGGAATGACCAATGAGAAGGCAGATGTCTTGTGCTTTACGGCACAAATTTCAAATTGGCAACTACACTTCGAAGCACATTTTGACAAATTCTCGATTACAAATTTGAAACCTGAACAAAAAAAATTCTGGAATGACTAATAGATGGTCTAGATTGTAAGGATTCAGTCGTTAAACCAGTAACTATCGTTCGGAATACCCCATGTTAAAGTTTTCGAGATTGCATGATTCGAAATCACATTCCGAGTGTCACTTTCATAGTCTGGTAAGCGACGCACCCCTAATAGGATGTCTTCAGATCTTTGTTTAGGGGTAGCGAGAACTAAGGTCTGATTTTGATGAGATTGCATCTGTTATATCTTGGGCATATGAATGGTGCAGTGTAAGACACCTAAGGCAATGGATCTGGGTTAGAATAGGTTCCCAGCATCTGTTGCTTGTTGAGAGAGGCTACTTAACTGGATCAGTTGGTCAGGTGATGTGTGTCATCATACCATGCGGATGGCGTGGGATTGTGTTCATGATATCAACCACTTGTTTGTCTGGCCTGGACTTGATGGCTTACAGGTCTCCATGACAGCGTACTTGTTGTGATAATCTTGAGAGTGCCTTGGGTGCTTCTTAAGTCAAATATGGAAGCTGGAATATTGCCAACTGTTGTGTATAACAGACTGGCTTTATTTATGTATAATCACTGCCAGGAAAGAATGCATTCTAAGGATTCTATATTAGCCATTATGTTGATACTAGGACAGGGATTACAGGGCAGAGCAGCAGTACCTCCTGCTGGTCATACAAACTATAAAGCAGATGAGGTGGTCATTGTACCCAGTTATGTACCCAGTTATGTGGATCATTCCGCATGCTTTCTGACTCTGGTTTGCCTGGTGAAAACTGGATGATTTATTTACAGGCATCATGCATAGTAGGACTCTTTTGTGGAGGTTTCATGATTATATTTATAGATTCAGTGGGAGTGGGTTATTGTTTTGGGGTTGTCTCCCTTGTAGATTTTTTCTTTCATGCTCATACCAGACCAGAATAAAGTTCTATTTTGTAATATGATTATTTGAATATTGAACTTGTTTATATTCATTTTGTAAATAGAGTCTTTTTCAGTTGTTTTAAATATATATATGGAAATGAAAGTTTTGAATTGAATTTATGAGCTTTTCTGATGACCTGAAGGTGACCTTCAGGACGTTGCTGTCGCGTGTGGAGGCCATTAAGGTATGACACCTTACCTTGGTGTTTGTGTGAGTGAATAAATATTGATCTTAGTCACTCGAGTAGTTTTGACGTGCTAGCGCCTGGTACTTGTTTCCTGTTCCTGCTCTAAGACTTTCTTTGAAAGGAGTAACAAAATGGGAATTTACAACCCTCAGTTAAGTTTTTACAGGACATCTTGTGACCAATTTTGTTTGTATTACTGAGGCCAAAATATTTTTTTGGTGTAGAACAATTATTTTCAGATTCCAGATCAAATTTCTGAGTTGGAAAAAATGTAAACAGAAAGAAAAGACATAAGACATTGTCAGGTTTGTTTGAAGTATTTGTCTTCATGTCTATAACATCAATCAATTTAGCCAGCTGCCATTTTGGTGCCGTCTTTGTATTTTATTTGTATTCATACCCCATATGCCTGGGCCACACGTCTGTGATCCAAGTATTGAAAACAGGTTATGATATCCCTATGGTGGTGATATTTTTGTTGTTGTAATAATCTTTTTATTCAGGATTCAAAATACATTGTACACTTTATAATACATATTAATACATTAACTGTTGCACATCATTTGTAATAGGGTGGTCGGGTAGCCTAGTGGTTAAAGTGTTCGCTCGTCAAGCCGAAGACCCGGGTTCAATTCCTGACATGGGTACAATGTGTGAAGCCCATTTCTGGTGTCCCCCGCCATGATATTGCTGGAATATTGCTAAAAGCGGCGTAAAACCATACTCACTCACTCACTCACTCACTCACTCACTCATTTGTAATATGATGATTGATATTACCAATGATAATAAATGATTTACTGCATAATATATATGTATCACATGATGGAATCCCTTTTTTTATCATAAAAGCACAACAGCCATTCACCCTTCTCATACAAACACCATTTACACACACTCACACAGGGACGCCACAAGCACTTTCATACACACACACATATATTAATTCTCAAAGAGAGATCTCAAACCTCAAATCAGTGGCTTCAGTGGAATAATATGGAAATGTAGACAGTGGCACATGGGCATACCATGATATACGCATGTACACAAGAATATAGATAAATATATACATATACGTTTCCTAAACTCAAAAAGGTTATGGTACATCATCCAGTCTTTGTTAAATTCCAAACCTCTGTTTGTGGACAAAGAACATCTTTTCTCTATCTTATATAGAAGTTTGAGTTCATTCTTTAAAAACTGTATATTCAGTTGTATATTTTGAACTCTACATCAATAGATAAAATATTTTGTGAACCAGATGAAAAAATCAAACACTTTATCAGTTATAAGATATTTTTTAAAGCCAAAAATAATCAATTGTGCTGAAAGATTTAGATTATGAATGTGTCCACATTGGTCATTTATCCAGCTCATAAACTGTTTCCAGAAATTCTGTACAATATCACACTCCCACAAGAGATGGACGATCGTCTCTCTATCATCACGGCAAAAAGTACATTGATCACAGTCCACCTTCTTGATATAAAATAGAAATGAGTTGGTTGTAAGTATCCTATGACTTATCCTGAACTGAAACCACCGAAGCTTTGTATCTTTGGTTGTATTAAAAGGTTATAAAAATGGATTAATTCTCCAAAAATAAATTCCCATTTCTGTCTGTCTTTCCAACTAACCAAAGGTCCCAAAAATGTATAATAGGCATGTTCAGAAACTTTCTTTAATGAGAAAAGATTAGTCAATAATAAACTGTATTCTAAAGGTCTAATGGTGTTTTCCATTTTAATGTTTGCCTTCCTAATATAGTTTGAAACTGCAGAAACTATACCATTAAATTGCATGATTGGCAATGTGAACTCATGTTTTCTACAAAAGTCATTGTATGATAAAAAACAGCCGTTTATATCTAATATATCGCAAATTCTATACACTCTTGCATCAACCCACTGTTTCCAAAAAACAGTTTGTTTGTCAATCTTGATATCTATATTATAAAATAGAGGTTCGCTAAACAGTGCATCAAAAGTGTCAAGTGTAGCCTCAGTAGAGAGTTCATGAACAGCCTCCAAACAGTCTTTCCAGAAAGGATGGAGAGTTTGATTACCCAATTCCTGGATAAAAGAGGAACCATATTTGTGCATAGTGGATAGTTTGGGATGACAAGACATCAACAACACCTTCCAGATGGTCTGATAGTCCTCAGACAACACCTTGATCCGAGAGATTTTCTGAGATTTAACACAATTAAAAATATCAACCATTCCCACACTTCCATCTGCAGAGGATTTGCATATCACTTGACATTTACTTCTATCCGGTTTCTTATTCCATAAAAATGCAAACAGTAACTTGTTCAACTCCTTAAACTGCTCTGAAGGATTGGGCAATGATAAGAAAAAATAATTCAATTTAGAAACTAATATTGCCTTTATAACTGCTATCTTTCCTAGAGGAGTAATAATTCTTTTCAGCCACTTTTTAATGATTTGTTCAATTTCATAAAGTTTCCTTCTATAGTTCAAATCTTCAATTAAATCAAGGCCTGTGGTGAAAACAATTCCCAAAACTCTAAAAGTAGCTGGATTCCATTTAATATTCAATTCAGGCATGTACCTTACATCACTATTCTTTCTACTCCCTATCCAAATAACTTCGGACTTATTATAATTTAATTTTAAACCTGAAATATTAGCAAACTGTTCTAAAGTATGAATTGTTTCTTCGAATGAGGTTCTGCTCCCATCCAAAATGAATTCAGTATCAGCATACTGTTCTATGATATTTTCTTTACCATTAATACATAATCCTTTGATATTTTTATCACTCCTTCATCGAATTTTGGTGTGGGCATGCCCGAAACCTATTATCGAATACTAGTTCGCCCCGATATTGTTTCTAGGTTTGTCAGCACCACACCTATGCTCGTGGGTTTTTCTAAATTATGGTAAACGTCTGAGACCTGCCTCACTTCCGCTTTTCTTCACACATTAACCTGACACGCTGTTATATGACTGGAAAACTGTTCATGCAGCGTTAATCACAACTCACTCACACTTTTATCAAACATGCTGACGTCTTAACATTACACAATATGTTACTCACAGCTCAAAGTGACGCGTGGATTAAATTGAACAGACCACAATGGACGCAAAAACCATGCTACGGACAAAACTTTGGGATTGCCGTAGGAAAACTATTATTGTCGACGGGAACCCAAGATTCTCCATTACGCGGGGCAACTAGCGCCGACCAATCACCATTTGGATTAACCTATTGCCTGGCAACAGTCCCTGTTTCAAATGTGTATTACTTTTTAAATTTGCAACTTCAGGACTATGACGTTTCCAAGGGAATAGTTTTATTAAATTGTGCATCACTGCGTGGAGAGTCGGGTATCTGCTGCTTACGGTACCCGTCCTTGAAGATCCGGGGTAGAATAGGTCTTCAGCAACCCATGCTTGCCGCAAAATGCGACTATGCTTGTCGTAAGAGGCGACTAACGGGATCGGGTGGTCTTGGCTCGCTGACTTGGTTGATGCATGTCATCGATCCCAATTGCGTGGATCGATGCTCATGATATTAATTACTGGATTGTCTGGTCCGGACTCGATTATTTACAGACAGCCGTCATATAGCTGGAATATTGCCGAGTGCGGCGTTAAACAACAAACCAACCAACCAATGCTGCCTACGGTCTGCCTACACTGGGTTCCAGTCTATCATGCGGTTACTGCGCAAACCAACACTGAATCTTGTTTACGTCGGGTAGGGTGGCATAAACTGGGTCCCGTCTCTCCTATCACAATATAAGCTTGCCGCAAGTTGACATAGGAAGCCGGGAACCAGTTTAAGGGCGTCACTGCACTGTGGCGTCATAGCTTTATGACGTCATAAAATACTCAAAGAAACTTTCTATCATTACTTAGAACATTGTTAGGTATGCTACATCTACATATCAACGAATATGCGTGATTTCATTTCATACAACTGATCTCTTTCGTTTATTTCACTGCCTTCATGGAAAATATCTGCAATCTCGTGTGACGTGATTGATTAGTGATGACCCAAACTTGGAGACGTTTGTGACGTCACGCCATTGTTGATACAGTCATTCTGCCAACAAGACGTGTTCTCGCGTATCGCATGATGAAGATTGAAATAGTCGAAATCAACACACCGCCTTCACTCCAGTTTTGGAGTGGGCCTCCAGAAAGTTCGTTTGTCGCCTTTTACGATGGTATCGTATCCAACGCAGTAATATTCTTACCAGGAGTCGTAGACATGAAGACCTCAGGCGCTCGGAGTAAGTCAGAACTCGTGGAAAAGGAAAGTCCCCATGTCGCATTTTACCATGGGAGCGCAACCAGGGCCCCGGCGATTTTGCCAGGTATTCGACACCTGAAGCCTCAGCCATTACGACATGTGCAACTGGTCGGATTCATCAATATGGAAAGTCCACACATGACATATAACGAAGAGATCCTGTCCATGGCACGTACATTGGTGCTGGATTATAAAGACTTCCTGGCCGACCAACTCTCAAGTCTTCTGAACCTGGCTCTACTCAAGCGTGAACAAAGTCTATCTACCTCCTACAACCAAGCGATGTTAGCCACATTGAATCCGGGTGAGGTTGAATCTCAAGTGACCCCTCCCTCCAACTCACGGTATCTTACTGGACTCAAGAAAGGACTCCCCTTTGTCGCATTTTACGACGGGATCGCAGCCGCGGCAGTTATATTCTTACCAGGAGCTGTAGAGCAGATAAATACCTCGACCCCAAGAAACAGGGTAGCACCATTTGTTGCGTTTTACGATGGGATGGTAGCTACTGCACAAATATTCTTACCAGGAGCTGTAGAACAAGCATATGCCTTGATCTCAAGCCACGGAAACAAGGTAGGACTCATGAGACACCCCGATGTCGCATTATACAAAGGAATCAGAGCCCTGGTACATGCACTAATGCCGGGTAACGTACAACAGCTGAAGCCTCAGCCATTACGACATGTGCAACTGGTCGGATTCATCAATATGGAAAGTCCACACATCACATACAACGAAGAGATCCTGTCCATGGCGCGTACATTGGTGCTGGATTATAATGACTTCCTGGAGGGCCAACTCTCAAGTCTTCTAAACCTGACTCTACTCAAGCGTGAACAAAGTCTGTCTACCGCCTACAACCAAGCGATGTTAGCCACACTGGATCCAGGTGAGGCTGAATCTCAAGTGACACCTCCCTCAAACTCACGGTATCTGGCGAGACTTCCATTCATCGCATTTTACGATGGGGTCGCAGCCACGGCAGTAGTATTCTTGCCGGGTCATTTGAAAACTATGGAGTCTGCGCCATCAACTCCAAGATACGCAACTCGAATGGAGACTGGACCAAGCCACGACAACGTTTATAACTATGGGATCTTAACCAAAGCGCGAGTTTTTCTACCATTTGCCCAGAAAGAGAGACCACCGGAAGTCGAGCCCTCAAACCCACGCCCACTAGTTCGACCCCAGTGGAGCCGGGTTGAAAAATATCGTCTGCTCAAAGACAAACTGGACGGACTTCCGCTGAGGTACAAGCCCCGCTCCACCAAGTACATCACCTTCAAGGAGAAAGAAATGGTAAGTTTCCATTTATTATTTTAAGTGCTTGAAAATATTTTGTTCATTTTGCTGAGAGGAAAAAATGAAAGTGTTGAAATATAAATGTAAACAATACCCGGCTGGTTGTTGAGCTGTAACCAATGTTTGAATTTCGAACTGTATATTATAAAGATGTGGTCCGAAGATAATTTTCTAGTCAAGAAGTAATGGTAAGTATCCATGTATTATTAAGTGCACAACTTGTTTTCAAATTAAAACGTTGAATTGAATATGAAATGAATACACAACTGTTTGTTCATGCTTAAACACAATGTTTGACTATCGAAATAGGTATGACATAAATGTATATTATAGAGAATTGGGCCAAAGATTAATTACTAGTCCAATAATATTACAAAATATGACTTTTGAGGGACCCTCTCCCTCTCCAAACACAAGCTAGTCTAATGACTGGTATATGTGGCTCATTCAGCCGGAGGTAAAATTTGGGTAAATGATCAAACAGTTGAAGTTCGATTTCTGCAAAAATGTTTACTTTGACAAATCAGGTTTTGAACTTGGTCAAAGATTACTTCGCTATTAATATTCGAAAGACCCCGTTATAAGTGACTTGTCCGTGTTGTTGATGTACTTAGTGAGTGACTTTGCATCGGTCATGTCTCAGCAGCCATTAAGCGACGAGGGCAGGTTAAACATGTAAACATTTCCAATAAAACAATAAGTTAAATGTCACAAATTCAATAGAAAACAAACACAATCGATAAAGATAAAACGTGTACGTGAACAACAATAAAACCAAGGAATTCGTACACATATTCATAATGTTTGTCCACTAAACAGGTTTCGATTTTGATTTCAGCAAACATGATTAAGATGCATTGGCAACTTTAGACTGAGATATTAACTTAAAAATATTATTTAACTGTTTTTGTTTTAAAGATCAGCATATAGCATATTCGAGACATACATTTTGTGAATATTATTGTCTAAAATCTAATGTGCTTTTCACATGTTATAAATGGCAATCTTTTCTTATAAAATATGCCCTTACATGTTCACGTGAGTTTTTGTTAATTGTCATGAACTGGAACTTTAAAAAGTACTATCTTGTCGCTGCGACGGTCATAAGTATTTGTTAAACAATGGGAGCTTTGACAGTCATATTTCTTAGGATATTCGTTTAAGACTAGATGAATTTCTTGTATGCATGTATAAAGGAACAGAACATTGTTTTTATCCACAACACTACACAATACGTTTATTTCATGTTAATGTTCTTCTCTTCACACAGGACACCCGGCGGCGTATCCTCAACACCATCCCCTCCCTGAAGCCTGTCCCCCCTGGCAGCTGCCTGGCCCGGAGTCCGCTCACACCCTGGTACTGGCTTGAGGACACCCACCCCGAAATGGTCTCAGCCACCCTGAAGGACCTGGCCAGTCAACACATGAAGTACTTCAGGGCAAGTCCCAGCAGGGCACCAGGTCAACAGGCAGGTCGATCGCAGATCCAGATCATGGAGGACCTGTACTGGGAGGAGCTGAGGACAAGGGGTGCACCGGGCACAACGGAGGAGATGTACAGCAGACTTCGGCAGGAGATGAGCTTCACCAGGAAACTCTGGAATAGATATGACATCAAGGAGACCAATCTGCAGTCAGACCAGAAAGGCAAGTCAATTTTCAACACCAAAACTGCCCTGCTAAACGACACAGCCTGTCTTAACACAAATAACAACGGTTACACCAAAGAAGAAGGTGACTGTGATCTGGACGCTGCCAATTCTTCTGTCTTTGGGTCCAAGTCGGACCAGGTGTTTTCCAGGGGTCAGGATCTTGCCAGAAAGAAGCCAAGGCACAGCTACCTGAACAAACGCCACTCCGATGGCTTCAGGTCACGTAACAGGGGACCAACGGATGCGGGAGGAGCTTATGGCAAAACGTGTATCGAGTCAGAGCAAACACAGAATGACACAGTGGAGGATACAGATCAGGTCACAGATTCCACACTGCAACAGTGCCACAGCAGGGACGCAAAGCTAGCACAAAGAGAAGGAGACAAAACATTCACTCGGATTAAAAAGGTTCCTGTTTTTGGTCAGATGTCTTCAACTGCCAACGGGGCTTCTACCTCAGGAGCTGATAGAAACCAATTCTTTGAAGAGGATTTGCTCCAGAAAGAGGAAGATACTAAACATCTCAAAGAGTTGTTCAAAGACATCTCGCATTTCCATTCCCTCTGTGATGTTCCAGAATCCCTCATAGAGAGAGTGGTCCAGCTGACATGCACACCATTTCTTAAAGGTGGATACAGCAGTGGCTTGTGTTTCTTATCTAGCCTCAGAGATAGCCCCGAGTGTTGTGCTGGACAACCTATCCAAAACCTAGAACAGTGTGTGGGTCAGTGCAGGTCAACAGGAAGGACGGCAGTGGGTCACACAGAATCTTCAACAGAGAGGGAACAGGACAGCACTTTCCGGATGCAGAGAGACCTATGGTACAGAGAGGAGTGCTGTATGAGGTAGGGGTTATTGTAAATACATACTGTGATTGTAATACTGTTTAATGAAAACTAAAATCATGATATTTTAGATGTGATTTGATTCAAAATATCGTATTGTGTATTGATGATGTTATCACACTTATTTCTCATTTCAGACTTGAACAGTTCCCAGTGTCCGAGGATAATCCTACCAATGAGGATGACTTCATGGGAGACCTTTCCTTCACAGACAACCGTCCAAATGATAGGTACATAATTGTGTTATATGGATAATGAACTAATGGATAATAAATGACTACCTTGTCGTAAATAGGATGGCAGTGATCAACTGTGTGATCATATCTTCTTACGTTGGCATTGATGTTTCAGGGCTGAGTCTTCCCCACAACATTCCTTCCTGCATGATGACTTCAGCCACGAGGATGACATCCTGGACATTCCCACCTTGAGCATCCTGTCTCCACCGCATGCCTCTCTTGGACAAGCCTTCCACAATGATCATGACGTCAGCTCTCAAGCTCTGTCCACCCTTGACCACGATGAGGACAAGCCAGCCAGCCATGAACCCTTTCCTTCTGAGTACGTCTTCAAGAGGGTGTGTGGACCTTCCTTCAGCATGTCTTCAGAGTTCTGGCACATCAAGATTCCAACTCTTCCTTCACACATGGTCCACTACAAAGTTGAGCCAGATGGCCTCACTGAAATAGTCATTGGCTCTGGATCTTTCGGGGAGGTGTATGCAGCAATACTGACGGTGTCCCCTGGCCAGAGTAGAGATGTGGTGGTTAAACAACACTTTACAGACAGGACAACACAGGAGGCCGTCGCTAATGAGGCAAAGATCACCATGTACCTTGAGTCCACAGGCTGTGTCCCCATCTGTTATGGACTATTGAGTGATGAGGAGGATGGCTACAGCATTGTGATGGAGTATGTTGGTTCTGGACAAACGCTCCATAATGTTATGTGCGAGTCAGATATGCCAAGATTACACTGGCTGAATATTGCGTGCCAGCTAGTCAGTGGACTGAAAAAAATCCACAAGAAAGATGTTCTCATTAATGACATCAAGTCAGACAATGTTCTAGTGGACATGTCTGGAGAACTGCCCTCGGTCAAGTTCTGTGACATGGGAACAGCATCATACAAATCAGCGGTAACGTACAGAGGAGACATGGAGAATTGTGTCCATCTCGCTCCAGAGGTATGTGCTCATGCTAAGACAACCCCCGCATGTGACGTATACAGTCTTGGAAGAGTACTGAATAACATACATGGCGTCTCACACATCTCAGCCTTGTTGTCACTTTCTGACATGTGTATGGCTGAGGATCCCGCTGTCCGCCCCACTCTCTGGACTGTAAACCAGCGGCTGCAGGAGGAGTATATAAATGAGGCCCTGTTCCCCACGCTAACTGTGCCGTCACATGGCTACCTGGACTGCAGTGATGAGGAACCAGAGGAAGAATCTGCCGGATCTGTACTCAAAGTTAACACACCTATCAACAAAGACTTACCTACAGCTACAGGTCTTAGCTCCGCTGAAGTCAATGGTGCTGTGTCAAGGGATGGTCCACCTAGCAGAGGCAGCAATAGAAGCAACAGGAGCGGCCAACATGAACTAGGTACATCAGTAGCTGAAGCTTATCCGGATGAGATCCAGGACATCTATTCCATTTCCATTGATCATGTGCCACGTATACACGTCTCCGTTTCGTCTGAAGGACACACTATACCCAGAGTGAACATGCCAAACGACATCCTGTACTCTGCTGAGATCACAGATACATCTGCTGGTGCTCCCAAGTCTGCACAAAATAGAACTCAAACTCTGGTTAACAATATGGATGCTTCTCCGTCCAAGTCTCTAAAAGATGGAAGTCCAGGTGTGGTTAACAATAGTGATGCTGCTCCTTCAAAATCTGTACAAAATGGAAGTTTGGGTGTTGTCTCAAAAGGAACAAGTGAAATTTCCGCTGCCTCTATTTCACCAAATGGATCTTATGGGTTCCACACACAAACTGTGCCTACATCTCCGCCATCTGTGACGACACCTACTCCTGCATCACCCTGTGCATCTTGCCACTTCCACACGACATCGGCATCCCTGGAACTGTTCTCTGCTGTTGTCTCGCCCAAGGTTTCCTCTGCCACGGAAACTCCCGATGCTGCATCTAGTGAACTTCAAACATCCCCAAGCCATAGTCTTGATACTTCATCCGACACGTTTGTTGATGCTGCCGAGGATCAGTCTCATGCTGATGCTAACTCTGAGGGTCGTCGTTGTGCTGCTGATGTTAACGAGGCTCCTGTCGTTCCAGCCGTTGCTGCTGTAGACGTGAACCAAAATTCCTCTAGCCTGGAAGCTCCTCACGTGGCGGCGTACCGCGCTCTGTGCCAGGCAGAGCTCGAGGTGTACAACAAGCACTGGGAGGACACACCCGTGTACGAGGGTTATCTGCCCCTGGTCATGTCATTGTTAATGCTTCCCCTTGGGATCTTGGGATTCACATAGATTTTTGATGGGATTGGCAACCAATTGAAGGACATGTTTTTATTGGAGTAAAACTTACTATTTTGAAATGTATACGTTTGAATGATGTTTTACTGGATTTATTACCCTATAGCTTTGGGGAAGCAATGACTGCTTCCCTTTAGAATTCATAATATTTTCATATGCACGTGTTAATGTTATATTTTATTCAAATATATTAATATATTGTAAGGCAACACAAGGCACTATCAATTAAACAATGTTGTAATTATCCCAGGAGGATATTTAAAAAAAATATATATGAAGAGTTGCTTTTCTTTGCATTCTAATGATTATTTTAAACTGAGAAGTGAGAGCAAAATAATGAAAACCATTAAATGCTGTTTTAATATATATTTAAATCGAACCACTCTGTTCCCTTGAAATTTGTCTTTTAAATTTTTATAATATTGGAAATGATATATTTTGTGGATATACATGTATATATATATTTGTGTGTGTGTGTGTGTGTGTGTGTGTGTGTGTGTGTGTGTGTGTGTGTGTGTGTGTGTGTGTGTGTGATATATCATGTTTACAAAACAGTGCATGTGGATTTTTGTCTCACATGAACCCTCTCCAGCAGTGTCAGATCGTTATTGTGCCATCGTCTTCTTATTGAAGGCATTTGTTTTATAATACTTGAAGCATCTGTGATAATTTTGTTGTATATATGTATACAATATATACAATAGTATACAATATGTATGAGTATTATACCAAGTGAATACCACGGCTGTCTGTTGTGAACAGAAGACCGTCATTGTGCCAAATAATATTGTAACCTTGTAACGTCACATTCCACTTTATGCAAATACAACAATCTTTACCCCATCTACTTTTTTGTGTCGTTAATTTCAAGATACAGTTAGTCACTGTGCGCTTACGCCATGCGTGCGTGCGTGTGTGCGTGCGTGCGTGTGTGTGTGTGAAAACGTTCGCTCGTGACGCCGAAGGCCCGGGTTCGATTCTCCACATGGGTACAATGTGTGAAGCCCATTTCTGGTGTCCCCCGCCGTGATTTTGCTGGAATAGCGCTAGAAGCGGCGTAAAGCCATACACACGCTCTCCGAAACAAAACTAACATTATCGTGCCATGTTTAGTGTCACTTGAGTTTCATAGCACCGGTGCCCATTGCGGAAAGGAAATTCCAGTATGACGTATTAGGTCACGTGTTACTTTAGGTCTTCCGGACTTCTATAGACGGCTTCCTTAAATATTACGATCTTCATCATCTCAACGGGAAGGGGCGGTCGGGTAGCCTAGTGGTTAAAGCGTTCGCTCGTCACGCCGAAGACCCGGATTCGATTCCCGACATGGGTACAATGTGTGAAGCCCATTTCTGGCGTCCCCCGCCGCAATATTGCTGGAATATTGCTAAAAGCGGCGTAAAACCATACTCACTCACTCACTCTTAACGGGACCTAAATAAGGTCGGCGTTAAACAACTAACAAAACGAATACATACATTTTACCTGGCTTTGGCAGTTCTTAAACTGTTCAAGTTACATGATTCAACAATACCTTACACTGTAGGCACTTGCAATATGTTTTCGATTTTTTCATAAAACACATGGACGCTTTTAATATAACAATTCTAGGTAAATATAAGAAATATATACTGGGATATTATTACATTTACATGTATGTAACGTCATGTTGTTATAAATTTTAAGCATAATGGACTAGTGGTGGATAGCATGACAACCCAAAACAGATATAGGTCGATGCTGTTTCAACACCTGCTCGTAGCGTTTACTGGCAGACATTTTGTATTATATCGAAGGTTGCATGATTTTTGTTTCATGGTTGGTTGGTTTGTTGTTTAACGCCGCACTCAGCAATATTCAAGCTATATGACGGCGGTCTGTAAATAATCGAGTCTGGACCAGACAATCCAGTGATTGACATCATGAGCATCGATCCACGCAAATGGGATCAATGATCAAGTCAGCGAGCTAAGACCACCCGATTATTCGCCTCTTACGACAAGCATAGTCGCCTTTTACGGTAAACATGGGTTGCTGAAGACCTATTCTACCCGGACCTTCACGGGCCTTTTGTTTCATGAAGTTATGTTTCATTAACACTGGTTAACTCAGGTTGAATCTAATCAACCACTGGCTGCTTGAAATGCGGTATCCTTAGATGACACAGTTCACTTCACTGTCAAACGCAATTATTAACGGCACTTGTTCTTCAGCCTAACTCCCTCACTTGCGTACCACTCGTGTCCCGTCCTACCCACTAGATGCAAACCGAAGTTTTAATATGAGTGGCGTTTACATGGAAAAGATAAGATTACAAAGTATGATATACACATAACCGGATAAAACAAAGAACATTAACACAATTCTCGTGGCATTAATATGTTCATAATCCGTTTTAGTGCCCATTGATTATCAACGAACCCACTACACAACTTCCCGGAAGTGTCCGGATTTTATCCCAATATGGCGTCGTGACGATTGGGGTGTATTCTGAATCTGTCAAAAACAGCCGTGACAGTTTCATTGCTGACATTGTGTGTGCAAAATGAAACTGTTCCCGAAAATAATTACAGGGGCCTTGCATGCTCAAAACAAAAATGCTTGTGACTGGTGAGTTTAGAACATTGATTTTAACAATTTATCTGTCTTCAATCTAGATCTTGTTTACAAAATAGGCGTAAAAAAACAGTAAACAGACAATCTATCACTGTATATTTAATTTTTGCAGTGATTTTTAATCAAAGGATGTCTTGTATTGAAAGATACTCTGATTTTGAAGTTGACAGTTCATATTAGTTATGGAGATTTATTTATGATTGTCGAATATAATTTGGTATTTGTAAATGGTGCAGCTGGTTCCATTACCAAGTCTAGGGTGCCGTTGTACAAAGCGATCTTAGCGCTAAGGCGAATGTAACTCCGATACCTTAACATAGACTTACGACTGTCGTAGTGCTAAAGCTGTTTTGTACAACTCCACCCAGGACTGTCCTGTGATCATCATCTATACCTCCCGAGCCTACAGGGATTTTCCTGGACACAAATGGCATTAGGACATTTTCAGAATGTTATCAAATTTTAATAGAATATGCTTCTATATCATTCTCAAATTTGCAAAACATCTTCAGGACATTTTCGAAGATTACCAGTCAATGTCGAAGAAAATTGGTCATGTTGAAGCAATATTTGTTTGTTTAACGCCGCACTCAGCAATATATCCAGCAATATATCCAGCAATATGGCGGCGGTCTATAAATAATCAAGTCTGGACAGACAATCCAGTGATTGACATCGTGAGCATTGATGCGATAACATGCATCAACCAAGTCAGCGAACCTGACCACCCGATCCTGTTAGTCGCCTCTTGCAACAAGCATAGTCGCCTTTTGCTGCAAGAATGGGTTGCTGCAGACCTATTCTTACCTGGATCTTCACGTGTGTTTGAAACAATGCTCACATGTTAATTTGGTTATAACCATTTCGATGTTCTGTTCTAAATATTGTCTTGAGTGGTATTTTAATTATATAAAACCTCCAATTAGGGCTGAAATGGCTTGTGTAATAAGTTCCTTGAAGCTCATGAACATATGTTCCCCACAAAAAATCTAGCAATATTTTTGTGTGACAACAATCACATGTAATAAAATAGCCTTTAATAAGTAATCCCACATTAATATGATTAAGTAATGTGTATACATGGTGACACAAATTGGGTTTTGACATCCACATTGCGACAACCTTATTTTGAGACAGCATTGTCAACTGTACGTCATTTAAGTGATCACAGAAGTTTGCTTTCAAGTAATTTTTCATTATATTACACTGGATAAGTGACACCATGCTAGTCGAGGTCTATGTTCGATAATAAGTATGCACAGTGTAAATTAATTTGAAGTCTACTGCAAGATTCTAAGTAGATGTAAATTGTATATTGCATGGTGATTGTGTATTTGAAATGACCCCCATCTGCATGTACAGATTTCTGAAATTCTCCCAAAAATGTCTCTAAAATGTCTACAAGTTCAAGTATTGTCTATCAATTTTGTATTACAGTACCGGTACTAAGGATGGTAACCATGGTAACAGTAATATAGTGAAGTCAGCAGCACCTCCATGCTGCATCAAACAAGATTTTGACCTGGCAAACTTCCTCTCATGCTCCATTGTGATATTGTATTAAAGTAAAAGTAAACAGTATGCGGCATAATTTCTGAGATTTTTTTAGTCAGTCCTGTGGACTCCCAGGAATAATTTTGGGAGGCTCCATGCTTGCTACACTTTGACACTAAACAGCCATGCATTTCACATCCCATGGGGCTCTCAGTGTGTGCCGTATTATATATTTCATTCTTTCTTCACCATGGTAACTTATTGTGTGGGAAGATATTACATCCTAATTAGACCCATGCATCCCAAACCACAATGGTGGAAGGTGTCGGGTATTCAATGTGGCACTGAAATACACTCCTTGATGACTTGTTACCATGGTTACAGTTATATAAACATTCATGGTCACATTTTAAATAGTTATTTAGAGTACCAGTTCAAACATAGTTATATCAGTTAGATGATGATAACAACGACGAAGATGATGATGATGCTGACCACGATGATGATGATGATGACCATGATGATGATGATGACCACGATGATGATGGTGCCGACGACGATGATGATGCTGATGATGACCACGATGAAGATGATGATGACCACGATGATGATGATGATGATGATGATGATGATTGTGTGTTTCAGGGGCTGGCAAGGGAAGCTGGCCTATGGTTGTCACAACTTTGTCACTGTGGTGGACCCAGGGACTGTCCAGGTAGGTGTTAGGAATCTGGGTTAGAGTAGGTCCACAGGAACCTATGCTGGTTGTAAGAGGTGACAAGTGGATCAGGTGGTCAGGTTGGGTAGCTTGGTTGACAGCACATCCCCATACCCTGGTGTCGAGGATCGTTGCTCACAATATCAATCACTGGTTTGTGTCCAGTTTTGATTATTTACAGGCTGCGTCGTATAGCTGGAATATTGCTGAGTGTGGTGTTAAACAACAAACCAACTGTACAAGGTTAGACACAGCCACTAGACCGAGATGGGTGAACATCTCGTTGTGTTCTCCAAATCTAGATACCCAGTTTTTTACGTCAAACAAAACTACAAAAAGAACTGGTAACTAGTAGGATATTACCAATTGTTTGTCTACCCTTGTCTACAGCATCAGCAGTACTAAGAGTGCCTTTAGCATATCTATGATTAAATTATGATGATATTTGTCATGATCATGATGATACAGTTGAGTTGGGTACATTTTGTGTGATGGGTTTACATGCCGATAGATTGTGTGTACCTGGGTTTTACTTTGACCTACAAAAGTGGGGGTCCAGAGGACTCCCAGTACTTAATTTTGAGGGCTTTTGCAGGCAGTATGAGGGTCTTAAAGTATTAAAATGGTGTACTGTACTGTAGTTTCTTCTGCACCCATTATCAACATATGTGCATCCTGTACGACCCTGGCGCTCTGCTTATGGCCATGCAGGGACATGTTTCATTTGAAATGACCAGGATGACAAATTTAGCAGGATCAATTTTCTGTAATTTGAAATCATGTACTGTATATCTCCTAAATTCTGTACATTTTGCAGGTTATTCAAGTGCTGGAGAAACACAAGGCCAATGTTGTCAAGGTGAGAAGAAGCTTTTCCTTAAGACTTTCTTTATGATGAAGACACAGAGATTTCCATCCCTTCAATTGATTTGTTATTCAAAGAGGCTTTAATCACAACTCATTCCCCACACCCTTAGAAAGTGTCTGTGTGCCCTTAATGTTTACTATGCCAAACACCATAAATATGACAGTGATAGTGATAACCATGGTAGCACTGGAATGAGTGCAGGAATAGTGGAATAAAATAGTTAGTTATATATATAATGAGGATATGGAGGAACAAGGTCATGCCTACATCATGGATTGGTTCCTTATGCTCAGTGGATCATAGGGTCATCTGTGCCCCTCAAATTGTGGGATCAAATATTCAGTCAATGATAAATCCTTTGTTGACATCTTGGTTGGTCGCTGTTGATACAAAAGATTCATTTTGTTCACAAAGGCTGAATGTGTTGAATGTGTGCAAGTGTAGTGACCTATGTGATGAATGTGTGCAGGTGTAGTGACCTATGTAATAAATGTGTGCAGGTGTAGTGACCTATGTGATGAATGTGTGCAGGTGTAGTGACCTATGTGATGAATGTGTGCAGGTGTAGTGACCTATGTGATGAATGTGTGCAGATGTAGTGACCTATGTGATAAATGTGTGCAGGTGTAGTGACCTATGTGATGAATGTGTGCAGGTGTAGTGACCTATGTGATGAATGTGTGCAGGTGTAGTGACCTATGTAATAAAAGTGTGCAGGTGTAGTGACCTATGTAATAAATGTGCGCAGGTGTAGCGACCTATGTAATAAATGTGTGCAGGTGTAGTGACCTATGTAATAAATGTGTGCAGGTGTAGTGACCTATGTAATAAATGTGTGCAGGTGTAGTGACCTATGTAATAAATGTGTGCAGGTGTAGTGACCTTTGTAATAAATGTGTGCAGGAATAGTGACCTATGTAATAAATGTGTGCAGGTGTAGTGACCTATGTAATAAATGTGCGCAGGTGTAGCGACCTATGTAATAAATGTGTGCAGGTGTAGTGACCTATGTAATAAATGTGTGCAGGTGTAGTGACCTTTGTAATAAATGTGTGCAGGAATAGTGACCTATGTAATAAATGTGTGCAGGTGTAGTGACCTATGTAATAAATGTGCGCAGGTGTAGCGACCTATGTAATAAATGTGTGCAGGTGTAGTGACCTATGTAATAAATGTGTGCAGGTGTAGTGACCTTTGTAATAAATGTGTGCAGGAATATAGTGACCTATGTAATAAAAGTGTGCAGGTGTAGTGACCTATGTAATAAATGTGCGCAGGTGTAGCGACCTATGTAATAAATGTGTGCAGGTGTAGTGACCTATGTAATAAATGTGTGCAGGTGTAGTGACCTATGTAATAAATGTGTGCAGGTGTAGTGACCTATGTAATAAATGTGTGCAGGTGTAGTGACCTTTGTAATAAATGTGTGCAGGTGTAGTGATCTATGTGATGAATGTGTGCAGGAATAGTGACCTATGTAATAAATGTAATGAATTTGTGCAGGTGAAGTGGGGGAAAGAGAACTACCACCATGACCTCAACAGCCCGTACACGCTGCGCCTGGTGTCTGCGGACGCTGCAGGGGTCATCATCGTGTGGGATGTGGCCCAGGGTCAGGCCAAGGTCGAGTTCTCCGAGGGCAACAAGCCAGTGCAAGGTGAGCAGGGTGAACTGTAGTAAATCTTGTGACCTGGTGAACGGTGAAGTAGTTTCTACATGTATAGCTTCATTCTTCCCTAGTGTAAAACATTGTAATGTAATGAAGGATGATTGTCATCTACTATATATTCATGTGTATTATCATAATGTATACTTGAGAGTATTCTTGTGTTTTATCATAATATGTACTTGAGTGTATTCATGTGTATTATCATAATATATATCGCCGAGGACCCTATTTTCGAATGACGCCTGTTTTCGAACAGCCATATTGAAAGTGACTTTGTCGCGTTATAACGAGAGGTGGGATATCAACAAGGCTGTCGCCTTGAGAGTACACACATTCGGCCTGTCAACATTGGGTTCATGTGAAGTACTGTACACCTGTAAGGACAGTCTGTTGTCATTCAGTATTTTTGTGCCTGTGCCACAATGAAAAGGAACAGTGGAATAGTGTGAACATTATAATTTGACAAGTATTCATATTTTGTGACTAGATTTCAAACTTTCAGTTACTGTTTGAGTTTTAATGCCAACCTGCAAGAAATATGTTGAGAAGTGTGCACCAAAACACTTCTGTTCATTCATGAAAAAGCAACTAAAGTACCAAACCAATCAGGTATTCGAAAATAGGTGACGTCACTCGAGTGAAGCAGAAGTTTACAGATGGGGTAGTGGAGGTCACGCCTTTTATCGAGGAGTGTTTTTCTTTTGGAATGGAGTTGAATTTTATAGTTGAAAACATCACCTACTGGTGTGAAGCAGAATTTGAGTGTTTATTCGCTCATCCCTTTAAATATAAGCATGGCATAACTGTTCGAAAATAGGGTACGTCAGGATACTTGATTATATTCTTGTGTGTAGTTGGTGTGTCATCTCTGACACAAGTATTCAGCCTACGCATATGCTAGTCTCCCTCCTTGAATTGATGAAGAATGCTGAGTTCAGATTGAACATTGTTCACCCAGCTGATGTGTAACCATGGCAACTGTTTCAGACATGGAATGGCTGCGGCACCAGGACGCATCCCGTGACCTGCTGGTGGCACTGCATCCCCCGTACTCCCTGGTTCTATGGAACGCCGACACGGGCACCAGACTTTGGAAGAAAACCTACACAGAGAACCTGCTGTCCTTCTCCTTCGATCCCTTCAACTCCAAGAATGTTGCATGTAGGCCGGGAGTAACGTTTATATTGAAATGTAGTGGTGTTGAAAATCTGTTAATCTGTTTATTTTGTTTAGTTGGTTGACATTATATTTTGACTGAATTAAGTGAAGGCTGGGTAGTCATGGTAGGTGGTCGAACTTGTTTTTGTTGTCATTTTCTACTTCCAAATTAACTTCCAACTATTAACTCCGTGGTTATGCAGGTTTAGAATTGCTCCCCAGCAACCTATCCTGGTAGTCAGAGATGACTTAACGGTTCGATGGTCAGACCCTGGGACTTGGTAAATCGTGGGTCATCGTAACACGACAGTTTGGATCTTTGCCCACAATATTAATCATAGGATTGTCTTGTCCAGACTCGATTATTTACAGGCCGTGCCGTCATATAGCTGGAATATTGTTGAGTGGGGTGTTAAACAACAAACAAACAAACAACTAACTATTAATGTGAACCATGCAAAATTTGGTATTCAAGGTGATAAGAGAAGTCAGGATCATAGATACTATTTTTCTGTTTCAGTTTTGGGTCAGGACTGCATCGTGTTCATTGATGACTTCACAATCACCAAGACCCCGTCCAGCAATGGCAAGAAGTTCTACATATTCAGCCCATCTAGTCAGAGTGAGTGAGGGTTCTAGCCTTCAATGACCATGTGACAGCACTTGCCACACCATCATATAGCAGTAGCAGATTATTGGTGACTATGTCAATAGAGGCAGCACTGTAATAAACTTGTCACCATTTATTAGCAATCAACCACATTCACCAATCAGAAAGTCCAAAGTGTCACTTCAAATTAAGGTGTCATACTAGGCTGTTTATCACGGACTAAGCTGCTGCGGGTAATCAAGGATGTTGTTTAACGTGATGGTTGTGTTGTGTAGATTCCTCCACGAACCAGACCGGGAACACCAACAGCCTGGAGAGGAAGTCTTCATCCAAGAACCTGGCACAGAGGATGACCAGAATCTTGGTGGGCGAGAGTAAACCAAGGTCAGGCTTCTCACTGTCTAAAACAGTTCTCATTAAAGCATGAAATGTTATTTTATTATAAATATGATCAACTCAAAGACAGACCGGCAGGCGGGAAAGCGGGCAGGCGGGTGGTCAGCGGCCCGGCACGGGTGGGTGTTTAGACGGACATGATGGATGGATTAATTTATTTTATACATTTGGGCCAAGGCCGATGGTACCAATATGAATAAAAGTATGATTAAATATACATGCTGAATAAGCAGCTAGAACATGCAGGGAAACAATACAATTTATGTTACCTCCTGTATTGTGCGATCCATTTTCTGTCTGGTCCAAGAATCCATGACGCCTGGCTGACACAAACCTATGTGTAAGGAATAAACAAGTCATAATCGAGACAGTATAAATACAGTATATTCATAAACTTCTGATTGATAATTATTATGAAAGATATTTTGAAATACTGATTATTTATCAACATCATCAAATCTATAAAACTAATCAAACTGCTCACAGCGATATCCCGTTCGCAGAGCTCTCTATACTGAAATATGATGGCATTCCCAAAGACATTAACAAAAGAATGAACGTTACTACATTTGGGGTTAGAGGGCAAATTTCAAGATTCTTGTAATGGCCGCGCCCACACTGGTGGCAGAGTGTAACGAAGGTGTCACGCGCGGGGAAGGAGCTTGAAAACTAATAACAAAAGGGAGGTTACTTTCAGTTATTTACATTGCATGACGATGAAAAACGCAAAGTCAAACTTTGTGTTTCGGCAGGCCACTAAATAATCTTAATGATTTTGTGTGAATCCCATCACTTATGCTGCCTTTTCACTATGACCACGAATATCCCGAATCACCCCAAATTGGAAATTTTTCACGTTCGTAGATAAATCTTAATCATTTCTTGAAGTTCTTAAATGAATCTTATTTGATTCCCAAACATTCCTACAGTTTGCGGGAGTTCGTCGAACCGTGAGAAAGTTTTTGTTTGTCAAAAACTTTCGTGGCAGGGTCCCCGAATTGAAATTTCCCGGCTGTATCGTAATCCATTCGTAATTAATTCTTATGTTACGTAACAGCTTCATAATCGATTCTTTTGCATTCTTGGCTATTCTTGGCGATACGTGGCTCCCAAAATTTCTTGTCCTCAACCCGTAAAACATCTGCAAACAGCCGCAAATGTCCCGAGTCAACTACGAATCATGTAAGAATTAACTAAGAACAACATTCGGCATATTCGTAACTAAGTCGTAGGTGATTCTTACAATTTGTGCATGATCCGTACATGAATCTTGTAATTTGTACATGTTTCCTAACCCATTCCTGGCATTCTTCATATTTGTCAACCCGATTAGGCACGAAAGTTTGCATTATTGTCATATTCGTGGTCGCAGTGAAAGGGGGGCATTAGAGAGGGACTTCAGGTTTCTGTGATCGTTTGGAAATTTGGCAAATTGAATTTTGTTTAGAGGGGCAGGATGGTCTAAGGTAATGCAATTTGATGTTCGGAATTGCTTCCCTTTTCTGTGCCAGGAAAAGCTGTTGGTTTTAATCTCAGATTATGATCTTTGTTTTTTATGCATTACCATGCTTGTTGGGTTCTCCAATGTATCTGGGGGGGCACGGGTGGCCCAATCATCTAAGGCGCCGCGATTCATTGTGCAGTTGCGTCCCTTGGGCACGCCAGAAACCTATGATTGTGGGTTCGAATCCTTGTTCGCCCCGATTATGTTTCTAGGTTTGTCAGCACCATACCCTTACTCGTGGGTTTCACCGAAGTGGTAAATGTCTGAAACCTGCATCACTTCAGGCTTTCCTCCCACATTAAGCTGACACGCCATGATATAACTGTAGTAATGTTAAAGGTGGCGTCAAACCCAACTCACTCACTCAGTCCAATGTATGTGCTAGTTTTGGAGAGCTATTGAACTCACATTGAATTATTTCCAACACTAGATGTCCAGCAGACCATAGTTATATACTGTATCAGAAACAGTGACCACACATTGACTCCGAAGGATTAATGACAACAGTGTTCATTGACATATGTGACTTTTATAGTAATGTATTTTATTGGAATATGTAAATTCAATGCATATTCCATAAAGATATTTTACAAAATACAGAGAGCACTAACAAATTCAATCACACATATTCTTAGCGAAACATCTTGAGAAGAGATAGCTAAATGTAGCTAAATTATTATTTGTCCTGAAGATAAATATTTTGTGTTGCAGCAAGGCAAACCAGACTGATGAAGAGACCATTGCTCTAAATGAGTGCATCCAGTTGTCATTCCATCACTCATGCCGCCACCACCTTCTCCTCCTCTACCCTAGAGAGCTCCTCATCCTTGACCTTGAGATCAACCAGACAGTGGGGATTATCTCCCTTGACAAAGCAGCCTCTTCCTTTGCCCAGGTAAACCAATATCGACTTGTGAGCAGATGTGTTTGCATGTTTCATCTTTGAAAACTCTGTCTTTTTCAGAAATTAACCTTTAAAGTTTTATTTTTTCTGCAAAGTGTCTCATGGTTAAGAGGAGGCATGGGAGGCCCAGTCATCTACTGAAATTCACTGTGCCTGTGTTCCTTGTCATAGCCAGGAACCTATTGTCAGTTCGAATCCTAGTTTGACATCACCGTACACCTGTATCACGCTGGGCCCTCTTCCTACATGACACTGACATTTGCTGTCATATACTACTCAAATGAAGATAAGCACCACCCGATTCTTTTATACTTCTATAGTAATATGAACAAATTGAGTGGTGCTTATCTTCTTTTGAGTAGTATATAACTGAAATAGCAACTTCCTCAAGGATAAAGAGTCATGACAGCCATGGAATATATATTTTCAACACTTGTTTTAGTGTTTTTAGTGAGTTGAACATGAATTTGTCCTGGTGGATTGGATGGTTACATGTGTATGTCGGAGTGTGGATATTCCCAGCAGGAGTTAGATGATGTGAAAAAGCAGGACTGCATAGTATTACCAGTTTACCTATATACTGCAATACACTTTTCAAACAAAACGTAATGCAATGTATTTTTGTGTTTCCGTTAAAATTTTTGTTTTGCCTGGCCCTGTTATTACTTGTATGTTTGTTTGTTTGCTTGTTTGTTGTCTAACACTGCACTCAGTAGTCCAGCTATATGAAGGCGGTCTGTAAATAATTGTGTCTGGACTAGATAATCCAGTGACTGACGTCATGAGCATCGATCCATGCAATTGGGATACAATGACATGCATCAACCAAGTCAGCGAGTCTGACCTCCCGATCCCGTTAGTCACCTCTTATGACAAGCATAGTCGCCTTTTAAGCCAAGCAAGGGTTGCTGTCGAGGCCCTATTATTACTAGGCAGCAGTGATGAACCTGGAAGACAGTTGACTGCAGCCTTACCCAATATTCACTCACGGACTGACTCACTTGCATCACAAGACATTATACCAGGGTTACGATTCTGAATTTATTTATGCTGTATCACCACCACTGGGGCACTGATGTGCCAATTAATGGTAGATTAGCTTAAAATTTGCATAAACATGACCTACATAAAAACCTAAGAACTAAAATATCCACAAAATAGTGCCATTATTATCTCCATTCAGAACTGCCAGCTTACGTTCATTTTCGAGATAGAGACTTTTCCCAGAATGGAACTCCAGCTTTGTCTTGTGTCTGCAGATTATCCCCTGCTGGCAGAGAGATGTGTTCTACTGTCTGCACGAGAACGGCAGTATATCGGTGCGTGTCCGGCGCAAAACCAACCTGATGTCTGCACCTGCATCCGAGGGAACTGGAGCATTTGGTAAGTCAGCAGCAGTCAAAGCCAGGGGATCATTCTAGGAATAGCTTCAGGCATACAGGGATTTACCAGGGGATCATTCTAGGAATAGCTTCAGGAATACAGGGATTTACCAGGGGATCATTCTAGGAATAGCTTGAAGTATACAGGGATTTACCAGGGGATCATTCTAGGATTAGCTTCAGGAATACAGGGATTTACCAGGGGATCATTCTAGGAATAGCTTGAAGTATACAGGGATTTACCAGGGGATCATTCTAGGATCAGATGTACAGGGATTTACCAGGGGATCATTCTAGGAATAGCCTCAGGTATACAGGGATTTACCAGGGGATCATTCTAGGATCAGATGTACAGGGATTTACCAGGGAATCATTCTAGGAATAGCCTCAGGTATACAGGGATTTACCAGGGGATCATTCTAGGAATAGCTTCAGGTATAGAGGGATTTACCAGAGGATCATTCTAGGAATAGCTTGAAGTATACAAGGATTTACCAGGGGATCATTCTAGGATCAGATGTACAGGGATTTACCAGGGGATCATTCAAGGATCAGGTGTACAGGGATTTACCAGGGGATCATTCTAGGAGTAGCTTCAGGTATAGAGGGATTTACCAGGGGATCATTCAAGGATCAGATGTACAGGGATTTACCAGGGGATCATTCTAGGATCAGATGTACAGGGATTTACCAGGGGATCATTCTAGGAATAGCTTCAGGTTTACAGGGATTTACCAGGGGGGCTATCTATACTACTCATAACAAGGTAAGGATCTCCCAATTCTTTCATGGCATGACAGATTAACTATAGCAATATGAAACAATTGAGTGATCCTTACCTTCTTTTGAGTAGAATATTTTTGCCTCCACGGAACTCTCAGTAATACATCTGAGGGGTCCAAGACATGAACACCCGATTCTTTGATAATGCTACAGTTAATCTGTCATGGCATGTTGGGTGTTCTTAATTTCCTTTTGAGTGGTACATATAACACGCAATCTACAATTTTGATGACGTGGAATAATGATTCAAACAGACAGTCCTTGCTTAGTCTTCCAGTACTTGCAATGTAAGTTAGCTGAGCAGTGTACCACTGATGTATGTATCGTTATTCCAGATGACACGCCACCTAATGTGTCCTTGGATGTGGCGTATGACCTCCGCTGCCAGTCTGACCCGCTGCGGGTGACGAGACACAATCGGGTGTACGGCATCGCTGCCTCCCTCATCTCAGAGCGGACCATGGCTCTCATCATGAGCGACAGCAGGGTCATCTTCTGGGACCTGCACACCATGGACACACCGGTCAGTACCAGCTTGTACTTCTCACAGGGGAGGTAACTCACAGGGGAGGTAACCTTGTGGTGAATATGTTGGCTCGTCACCATACATGTGATACATTGTCAGAGGGTGTCGGAGACTTTGAGCCGTTTCTTTCAGAGAAATGTTTGCATCTATCAGGGAAAATTTGAATATAGCACCCAATACATTTAAATGTTAAACAGTCATACAATCTGTTAATTTACAGGGGGCACGGGTGTCCCAGTCGTCTAAGGCGCCGCGATTCGCTGTGCAGAGTTGCGTCCCTTGGGCATGCCAGAAACCTATGATTGTGGGTTCGAATCCCGGTTCGCCCCGATTATGTTTCTAGGTTTGTCAGCACCATACCCGTGCTCGTGGGTTTCACCGAAGTGGTAAACGTCTTAGACCTGCATCACTTCAGGCTTTCCTCCCACATTAAGCTGACACGCCGTGATATAACTGGAATAATGTTAAAAGCGGCATTAAACCCAACTCACTCACTCACTCACTCACTGTTAATTTACAATGGCTTAGTACCATCAAGGTGAGTTCTCCTTCTCCATACTCACTGAACATGCTTTCTGGGCCTTCATTTATGCAACAAACAAACAATTTGAGAGAATAATAATATTATTTTGTCCCAAATTAATTTTGATTTCTGAAAAGGACAAAATAATGGCTGAGTTTAGATGCAGCATGAGATTTGTATCTATTTATCTATTTACATTCCTACATTTAAAATCATGATCGATCAATCATATTGTGAATGTCAGTTAATAATGAAATAATTTAAAGATTAACATCATTAACTCACAGGAATACGTAGCTGTACACGCACAAAGTAGTTTATATATTGACTCGCGTATCCTTCATAGGATACATGGGTCAATAATAATAAAAAGATTCACTATCTATCCATATCACTTTCGGTCAAAGATCAGCAGTTTAAACGCAAATAGATATTGAAAATGAATGATCGGTAGCTTGACCACTGGATGTGTTCAATCCGCCCAATCGTCAGGGTTCCTCATGACGCAGGTTCAAATCAGCCAATCATGCATAGTGTTGTTTCTGGAGAAGGCGATTGCTGTTCATATTTTGTTTTCACGTCCAAGAGTTTAGTGGTATATTGACCTTTTGACACAGTTTCTGATAAATCTGATAACCAATAGTCATGTATACCTGGGCTGGTCACATATGTCTACGTTTGTATTAAGTTATGCAGGAATAAACACACAGGACAGTGTGATAAGTATAAGGCTGATTATTTATTTCAAGTTCAACCCTTGAGGCACAAGTTTTCTTGTTAATCTTTTAATTATCAGTTGATTACTAGACACAGGCACATCTGGGCCAAGTTTCTACCCTTGCTGAACTTGGCTTGTATAATGGAGTTATATAGTGGCTGGTGAAACGACTCTTTGCGTAGTCCTGTAAAAATGGCGTAATGAAATCGACATCCAGTTTATAAAATGCTGCCAGATTTCGGTCAATTGCAGGATTTGCAAAGCATGTGTACCGCGGACTCGGAGTCAGCAGATATTTTCAAAATCTATTCATGTTTTTAATCAAGGTTGTAACTTCATCTGTATGACATTTGAGATATAGAATGAATAAATGCTTACGTTTTCTTATGTTACAGATTGAGATTGACCACCAGGTGGCCTCCCCACTGTACACCCCCGGCCTGACCCTGCCATCCCCCGCCCAGCAGATCCCGTCCCGCAGACAGGACTTCCCCATCATATCCAGACTAGCATACCCCAAGGTTGCTCTCACTGATCTCATTGGTCAGTCCCAGCTGCCCTTGGCTGAAGGTCAGAGGTCAAACAAAGGTCACACAGTTCAACTCAAGTTCATCTTGACTGGGTTGCTGAACGGAATCGCAGCTCATGTCACCACCATCAGAATGTGTCCTCCCCTCACCAACAAGAACTGGAATGTATACGAACCTCTTCTGGCTCTAGGTAAGATAGATTCATACAGTATTGTGACAAAGGTTAAACTCCACTTTGAACAGTATTTCAGTTACATCATGGTTTGTCCGTGCTGACAGACCTTGGATCATCATGATCATAATTGCAGCGATTTTGAATCTATACTTATACTGTCATGAAATATTCATCATTGGATTTTTTGAATGGCATTTAGAAGTGATACACATAAGGAAAAAAAATTTCGGATGTCAACTTCTTTATTAGGAGGAAACACAACGTTTTGGAGCTGGCTACCTTTTGCCCTTATTGCTATGTCCATTCTTTTACCTATCACTGCTCATCACCCCCGGCCTAACGTTTGCCCAGTGTCCATTGCCCAAGTTAAGGGCTGGCTTCCAGTTGTCCATAACCATCAGTGCTAATTACTGTAGAGTGTTACTTCCCTTGTTATAGTCTGGAAGGTAATTTAAGGTACCGATGTTTACTACAGTATCTGACGAACTATTGGACCCCTTCCAGTCAAAGTTGGCATGAGATTATTAAACAGTCATACATAACTGGATATTACATTTAAAGACAATCGGTGCATGAATAAAAAATCTGTCTATTTAGCTATCACTATATTTCATCAACAACCAGACCTGTCCGTCACGGGTGGAACGAGCATTCATTGAAACAGCCATCTGCATAATGCTACCCCTGCGTCACAGGGCCATATGACACAGTTGAACCAATCATCTCAACTCGAAAGGCTGCACGGGAATCACGCACGTTGAGACGCCCAACGCTAACACCGTATTCGTGCGTGCGTGATTCTCGTGCACCCTTTCGAGTTCAGATATTGTAGTAAACGTTGGTACCTTAAATTACCATCCAGACTAGAGTTTCCACCTTTTGTTATCTTATTACTTTTGTTGTCCTTACGTGTACATATATATGCTCTCTGCCTCATTGCATTCATTCACTTGATGAAGGAGTAAGCATATACTCCGAAATGTTGTGTTTCCTCATAAAAAAGAAGTTCCTCTTATTCCTTATATTGTCTTCTTTTCCTTGTCTAATTTATAATGAAGCCTTCTTTCAAAGACAATCCGTTCTTTATCCAGGTACTTTCTCCGGAGCTGTCCAGATTGTGAATGTGGCGTCCGGACAACTGGACCGTGAATACAGCCTGCATTCTTCCATGGTCAGGTAGGTCTCATAGCCTTTCCACGGCCATGTTCAGATACGTACAGTAGCCTTTCCACGGCCATGTTCAGATACGTACAGTAGGGTTTCCACGGCCATGTTCAGATACGTACAGTAGCCTTTCCACAACCAGACCAGGACTACCAGGTAAATGTAGCGTTGTTGCAGCCCTTTAAACCCCGATATTGTCTTTCTGAGAGAGGGGGCAATTAGCTGTGCAGAGTTGCGTCCCTTAGGCACACCAGAAACCTATGATTGTGGGTTCAAATCCCGGTTCGCCCCGATTATGTTTCTAGGTTTGTCAGCACCATACCCGTACTCGTGGGTTTCACCAAAGTGGTAAACATCTAAGACCTGCGTCACTTCGGGCTTTCCTCCCACATTAAGCTGACACGCCTTAATATAACTGGAATACTGTTAAAAGTAGCGTTAAACACAACTACTAACCTAGAAACATAATCGGGCGAACCAGGATTCGAACCCACAATCATAGGTTTCTGGCATGCCCAAGGGACGCAACTCTGCACAGCGAATCGCGGCGCCTTAGACGACTGGGGGACCCGTGCCCCCCAAATCAATACTAAGAATAAAAGAAGAACTGGCCAAAAAGTACATTAGTCTAAGTGTTTGCTGTTTCTGTCTGTGACACAGAGGTATTGAGTGGTGCGGCCTGAAGACATTCCTCTCCTACGCCTACCCCAACCCTGGCCCCAGTGGACTGGTCAAGAACGAGGTCTTCTATGTGGACATCTTGTCTGGTAAATACTGTCACGCCGTCACATTTACTGTAGAAATATTTCACGTTAAAGAGAAACACAAAGTGCTTTTACCATGTATTTAGCAAATTATCCCAATAGATTTTAATCAACTTGCTGCTTTTCCACCTAATGGTCATAAGAGGCGACCCAGTGGATCAGGTGTCAGACTTGGTGACTTGCTTGTATGTCATCATACCCTGATGATGTGGATCGGTGCTCGTGATATCAATCACTGGATTGTCTGGTCCAGACTCGATTATTTGCAGGCTGCCGTCATATAGCTAGAATATTGCAGTGTTAAACAAAAAGCAAAGCAAACAAAATCTTACCTATGAGACAATCCTTTCCTAAAAAAACAAAAATGAAAGTTGACTGTTGCATCTCCCGCAGGTAAGGTGACGTCGGTGAGGACACAGCGAGACGAGGAGTCCCGCATAGAGTCGCTGCAGATCTCACACCTCAGGTCAGTATCCAGCCCTCCAAGTCACTGCAGATATGTCCATACAAACTCTTCTGATGATCTGGGACCCGTTCCACAAAGCGATCTTAGTGCTAAGATGATTGTAACTTCTATACTTTAACATAGGCTTACAACAGTCCTAGCACTAAGATTGCTTTCTGGAACATTTTTGTGTACTTTTCAGAGCTAGCGTGGTCGTTTCTGTGCATGATCATAATTCACTTAATGTAATCTTTTGTGTGAACCATCGGATCCTGGCACTCCTAAGGGAAGCAACTGCAGAGCAAATTACAGCACCTAGATAACTGGGCCACCTGGGCACCTAGTTAAATTTTGAGATTTACGATATTGTCCTGTGAGAAAGAAACAATATTGTTGTGTTCATTCAAATTACTCAACCATAGCTTTCCTGAATGTTAAAAATTGTGAGGTGTGGTGGTGGTGTAATATTGCAATGACTGTGTACTGTTGTTGGTGTGAAACGGTGACCCCCCTCGTCTGATGTGACTTTGAAGCTGTCCCCACCTGTGTGTTCTAGGCAGTACTTCGTGCTGGCCTTCAAGGACAAGCCCCTGGAGCTGTGGGACATGAGAACTCTCACCATCATCCGGGAGCTGCCTAAAGCCTTCCCCCGACCCACAGCTGCTGTAAGTAGACAGGGAATGGTCCAGTCATATCACCAGGGAGTCAGCTAGGGTCAGCTAGGGTTGTCAGAGGCTGTCGTCAGCTGCTGTAAGTAGACAGGGAATGGTCCAGTCATATCACCAGGGAGTCAGCTAGGGTTGTCAGAGGCTGCTGTCAGTAGACAGGTAATGGTCCAGTCATATCATCAGGGAGTCATCTAGGGGCTGTCAGTAGACAGGGAATGGTCCAGTCATATCATCAGGGAGTCATCTAGGGGCTGTCAGTAGACAGGGAATGGTCCAGTCATATCATCAGGGAGTCATCTAGGGGCTGTCAGTAGACAGGGAATGGTCCAGTCATATCACCAGGGAGTCATCTAGGGGCTGTCAGTAGACAGGGAATGGTCCAGTCATATCATCAGGGAGTCATCTAGGGGCTGTCAGTAGACAGGGAATGGTCCAGTCATATCATCAGGGAGTCATCTAGGGGCTGTCAGTAGACAGGGAATGGTCCAGTCATATCATCAGGGAGTCATCTAGGGGCTGTCAGTAGACAGGGAATGGTCCAGTCATATCACCAGGGAGTCATCTAGGGGCTGTCAGTAGACAGGGAATGGTCCAGTCATATCATCAGGGAGTCATCTAGGGGCTGTCAGTAGACAGGGAATGGTCCAGTCATATCACCAGGGAGTCATCTAGGGGCTGTCAGTAGACAGGTAATGGTCCAGTCATATCACCAGGGAGTCAGCCATAGGTCTACATCCAACAAGGACAATGCCAGTAAAAAAAAATTTAAGTTATTAAATTGTAACTAATGTAATATGTCACCCATATATCACTGTGAACAGGATCAAAAGAGTAAGAGATTTAGTTTTATGTGTTTGCATTGAATACAAGTCTAAAGTACCTCTGAATTTAAGAAAATAAGGGCTTTAATAAAGATTTTGGGCAAAATAGAGCTAAATGTCTGTATCATGGCATGTCAGCCAAATGATGGAGGAAAGTCTAAAGTGATGGGATTGTAGATGTTTACCATTTTTGTGAAACCAAAGACCATGTGTGGTGTTGATAGATGAAGGATCAGAATTTGGGTGAATCTTTGATTAAGATTCACTCACTCACTCACTCATTCAAACAAAGCATATTGGAATATAATACCATTTGTGTGAATTTCAAGAATCAAGGCTGAAGTTTGTTTTTGAGTTTCTAGTTCTCGGGTTCGACTCACATCGCTCAAACACTCAGGTCATGTACAAATGATGAAAGGGTTGGTTGTGGTTTGGTTTTGGACCTTACCCTGAAATGAATATTGATTTTGACCAACTTTGGTTTGTTTACAGAGATACTCATGAAAGTTCAGCCAAAACAATGTTTAGGGGATAAACTGTTTCTGTTGCTATGCTCTCAAGTCGAGAACTTGGGACAATGATCATGTCTACATGATGTACCGAACGCTTGAATAGATAGGATCTCTGACTGTTTATGCAATACTCACTCACTCACTTATGCATGGCGGATGTTATGAAGTATGAGTTCATACACCATTGACAAGAGCTTCACCTAAACAGAGTGTCCGGACACTTGATGTATTGCTGAGAGGATTCCTAGGTTGATGCTGTGTGTAGAGATCTGTCTGACCGCACATGCTCCTCCCTTGCTGCAGGTGTGGTCCCCCTCCCACAGTCTGAAAAGTCTGAAGAAGAAGTTGTTGGACTCAGGGGCGGAGGAGGACAAGACGTCCATGATCAAGTCCACCGAGGGGGAGACGCCGCCCACGTCCACTTCCTCACAGTCCAGTATGTCAGACAGCACCACCAGCACCAAGTGAGTCAAGCTGTCTCATCCCTGCAGTGTCTGTCGTTCTCTTCCCTGCTGTGTGTGTCTTTCCCATCCAAGCTGTGTGTGTCTTTCCTATGCCTGTTGTGTGTGTCTTTCCTATCCCTGCTGTGTGTGTCTTTCCCATCCCTGCTGTGTGTGTCTTTCCTATGCCTGCTGTGTGTGTCTTTCCTATGCCTGCTGTGTGTGTCTTTCCTATGCCTGCTGTGTGTGTCTTTCCTATGCCTGCTGTGTGTACCTTTCCTATGCCTGCTGTGTGTGTCTTTCCCATCCCTGCTGTGTGTACCTTTCCTATGCCTGCTGTGTGTGTCTTTCCCATCCCTGCTGTGTGTGTCTTTCCTATGCCTGCTGTGTGTGTCTTTCCTATGCCTGCTGTGTGTGTCTTTCCTATGCCTGCTGTGTGTGTCTTTCCTATTCCTGCTGTGTGTGTCTTTCCTATGCCTGCTGTGTGTGTCTTTCCTGTGCCTGCTGTGTGTGTCTTTCCTATGCCTGCTGTTCTGCATCTTTCCTCTGCCTGCTGTGTATGCCTTTCCTATGCCTGCTTTGTGTGTCTTTCCTATGCCTGCTGTTCTGTGTCGTTCCTATGCCTGCTGTGTGTGTCTTTCCTATGCCTGCTGTGTGTCTTTCCTATGCCTGCTGTTCTGCATCTTTCCTATGCCTGCTGTGTGTGCCTTTCCTATGCCTGCTGTGTGTCTTTCCTATCCCTGCCGTCTGTGCCTGCTGTGTGTATCTTTCCCATCCCTGCTGTGTGTGTCTTTCCCATCCCTGCTGTGTGTGTCTTTCCTATGCCTGCTGTGTGTGTCTTTCCTATGCCTGCTGTGTGTGTCTTTCCCATCCCTGCTGTGTGTGTCTTTCCTATGCCTGCTATGTGTGTCTTTCCTATGCCTGCTGTGTGTGTCTTTCCTATGCCTGCTGTGTGTGTCTTTCCTATGCCTGCTATGTGTGTCTTTCCTATGCCTGTCGTCTGTGTCTTTCCTATGCCTGCTGTGTGTGTCTTTCCCATCCCTGCTGTGTGTGTCTTTCCTATGCCTGCTTTTCTGTGTCTTTCCTATGCCTGCTGTGTGTGTCTTTCCTATGCCTGCTGTTCTGTGTCTTTCCTATGCCTGCTGTTCTGTGTCTTTCCTATGCCTGCTGTGTGTGTCTTTCCTATGCCTGTTGTGTGTGTCTTTCCCATCCCTGCTGTGTGTGTCTTTCCTATGCCTGCTGTTCTGTGTCTTTCCTATGCCTGCTGTGTGTGTCTTTCCTATGCCTGATGTGTGTGTCTTTCCCATCCCTGCTGTGTGTGTCTTTCCCATCCCTGCCGTCTGTGTCTTTCCTATGCCTGCTGTGTGTGTCTTTCCTATGCCTGCTGTGTGTGTCTTTCCTATGCCTGCTGTGTGTGTCTTTCCTATGCCTGCTGTGTGTGTCTTTCCTATGCATGCTGTGTGTGTCTTTCCCATCCCTGCCGTCTGTGTCTTTCCTATGCCTGCTGTGTGTGTCTTTCCTATGCCTGCTATGTGTGTCTTTCCTATGCCTGCTGTGTGTGTCTTTCCTATGCATGCTGTGTGTGTCTTTCCCATCCCTGCCGTCTGTGTCTTTCCTATGCCTGCTGTGTGTGTCTTTCCTATGCCTGCTGTGTGTGTCTTTCCTATGCCTGCTGTGTGTGTCTTTCCCATCCCTGCTGTGTGTGTCTTTCCCATCCCTGCCGTCTGTGTCTTTCCTATGCCTGCTGTGTGTGTCTTTCCTATGCCTGCTGTGTGTGTCTTTCCTATGCCTGCTGTGTGTGTCTTTCCTATGCCTGCTGTGTGTGTCTTTCCTATGCCTGCTGTGTGTGTCTTTCCTATGCATGCTGTGTGTGTCTTTCCCATCCCTGCCGTCTGTGTCTTTCCTATGCCTGCTGTGTGTGTCTTTCCTATGCCTGCTGTGTGTGTCTTTCCTATGCCTGCTGTGTGTGTCTTTCCCATCCCTGCTGTGTGTGTCTTTCCCATCCCTGCCGTCTGTGTCTTTCCTATGCCTGCTGTGTGTGTCTTTCCTATGCCTGCTGTGTGTGTCTTTCCCATCCCTGCCGTCTGTGTCTTTCCTATGCCTGCTGTGTGTGTCTTTCCTATGCCTGCTGTGTGTGTCTTTCCTATGCCTGTTGTGTGTGTCTTTCCCATCCCTGCTGTGTGTGTCTTTCCCATCCCTGCCGTCTGTGTCTTTCCTATGCCTGTTGTGTGTGTCTTTCCCATCCCTGCTGTGTGTGTCTTTCCCATCCCTGCCGTCTGTGTCTTTCCTATGCCTGCTTTGTGTGTCTTTCCTATGCCTGCTGTGTGTGTCTTTCCCATCCCTGCCGTCTGTGTCTTTCCTATGCCTGCTGTGTGTGTCTTTCCTATGCCTGCTGTGGGTGTCTTTCCTATGCCTGCAGGTCTGTGTCTTTCCTATGCCTGCTGTTCTGGTTCTTTCCCATCCCTGCCGTCTGTGTCTTTCCTATGCCTGTTGTGTGTGTCTTTCCCATCCCTGCTGTGTGTGTCTTTCCCATCCCTGCCGTCTGTGTCTTTCCTATGCCTGCTTTGTGTGTCTTTCCTATGCCTGCTGTGTGTGTCTTTCCCATCCCTGCCGTCTGTGTCTTTCCTATGCCTGCTGTGTGTGTCTTTCCTATGCCTGCTGTGGGTGTCTTTCCTATGCCTGCTGTGTGTGTCTTTCCTATGCCTGCTGTGTGTGTCTTTCCTATGCCTGCTGTGGGTGTCTTTCCTATGCCTGCAGGTCTGTGTCTTTCCTATGCCTGCTGTTCTGGTTCTTTCCCATCCCTGCTGTGTGTGTCTTTCCCATCCCTGCCGTCTGTGTCTTTCCTATGCCTGCTGTGTGTTTCTTTCCTATGCCTGCTGTGTGTTTCTTTCCTATGCCTGCTGTGTGTGTCTTTCCTATGCCTGCAGGTCTGTGTCTTTCCTATGCCTGCAGTTCTGGTTCTTTTCTATACCTGCAGTTCTGGTTCTTTTCTATACCTGCAGTTCTGTGTCTTTCCAATCCCTGCTGTGGGTGTCTTTCCCATCCCTGCCGTCTGTGTCTTTCCTATGCCTGCTGTGTGTGTCTTTCCTATGCCTGCTGTTCTGGTTCTTTTCTATACCTGCTGTGTGTGTCTTTCCTATGCCTGCTGTGTGTGTCTTTCCTATGCCTGCTGTTCTGGTTCTTTTCTATACCTGCAGTTCTGTGTCTTTCCTATGCCTGCAGTTCTGTGCTGCCTTTCTGATGGCTTCTCACTGTGTCTTTTCTAAATTTGCTGTGCTGTGCTGTGCTGTGCTGTGGTAGAGGCAAAACAATGAATATTAACATTTATCATGTTTATGATTTAGCTGCGAGATGCATTTCGTATCTCATGCTGTCTTGTGTGTTGTCAGAGACAAGAAAAGCCAGGGCAAGATGACAGTGAGGGAACACTTTGTGATGACCGACAAGGACGGGACTGTCTTCCACTTCATAGTGGAGGGGAGCCTCATCTCGGATGTCACCAAGATACCCCCGGAGGTAGGCTGCTTGTTATCCCCCGCCATGAAGTGCAGGGTTTCCATGGCAACAACTTTGACTGCAAATGGCAGATCTTGAAACACGTAAATATTTCTTGCCTTGCACACAATTGGGCGTGTCATACTGGCAGGGGATATGATTATTCCATACTTGTTCTACTTTTGTTGTCCTCAGTCAAACTCTATCACCTAGGATTCACACCCCACTTTTGTTTTCACCTGGAGTAAGGTCAGAATGAATTTAGGGCTAATTTTCTGTCTTGTGCAGATTTTGTTTTGTTGGATTGTTTTATGGCAATGGCAGATGACTCACATTGTACACATGCGTCAATGAGATCACTGACATTTCAGAGCGGTCTGAGCACCGTGACAACGTTGGCGTGGAAGGGGGACTTCCTGGTGTTCGGAGATGTCGACGGCACTCAGTGTCTCTGGGACCTCAAGGCCAAAATATCCAGGTAGGAAGAGTCCAGTACACACCTGTACAGCATCAGGGGAATCCGAGTTCATGAATTAATTCAACATTCAGAGGGTATATGTAAAAAATGAGTGATGAGTGGAAGCTGTTTATAGTACAATTAGTGAGTGAGTGAGTTATGTTAAACGCCGCTTTTAACAGTATTCCACTTATATTGCGGTGTGTCAGCTTTATGTGGGAGGAAAGCCAGAAGTGGTGCAGGTCTCAGACCTTTACCACTTCGGTGAAACCCACGAGCACGGGTATGGTGCTGACTAACCTAGAAACATAATTGGGGCGAACCGGGATTCGAACCCTCAATCATAGGTTTCTTTTTGTGCCCAAGGGATGCAACTCTGCACAGTGAATAATAGCACCTTAGACGACTGGGCCTCCCGTGCCTCTGTACAATAAAACACTGCAGGGAGCATGAACCACTCGGGGCTGCCTCCCTCATGGTTTATTTTCCCTGCAATGTTATATTGTACGATAAACGACAGCAAGTCGTCTATTTCCTATATGAGGTATCAACACGTTGTACAGCCATTTTAAGGATGTCAGTAAATTGTACAAGCTATAAAAACATTTAGCTGTTTTGAAATAAGAATGACTTCTATATGCAATCCAAACTCGGCAATGTGGGAAAACTCCATTTGATGTACAAGGGGGTAGGTTTGGTATTCTTACAATTTTCATGCGATTATCTGCACCTTTTCTCCCAATACTAATTGTCATATCTCTGCCACTTCTGGGTGTGATCGTACGGCCATTGCGTTTATCTGCACTGTCCAGCTACATCTATGGGGAACAACTCGCTGGAAAATCACCTCTCAAAAATAACTTCATCCAATTTACAACACCATCAAGTCGCGAGCGCATGTTCAAATCTCCAGAAATGATGTCATGATAGAGCAATGTTTTATCGTGAAATAAACCACGTTTCATTCTTCATTGTTCATTGTGATTCAGCGCGTAGCTATCCCATATATGATTATTAGGGGTGTCTATTGGTCTGGAAATCACTATTGCGATAACTATTGATATTGAAAGAAACTATTGCGATAACTATTGATATTGCAAGCAACTATTGCGATAAATATCGATAGTTTTCAGTGTATCATTTTAGATTGATTTTAGAGTTAAATTAAACCTTGGAACTGAAGTTTCCTTTGAATGTGATAACCATAACAACAAATAAGTAAAGTTTGACATATGACAGGTTTGTTTTTTCTTTACCCTAATACTTTAAGAAAAATTACTCTTACTCATGATCAAAAGAAAAACAAATTTGAACAATTGCATGTATTTTATTGATATGGTAAATACAATCGAAACTATCGATATTCCTAACTGAAATCGATACTATTGATCAGAAACTGATTTAACAATCGATTTATTGACTTTAAGTGCTTACCAATGGCAATAGATCGATATTTCAATTTATCGTGACACCCCTAATGATTATACATTGAAGGTATTATACCCTGGATCATCGAGGATGGCTCTGGTAGTGGTACTTTGGTTATTATCCCTGTTTCAAACACAGGCTGTGAGTCTGTACACTTCTTTTATTATGCTCTGCCCTTATTCCAGAACCACACCATCCAGCCGAGGGTGGATCAAGAAAATCCGTTTTGCTCCTGGCCGGGAGAATTTCAAATTCTTCACCCTCCACAACGATGGTATTGTCATCTGGGACATCAACAAGGAGGGGAAGGTAGGTGTAGGGGGACGAGCATGTGCAATACTGACTTAACAAGCCAGAGTGTCCATTTCTATCCCCCACCACAAAGTGGAATGGGAATATAGGAATAGGTGCTGTCCGTCCGTCACCTTTCGTTTCTGGAGCAGAACTAAAAATCATGAGATGAGATAACCAAACTTGGCATATATATAGTGTGAGATTTTTGAAAAATGTATTTTTCAAGTTTCCATGGCAACAACTTTGACTCAGACGGAAAATGGGTTAAGTGCTCCTTTCCGAAGCAGATCTTCAAAACTGTACAATATTTCTTCACTAAACTTTGCACATAGATAGGTCTAGTGGTAAACTGGTGCCTTTTGATGGTTTGGGATTTTTATTTAATTTATTTTTTTTAGTTTCCATAGTAACAATTTTGACTTAGTTCAAAGGGGCTTATGCCTTGCACACAACTGGACATGTCATATTGGCAGGGGATATGAGTATTTCATGCTTCTTGTATTTCCTGTGAGGCTTGAATTCTGAAAATGATTATGATACAGAACAATCATGACAATATAGTGGTATTGTCTTCATAATCCATCCTTCCGCATGTCTGTAGTCAGGACTTTGTTCTGTTTGGGAAATGTAATAAGAAGCTTGTGGTGTAAACATAATTTCAACCAAGAATCAATAGGACACCTAAGCAGATTTGTTTTCATTTGAGTTGTCTCCCTTTGACCTGCATAGGATACCACTAAAAACTGTCTTGTTTCAGTCTGAGATCATGCATTCAATAAAGAGTCCCAAAGAGATAGCTAAAGTTGTGGATGCGGAGTGGGCGGGGTCGGACAGGCCGGTGGTGGTGACCGCCAGTGGGTGTGTCCACATCTTTGACATCACCATGAAGAAAGCCACCTCCAGTATAGACCAGTGGGACCTGACAGGTACAGCCGACCTAGGGGACTGGTCATTTATAAGTGGGGAGAAAGACAAACAATCATATTTTGCTGACACCCACTCCCACACTTTGTGTAACACGTGGTCGGGTAGCCTAGTGGTTAAAGCGTTTGCTCGTCACCCTGAAGACCTAGGTTCAATTGCCGACATGGGTACAATGTGTGAAGCCCATTTCTGGTGTCCCCGACTGTGATATTGCTAAAAGCGTCATAAAACAATAATCACTCACTCACTCAAATACATATAACATTATTTCATGCCCCCTCTCCCACCTCCACCCCACCCCCCTATAGTAAATTACCTGTATCTAAAAATATTCAAATTTATAACTAATCTATTTAACAAAATAAAAATGTCAATTTTTTTATTATGAGATGATTTCCAAGTTAAAATTGATACGTACTGAACTAAATTGTGAAATCAGTAAATAATCACACAAGATCGATGAATAATTAGCAAAGTATATTGAACTCACAATTTAAAGTCTACAATCTAACAGACCGTCAGCGCAGCAGTAACTGGCCCTGTGTCCGTCCACTCATTGATGTCCAGAATGTTTCACTGTCGACTGTCTTGCAACAGGCTTGTCACTGTTCATGAATCCAGAACAGTGTTGGAAGCTGGCAGGAATTTAGTGTTTAGTGCTTTTTTTAACGAGTGTGTTACCGTGTGTGATGCAGAGCCAGTGTTCAGCCCCCACTTGTTGCCGCCGAAGTCGTCGCAGCTGATGAAGTGTCTGCTGCAGCACCAGCCTTGGACAGAGGAGTTTAATCTCAGTCTCGAGGGTATGAGGGAGGACGACTTGGACGTCCAGAGGATTGTCAATACACAGATCCAGCTCATAGACGGGTGAGTAGACTGTCAGCCCCCTCATACAACTCATAGACAGGTGAGTAGACTGTCAGCTCCCTCTTACAGCTCATAGACGGGTGAGTAGACTGTCAGCTCCCTCATACAGCTCATAGATGGGTGAGTAGACTGTCAGCTCATAGACAGGCAAGTAGACTGTCAGCTCCCTCATACAGTTCATAGACGGGTGAGTAGACTGTCATCTCCCTTATACAGCTCATAGACAGGTGAGTAGACTGTCAGCTCCCTTATACAGTTCATAGACAGGTGAGTAGACTGTCAGCTCCCTCATACAGCTCATAGACAGGTGAGTAGACTGTCAACTCCCTTATACAGCTCATAGACAGGTGAGTAGACTGTCAGCTCCCTTATACAGCTCAAAGACAGGTGAGTAGACTGTCAGCTCCCTCATACAGCTCATAGACGGGTGAGTAGACTGTCAGCTCCCTCATACATCTCATAGACAGGTGAGTAGACTGTCAGCTCCCTCATACAACTCATAGACAGGTGAGTAGACTGTCAGCTCCCTTATACAACTCATAGACAGGTGAGTAGACTGTCAGACGTATCAACCACGGTTGTTTCTGATCCACACACTTTGAACAGGCTGCCATAATATAGGTGTAATAGATGTTGAGATTATAGGTGTAGATGCACTACTTACCGTGTAGGAATACAATGTTTGAGTAAACTGCCCATGTATCCTAGAGTGAACCCGTTTTTATGTTTATCAAATGTTGATACAAGTTTATTCTGTTGGTTTAACACATAGATAACACTCTCCATTATATGATAAACATATGATGAGTGTTTCTGCTCTGTACGTCTGTGCTCCTGTTGTTGCAGTGATCTGTTGGCCTATCTGCCTTACTGCCAGTTCGGGACAGCCCAGCGATGCCTTCTCACAGCAAGGTAACCTCCCTCCAATCAAATCTTTGAAATGTCACCTTCTGTTAAACTGTATTTCTCATAGGGTACAGGTGTCAATGAAATTATATTCATGCTGATTGCTAGTTTATGTCATTCGTCGATTATTTTCATTGCTTATGAAGCGGTCCATTGCAATGTGACATCATGACATGTTGCAACAATTCAAGATGATGCAAGCTGTTCTTCATCAGGGGTGTCACGATAAATCAAAATATTGATATATTGCTATTGGTAAGCACTTAAAGTCAATAAATCAATTGTTAAAACAATTTCCGATTAATAGTATTGATTTCAGTTAGGAATATCAATAGTTTTGATTGTATTTATCATATCAATAAAATACATGCAATGCTGTTCAAATTTGTTTTTCTTTTGATCATGAGTGGTAGTAATTTACACATGGTAATGTGGAAGTTTCTTTTTCTTAAATTATTAGGGTAAAGAAAAAACAAACCTGTCATATCTCAAACATTACTTATTTGTTGTTATGGTTATCACATTCAAAGGAAACTCAGTTCCAGGGTTTGATTCAACTCTAAAATGCATCTAAAATGATACACTGAAAACTATTGATATTCATTGCAATAGTTGCTTGCAATATCAATAGTTATCGCAGTAGTTTCTTTCAATATCAATAGTTATCGCAATAGTGATTTCCAGACCAATAGTCACCCCTATTGTTCATGATGTCACAACTGCCTCCTAGGTCTAGTGGTCGAGCGTCCGCCCGGAGAGCGGAAGGTCGGGGGTTCGATCCCCGACCGCGTCAAACCAAAAGACGATAAAAGATGGTACTTGTTGTTACCCTGTCTGACGCTCGGCATTAAGGGGCTAAAACAAGGACTGGTCTGCTCGGAGTCAGTATACTGTGTCTGAGTGGGGTATTCATGTTAAACTGCGGCATGGTATCTCAGTGAGCTAGCACTATAAATCGGCATCAGTCCGGACTAGTACAAGCAGCCACACACACACGTGCATGCACGTCGCTATATAAGTGCGATAAACTTGGACGCGACGTTAAACCCCATTTCACCTCACCTCACCTCATGATGTCACAACTGCCTCTGTGGTCAAGAGGACAGAGCATGTGCCTGGAGAGTAGGTCGTTGGTTTGATCCTCAGACCTTATCACACCAAAAGAAGCTAAAAGATGGCACTTGTTGTTTCCCTGCCTGGTGCTCGGCATTAAGGGGAAAAACAAGGACTGGTTGGCTCAGAGTCAGTACACTGTGAGACCTTGTACAGTCAAGAGGAGCATCAGATGTGTAGTTGACTGTTCCTGCCTCCACTCTAGGAGTGTTTGTGTTGTGTTGACAGATTGTTCGGTGATGAATCTGAAATCCACTTCTGGACCGTGGCCCTCCACTATCTCCGCTCAACGAAGGCCCAGCCAGTCAGCAAGGTAATGTGGGCTGTAGGGCGGGGACAGGGAACTCGGGCACAGAGGGCGGGGGGATCCTGACTAGGACCCCCGGTCTACACACAACTGTAGTGTCTTGGAACAAATGTGCACACCTAAAAAATATGCTATTTATTAATGATTAGGGATGAGTGAGAATGGTTTTACGCCTCTTTTAGCAATATTCCAGCACCAGAAATTGTCTTCACACATTGTACCCATGTCGGGAATCGAACCCGGGTCTTCGACGAGCGAACGCTTTAACCACTAGGCTACCCGACCGCCCCTTATGATTTGGATGTGTAGAAAGTAGTCGACCAGTGTAATTAGGAAAGCCTATGTTCATGGCTGCAGTAAAACAGATCCCAATCGGACATTTTCTACCCAACCCTTGAGACCTACTGTGTGTACCTGTGTTGGGTTGGGTACCCAGGTTGTAAATTTGGACTAATTTGCTGCAGGAGGAAAAGTAGGAACTTGTTTTTTGTTTGTTTATACACATCACTAAAAATTAACAGACTACTCTCTATCTACCTAGAGATGCTAAGTGTTTTTGGGATTAAGATGTTTACCTTATTCGACATAATAAGCGCCAGGGCTCTCTCAAAATTAGAAAGAGGAGGCTCTTATTAGAATATTATTTTGGTGTAATACAACAGAGTTGAAAGATCGTAAATTTTGTGGTTTATGCTGACAGTCTGAAATGTTTATATGCAATAGATATATTTTTTTCAGAATTAAATTTCCCATAATTAAGGATGCATATAACACACGTATTATACACGAATAAATTAGTCTTGTGTACATTGATCAATCGGAAGGGGTGCTAATTGGGGATTGTTCACTAGCTGATATATTAGGAAATATCGCCGTGGAGCGCTTATTAGAACGGGGCGCTTCTTACGTCGAATACGGTAATGCTGGATTGGTTGCTGTCTCAGCATTTTGAAATCCAAATTTTTAGTATGTTTAACATATTCTGGTTGCCCTCTTGAAAAATTATGCCTCCTGTGCCAAGAATATTCAGCTTTTCTGAAGATTTACTACAGCTTTAGATCTTCTGGTATGTCAGTAATATTTTTTGCTTTTGATTTTCACAGTCCCCAAGCCGTGTGACCTCGCAGGCAGACATGACAGATCTGTTTGTGCCGCAGACCCCGGGGTACAAGGAGGCGAGCGACCTCGTGTTGCTGGAGAACCCAGAGGAGACGGAAAGACAGCGCATCCTCACCAACCTCTACCGCGACCAGCCGCTGGAGCGATGCTACGATGCCATGGTCGACAACAGGAACTTTAAGGTGGGAGCTACACTTCCTGATTTGCTGTTTGTTATGCTTGGTAATAAAGGGAATTCATGGTTGGCATCTGGCCCTGTAGGATAGATGGAAGAATTTGCATAATCATTATGTTACATAACGTCAGCTACATCTTGAAGGTGTAAATTCCCTCCCTATGCTTGTCATTAGAGGCGACTAACTGGATAGGGTGGTCAGGCTTGGTGACTTGGTTGAAAGCTTGTGAATCACTGGATTGTCTGGTCAAGACTTTATTATTTTACAGCTGGAATATTTCTGAGAGTGGCATTAAGGGCTCAGTACATTGACCGTTCTGAACCATGTCTGGAAACAACAGCCAATAACCCCCAAGCTTACTCGGCTCTGCTTGCCTTATTCTGTGAGGGAAGTTTCTGCTCTAGTGGCCACACTGTGGGCGTAGTCTTATAACGTGACCAGACTTTTGTTTGTAAACAAATGCACTTATTCTGTGAGGGAAGTTTCTGCTCTAGTGGCCACACTGTGGGCATAGTCTTATAACATGACCAGACTTTTGTTTGTAAACAAATGCACTTATTCTGTGAGGGAAGTTTCTGCTCTAGTGGCCACACTGTGGGCGTAGTCTTATAACGTGACCAGACTTTTGTTTGTAAACAAATGCACTTATTCTGTGAGGGAAGTTTCTGCTCTAGTGGCCACACTGTGGGCGTAGTCTTATAACGTGACCAGACTTTTGTTTGTAAACAAATGCACTTATTCTGTGAGGGAAGTTTCTGCTCTAGTGGCCACACTGTGGGCGTAGTCTTATAACGTGACCAGACTTTTGTTTGTAAACAAATGCACTTATTCTGTGAGGGAAGTTTCTGCTCTAGTGGCCACACTGTGGGCGTAGTCTTATAACGTGACCAGACTTTTGTTTGTAAACAAATGCACTTATTCTGTGAGGGAAGTTTCTGCTCTAGTGGCCACACTGTGGGCGTAGTCTTATAACGTGACCAGACTTTTGTTTGTAAACAAATGCACTTATTCTGTGAGGGAAGTTTCTGCTCTAGTGGCCACACTGTGGGCGTAGTCTTATAATGTGACCAGACTTTTGTTTGTAAACAAATGCACTTATTCTGAAATGAGAACATGCAGGCCTTATGCAAGCCTTTCAAAGCGCTTTCATATTGTTTTGCATAATTATATAGAGATCCTTCTGTCCAAGGTACTTTAAGGATGTTAATTTATGGTAATTTGAAGGTCGTTTGCGACATTAGATTGACATACCTTCACCTGAACTATGATATACTCCCGTTCTTCAGTCTTGATGATGTGGTAGAATAGGTCTTCAGCAACCCATGCTTGCCGTAAAAGGTGACTATGCTTGTCGTAAAAGGCGACTTACAGGATTGGGTGGTCAGGCTGACTTGGTTGATGCATGTCATCGATACCAATTGCGTGGATCGATGCTCATGATATTAATCACTGGATTGTCTGGTCCAGACTCGATTATTTACAGACCGCCGTCATATAGCTGGAATATTGCTGAGTGCGGTGTTAAACAACAAACCAACCAGCCAACTTGACGATGTGGGATGTGCGAGGGGTACAGTGTCAGTACCGAGGGCCCTTGGACCTTTACTGTAGTTCCCCCAGCAGTCACAAGAGGTTGTTCTTCGTTAACAGCTTTTATTCCCTCTTTGTGTTGCTGGTCCAACCCACTCTATTTGTCACTTAGCTGAGAGACTTCGGACGCAAGGTGTCCGTCTCGGTCTACATTCTGGTGCATGAGATCAGTTTCTAGTTCGAAAGATAGTGACATCAAAAGAGATCAGGTGCACACCAGACTGCCTAACTTGAGGTCTGTTTCTACATCACAACTACCAACATCATGACTTACCATTAGTCGATAACCTTTCCCCCTTGAAAAAGACTATTCCACCCCTATAGTTGTTCTTACCCCAATCCCTTATTTGGCCCTCTGTTGGGTGGATTCCGAGATTTCCAAGAATTTGGACCTCACTTCCAGAACCATCTATGTCTGATGTCGGAAGGTACCTGCTAGAAATGTCCTATTTCTGACACTACTGATGCTATTTCCAAAGCTTGTTCCTCCCAGCCTGATATGTGATATTCCCATTGGTCAAAGTCTCACTCATACACTTACCTACTTTCATGTCCCCAAGCATTTATCACTGAACACTGTAATGAAATTATCAAACCTTGGTATAGATCATAACATTTACCTCCTAATTACGTGAATTATTAAAACAACTTCATACTAATTATCTAAACAAATATTATGATTCCATGCCTATGATAGTACTGCAACTGCATCAGTGAGGTGCAAGACAATATACACTTTACACATCAAGGAGACTGTATTGCTTCAATGACAGAACGTGAAGCATATATACGCAAATGGAAGTAGTTTTTCATGTTTTAAGATATTTTTTAAGATATATTATGAAAATATTGTTTAACTACATGTGTAGACCCGTCAAAATGAAAGAAATGAAAAACACGTAAAGATTGTGTAAGATGTGACGATGTGACAGAGGTACGAGGTTGGCCGCAAGGAACCCTGGGTAGGAGAGTGATTGGCTTCATACGCCCGAGGCATATTTATATTGTAATCTCGGTCTTGATAAACACTGGCTTCTAATATAATCAAGCTGGCAAGTAGTATTTTGTAACTTATCCATAGAAAAACACAAAAGCTTTCTCTTCAATTTGCCTTAAAACATGACTGAAGGCAGCTTCCATGGAACTACAACAAGACAGATACAATTCGTGTATTGCAGAAGTACCAGCTAGACCGTGTGTCCCTCCATGACAGCAAGCGGTCCACGTACGATCACACTCAGAAGTGTGCCGAGAACTACATGCTGCTGGGCCAGACAGACCGGGCCGTGCAGCTGCTGCTGGAGACAGAGGCCGACAACGACAACTACTACGTCGACAGTCTCAGGTGGGTGAAAGACTACTACATCGACAGTCTGAGGTTGGTGGTCAGTCTCGGGTGGACAGTGTCAGGTGGGTGGACAGTGTCAGGTGGGTGGACAGTGTCAGGTGGGTGGACAGTGTCAGGTGGGTGGAGAGTGTCAGGTGGGTGGACAGTGTCAGGTGGGTGGACAGTGTCAGGTGGGTGGACAGTGTCAGGCTGGTGGACAGTGTCAGGTGGGTGGACAGTGTCAGGCTGGTGGACCAGGTGGGTGGACAGTGTCAGGTGGGTGGACAGTGTCAGGTGGGTGGACAGTGTCAGGTGGATGGACAGTGTCAGCTTGGTGGACAGTGTCAGGCTGGTGGACAGTGTCAGGTGGGTGGACAGTGTCAGGCTTGTGGACATTGTCAGGTGGGTGGACAGTGTCAGGTGGGTGGACAGAGTCAGGTGGGTGGACAGTGTCAGGCTTGTGGACAGTGTCAGGTGAGTGGACAGTGTCAGGTGGGTGGACAGTGTCAGGCTTGTGGACAGTGTCAGGTGGGTGGACAGAGTCAGGTGGGTGGACAGTGTCAGGTGGGTGGACAGTGTCAGTTGGGTGGACAGTGTCAGGTGGGTGGACCAGGTGGGTGGACAGTGTCAGGTGGGTGGACAGTGTCAGGTGGGTGGACAGTGTCAGGCTGGTGGACAGTGTCAGGTGGGTGGACAGAGTCAGGTGGGTGGACAGTGTCAGTTGGGTGGACAGTGTCAGGTGGGTGGACAGTGTCAGGTGGGTGGACAGAGTCAGGTGGGTGGACAGTGTCAGGTGGGTGGACAGTGTCAGGTGGGTGGACAGAGTCAGGTGGGTGGACAGTGTCAGGTGGGTGGATAATGCCAGGTGGGTGGACAGTGTCAGGCTGGTGGACCAGGTGGATGGACAGTGTCAGGTGGGTGGACAGTGTCAGGTGGGTGGACCAGGTGGGTGGACCAGGTGGGTGGACAGTGTCAGGTAACTGGTGGGTGATATTGAGATACTGACCCCTTAGATAGTCTTAGTCAGGATAAGAAATCTGGGCCATCAAATTCGACAGTTTGTAATAATTGACTAGGAAGTTATGGTGGAACAACATTGACAGTTCATTGACAGTGAGATGGAAGCAAGTAGCTTGCTGTCTGCAATAAGCCTGATGTTATGTCTAACAGTCGACCTGTTGTTCTGCAGGGCCTGCCTTGTAGCCAGCATCAGGTCCTCAGGGGCCTCACAGAGCACCATCAAACTCGTGGCCACAAACCTCATCGCCAACGGTAAACTGTCAGGTATGTATTGGGACATGTTGTGTAGGCCGCCACAAATCCATGTGCAGAGTCGCCTCCCTTAGGCGTGCCAGTAACCTACTTCCCTCCATAGATCCTACATGTAATATTAGAGATTATTATACAAGCATGTGTGTCATACTGATTTAATGAAACGAGTGTCAGAATTCTTGTGTTTCCCCAGCAAGAACAAGGGTAATAAATGAATTCTTACGCAATTCGAAAGGCCTAGGACAATGTCGTCCGGATGATGTAAATGATACACTGGTGAGTGAGTATTGTTTTATGCTGCATTTAGCTGTATTCCAGCAATATCACGACAGGGGACTCCAGAAATGGGCTTCACACATAGTACCCATGTAGGGAATCGAACCCGGGTCTTCGGCGTGACGAGCGAACTCTAGGCCACCCCAGCCAATACACTGGTGAAGTGAAGTGATATTAACACTGGCGCACATAAAATTTTTATGAACACAGTTATTTCTAACCCCAGTGGTAATACATGTGAGCTAATGCATGTGACGTGTCTGGGTGTGACAGTCGGTGTTGTGTGTTGCAGAAGGGGTGCAGCTGCTTTGTCTGATCGACAAGGGGCTGGACGCATGTCGGTACCTGCAGACGTACGGCAACTGGGACAAGGCTGTCTGGCTGGCCAAGGTCAGGACTCCATGTGTATGTCGTGTGTCAGTTTATCAGCATGCGCATGACAAGGGTCTGTCTGTCTGTCTGCAAGCATGCTGGATAAATTAGAACTTGTCCTATATCAATACATTGTTTACAATCCAATACAATAATAATGATAATGACTTCTTTTATCCTTTCTAACGATGTTTGGGTAACAATTTCTTTTATCCTTTGTAACAATGTTTGGGTAACAACTTCTTTTATCCTTTCTGACAATGTTTGGGTAACAACTTCTTTTATCCTTTTAACGATGTTTGGGTAACAACTTCTTTTATCCTTTCTAACAATGTTTGGGTAACAACTTCTTTTATCCTTTCTAACAATGTTTGGGTAACAACTTCTTTTATCCTTTCTAACAATGTTTGGGTAACAACTTTTATCCTTTCTAACAATGTTTGGGTAACAACTTTTATCCTTTCTAACAATGTTTGGGTAACAACTTCTTTTATTCTTTGTTACAATGTTTGGGTAACAACTTCTTTCATTATTTATTATGACGTTTTAGAGCTACTCCTGTCCCTTCATCAGGTGAATACTAAGTAAGCGCTTGGAGTTACTATATATACATGCTGATATGTTAGACAAGGTAGGATTGATGTACAAAGATAACAATATACTGACGAAGCCAATGAGATTAAAGGAAGATAAACCAATTAAGTCCACGGAAGGTGTGGTGACTGGCTGGGTGTTAGAACAAGGAGCTGGCCATGGTAACACTGACACCAAGAAAATCAAGGTGTCCATTTGTGGTTGATGATAGTACAGTGGAATACACGCTGGGTGGGTAGATGCCTTGGTCTTTGTTTTAATAGCTGGCTTCTTTCTTTGGATTTCTAGAGTATCTTGAAGTTTCTCTTTATCCAGTGACTGATGTGAGGTAGTCGTGAAATTGCAAAGAATAAAAGAAGTTGTTATCAATCAGTGTTATGTTCTTCCAACTTCTAAATGCCTATCAAAGACTTGTCCTATTTCATACGACTAGCTCCAAACAACAAACTAAACAAAATCATCTATCGCTGACTTCTAGGATAAAGGTGTACATTTTTTCTTACTCATCTATCGCTGGTAAATCGAGGTGCAATCTCACCACGGGGGACACCAGAAATGGGCTTCACACGTTGTACCCATGTCGGGAATCGAACCCGGTCTTTGGCGTTCCAAGCAAACTCTTTAACCACTAGGCTACCCGACCGCCCCGCAACCATGAGACACTTGCATTATATGATTGATGAAGGTGCTACTAATCGCATGCTGGTTTTCATCACTCTGCCCTCTAATCACTGACTAATCACTGACTAATCACTCAAAGATCCCCCATTGCAGAGTGGTTACCTGGTGTGTTTCAGGCTACCCTAGACAACAATGAGTGCAGCGAGGTGATGAAGCGGTGGGCGGACCATCTGTGCGGAACACAAGTCAACCAGAAGGTAACATCATGGATATATAGGATCATGTGTACAATTCATAGGCGGATCCACAGGGGGGGTCCAAGGGGTCCAGACCCCCCTTTTGAAAACCAAATGTAGTATGTTGTAGGCAGTAAAATTGTCTGAGAGAGGATTTTGATATTTTGGACCCTTCTCATTTAAAAATACTGGATCGGCCCTTGCAGTTTAAGGAAAATTTGACAAAGAAAACTTTTGAAAGTGAGATAGGGATTATACCAGATTTTTGTCCTGATTTCTGTGTCCCCAAATAGTCATAATTATGTATTGACCTCAATGGGGTTTGGGTTTGAAGAGGTCCGATCAGCCTGTGTTTGTATGGAGAAACTAAATAGATCAAGAGGTCAGAATCAGCCTGTGTTTGTATGGAGAAACTAAATAGATCAAGAGGTGAGATCAGCCTGTGTTTGTATGGAGAAACTAAATGGATCAAGAGGTCTGATCAGCCTGTTTTTGTATGGAGAAACTAAATGGATCAAGAGGTCGATCAGCCTGTGTTTGTATGGAGAAACTAAATATATCAAGAGGTCAGAATCAGCCTGTGTTTGTATGGAGAAACTAAATGGATCAAGAGGTCAGATCAGCCTGTGTTTGTATGGAGAAACTAAATAGATCAAGAGGTCTGATCAGCCTGTGTTTGTCTGGAGAAATTAAATGGATCAAGAGGTCAGATCAGCCTGTGTTTGTATGGAGAAACTAAATATATCAAGAGGTCCGATCAGCCTGTGTTTGTATGGAGAAACTAAATATATCAAGAGGTCCGATCAGCCTGTGTTTGTATGGAGAAACTAAATAGATCAAGAGGTCCAATCAGCCTGTGTTTGTATGGAGAAACTAAATATATCAAGAGGTCCAATCAGCCTGTGTTTGTCTGGAGAAACTAAATAGATCAAGAGGTCCGATCAGCCTGTGTTTGTATCGAGAAACTAAATAGATCAAGAGGTCTGATCAGCCTGTGTTTGTATGGAGAAACTCAATAGATCAAGAGGTCAGACTCAGCCTGTGTTTGTATGGAGAAACTAAATAGATCAAGAGGTCAGAATCAGTGACTCAGTTGACATAGTACCCCGACAGTGGGGATCGTTTCTCATAATATCAATCACGTGTTTGTGTGGTCCAGACTTTATTATCTACAGGCTGCTGTCATATAGCTGGAATATTTCAGAGTGCTGCATAAAAATATCAGCAATATTCCTGCAGTCAGTAAATAATTGAGTCAGGACCAGAAAATCCAGTGATTGATCTCAAGAGCTTGATCCACACAATTAGGTTACAATGACATGCTATCAACCAAGTCATAAAGCCTATTTTCACCTTGTTAAAACAGCCAGCATGGGTTGCTGGGAACGTATATTCTGACCTGGAATCCCCACTGGTGCACTCTATATTATCGCAGGCTAATCCTAACTGATGTGTCATAAAAGTTGAACAAAGAACAAGAAACATTTTGCATATGACATGTTTAATAGGTTAGTAAGCCTGCACCATCACAATGTATTATAAATTACCAACTGTGATAATATAGCGTACCCTTCGATGTGTCTAGCATGTGTTGCCTATGTGATGCAGAGCAAGGCCCTGCTGGTGCTATTGTCTCTGGGCCAGTTCTTCAAGGTGGTGGAGATGCTGTACGGGATGAGATGCTTTGACAGAGCCACCTGCTTCATCGAGGCCTGTCTGGATTTTGGGGTCATCGAGAAGACATCAGAAACTGGTCAGTTATTTCCTTTTTTTCACATCTTGCACCATGTAACCATGGTAACAGTTTCTTAAATTTAGGCTGCTTGAGGATCAGTTTTTACTCTACAAAATAAAATGTATTTGCAGGATGTAATTTTACTGTTTCACATAATTTTGTGTTACATAAGTTTGTATTTGTATTGAAGATGCATAAGGGCTTCATAATTAGTTTTAATTCCTCTGTAGCCATAGTTTGTTTCACAAGCATGTGTCAGAGACTTGGGATCTGCCTCCTTAGTGCATTTAAGGAGTTTTTCTTGCATGAAAGGGATTACCCTCTACCACTGTGCTAAGGTCTAATTTGCCATGCAGAGTTGCATCCCTTAACCATGCCAGGATCTGTTTGTGATAAAACCCAGATTTTCCCCAATTGGTCTGTTGGGACGGTACACATGTTTGGGGTTTTGGGTCAAATCTTCACACTGTATTGAATCAGAACAATCTGGTTTTATTAAGATTTCTCTTAGTATAAAAGTTCTTGATATAGCAGGAGTAATCTGCAGTGATCTGAACTTGTAACTTCAGCATCACTGATGGAAGCAGTCTTTCTGGAACATGCAAGATATCTCAGCAACCTTGGACTGAGGAAGGCTGCAGAGCACTACTGCCACCTGGCGGGAAACAAGGGCCAGCAACTCTTGAAGGAAGTTGAAATACTATTTGCCTAACACATTATCTTTGTAAAATTGTGAAATGTAATATATTATGAACCACAAATGCATTTGAAGATTAGGATGGGTAATTATGTGTGAAAGTGTTCCGCAGGTGTAATGAAAGGTTATGGGTGAGGCTCTTTATGTAACAGTTGGAGATAAATAGAAGGCTTGTTAAATACAATGTTTATTCCTAATACGGGATATTTACCATCACAAACACACAAAAGTGATAACCTCTTTATCATAATTATAATGTCATTCTTCGATTCTGTGCTTGAAAAAACTCTGCCCATCTCTCACAAACATTACCTAAACGTTGCAAGTTTGCCTGGAATATGCGCATTAATATATATTATGTGAGAAGGCAAGTGATGTGTAAGTTGGACAGTGACAACAGTCAATATAGTTCTAACTGAAACCTGTTTCTTGTACTGTGGCGTAGCTACATATAGGCAAAACAACAATTGCCTACACAAATTGTTTCCTCTTTCAATCTATCGCTATGTTTTCTACAGTAACTGCCCTTTATCAAAGGGATTCTACTCTGACCCTAGTCTATGACATGTCACTTTGTTTAGAGTCTGTCTGTCCTGTCAAAACATTACGAAGCGACAAAACGAAAATTGTTTCTCAATTTATATCTCCCAAGTTGCCCAAACTTGTTAAATGCCTATTCACAGCTACATCACAGTTAACGATAGACACTGATTTTCAGAATATTAGACAATTCTTTTGATAATGAAAGCAATTAAAGCCAGTAGTTTCTCCACATCCCCCATGGTTAATTCTGACTCGATCGCCGAATGACAAGAGCGACACCATGTTTGTTTGTAAAAACTATAATTAGTCCCTACTTGACCTTTGATATTTGCATCTCTATCCGCAGATGGATATCATTATTATCCTGCCAAGAAACCTACCCATTATATGATAGTGATATTTATACAAATCAAATTGTTTATGAAGGAAGGAAAAACAGTGGCATTTAAACTCCATTCAGAAAAGATGATCACTGTCGCTTCCTGAGTCTCAGGACAAGTTTGTATCAACTTAAAGTGTCGATATGAACACACTGAATACTGTCATCTTCTGTATTTGCACGCTGTATGATTACAATGGATGGGTTACTTTTGTCTACACAAGTATTAGGATCTTTTGTCTTTGCAATGTTGCCCTTCTTTCAATCGTAATTTCACGACTGAGATTTTGTAGAGGCGCTCCTGGGCACAAGTCATAATTATGGAACATACCTCATTAATATATGGTTTACCAAACATTTTTTTAAGCAGCAGCCCTTTCATGTTTGTCCCATCAACAATGACAAACACGTCTTTATTGGTATCTTGGTAGGGTTTTCTTGTCAACAAATACATGTGATGGTATGCAAGGAATGTATTTTGAAGGTGTCATTATGATACTCAGTGTCAGTGAGCAAGCTGGTTGTGTCAGCTCAGTAGGAATTGTGTCTAGTCCTTTGATTCATAGAGCAGATGTATTAGCTGTGTACTGAACAGTGGTACTATGAGACTACACTTCACTGCCAGCTGTGAGAGGAAGTGCAGATGAATGCTAGAATCAAGGTAAAATCAGTGCACTCAGGTAGCTCAGTGGATGGAGTGTCCTGGTCCGATTCTCCACATGGGTACAATGTGTGAAGCTGATATCCCCTGCCATGGAATTGCTGGAATATTGCTAAAAGTGGCGTACATACTTTCTCTATGTTCATGGCATCATCCGCACAGCAAGGCAGAGTGTATGCTGAATATACCAGCTTATTTGGCTCTTGTAAATGTATGTGTCTCCATGAACTGCTCACTGATCATGTCTACTACTTTGGATATGGACACAACAAATGGATTACTTTGCCAACAACAGTATGAAATATACTGAACAGCAAAAGAAACATCACTTCATGAAAATAATTCAATTGAATTATCAATGCCTTTTTTTTTAGGTATCTTGTTTTTGACGTTAGTCTGTATCCAAATTTAATCTTACTGGCCATAAAGTGACCCAAATATGGATATAATCGGTCGCCATAACGCTTTTAATGCCCACGTGAGAATCATCTACAGATTAGAGCAACGATACCAGGTCACCCACAGCATGCAGTCATCCTAAAGCCTGGTTTCTCTGATTCTTTGTAAGTCTAGGCATGGCGCTAGTATTAATACAAGAATGTTGGATCCATGTATTGGGGTGCCGTTAATCAGAAAAGGCTCAAGGAAACCCAAGTAATTTCTTTTTTTTTTATGGAAAGCATTCAGACATTGTACCATGGTCATATAAGCATCTCCTAGTTATCACTCTTTGGCCAATAACATTACATTTGGATACAGACTAACGTAAAAAAACAAGATACCTAAAATAAAATGCCTTGATATTCAATGGAAAACTTTCCTAGGCGATGTTTCTTTTGCAGTCCAGTATATGTATCTCTGTATCCCCATCATAACTATTTTTTAAATGAAATAATTGTCCGATGAAAATGTTTCCTTGGGAATGAAGTATCCATTTCCTCTCCATACCATATTTGCCATAATAAGCACCCTGTCCACATAGAACATTAAAAAAAGGTGATTAAAGTGAAGGAGTGAACATATACTACTGCACTCTAGATAGGGATATTTTTTATCTTTCCACATGAGAATCATTGTGTATAATGGAAAGTGTCTATCGGAGTATCCCTATCAAAACCTGAGTAGTAAAGCCACATAGAACCTATGTCTTCATTTTCCTGATGACTGAAGGTGTCAATAACACAGACATGTGGTCAATGTAGGTCTCTGTATGGACGGTGCTTAATACAGCAAATAGGTAATAACATTAGTGTTACAATAATCCACTCTTCTGGTAGAGGGAATGAACTTCGGTCTTTCATCATGTTCATCTAAGTGTGATAAATATTTAGTGTATATACAATGACTAGAAGTTCTACTACATTCAGTGATATGGATTCATCCGTCAACTTGTACAGTACAGGCAAAGTGGTCTCAGCATGGTGCTTGTATAAAATGTCCTACTGGTATTGTAGTTTAGTTTTGTCTGAAAAATCAAGAGAAACTTTCTTTTTTTATACCAGAAATTCAAATAATTATGATTCATAAAAATAATGATTCTTTCCATAGTGAGTGAGTTGGGTTTAATGCTGCTATTAACAGTATGCCAGTTATATCGCGTCGTGTCAGCTTCATGTGGGAGGAAAGCCCGAAGTGATGCAGGTCTCAGACATTTACCACTTCAGTGAAACTCACGACCATGGGTATGGTGCTGACAAACCTAGAAACATATGAACCTAGATTCAAACCCACAATCACAGGTTTCTGGCGTGCCCAAGGGCCAACTATGGACAGCGAATTGTGCACCTTAGACAACTGGGCCACCCGTGTCCCCGATTCTTTCCATAAGCATATGAGTTTCAAGTATCTTTGGAATGTACAGAAACCTTCAGATTTGTAAAGATGTTCCAGTGTGTAAGGGCTACAAGTTCTGTTGTCTGTATTTGTTTAAGTGTGCTTTTAACCAGCATTATAATGCATTCCTAGTTATTTATACGTGTATATTCTATCTGCTTGTTCATTGCATATGTACGCCATTGAAGAATAAATCTTCATATGTTGATATGATGCCCCTCCTGAGTTTATCTATCAGAGCTTGCCTCATAGGAACCGTGACAAGATTGGATCTATTTACTTTTGATGTGGATTTCACTAGACAAATGACACTAGTTGGTGTATATGTGGGATATTTATCTTTTCAAACAGTTGTTTAAGAAACAGTAAATAATTGAGAATCTGACAGTGGAAAATATTAAATGTCAAGCCTACTTATCTGGCGTCTATGAGAGGCATTTAGAAGTGAAAGTAGTAAGAAAGGTGGAGATATGGATGAACGTCATCACTACCAACTGTAATCCATATATCTTATCATTACTTATCTAGTTTAGGATAAAATTTAAAACTGCTCAAATGCACTGACCATAACAGGTCTAGTTTGAAGGCTTTTGCTACAGGTCTTCAATGTATTTTGAAGTCTGTGATGGGAGATTGTTCCATTACAGTGAGCCGGCATGTAGGAATGACTTGTCACCATACTTCTGATATGTGACTTTGATACTGTCAGCATGTGGTCATCTTCAGACTGGAGTGAGCATGTAGGCTTGGAAGGTACCGGTACTATCAGTTCCTATGAGTATACAAGAGCCAAACTATGTGATTGCATTCTTTGTTGGATAGGCACCCAGGGTTTAACTCATAACAATGATAGAACAGAAACTGGCAAAACATCTGTTATATATACTAAAAAAAAGTTAAAGAACACCTGATTTTTTCATATTACTTTAGTTAATCTGTCATCACAAATTAACCATAGTCATATGATTTGTTTGTTGTTTAACGCTGCACTCAGCAATATTTCAGCAGTCTGTAAATAATCGAGTCTGAACCAGACAATCCAGTGATTGACATCATGAGTATCGACATGCGTCAGCCAAATCACCAAGCCTGTCCACCCCATCCCATTAGACACCTCATGACAAGCATGGGTTGCTGAAGACCCATTCTTTACCCGAGGTAGTCATATGAAAACGTTGGGTTTTCTTTAACTTCTTTAGAGTAGCATATAACATACTCCAATATAATGCAGTTGTCGAACAGATTTTCTGTGACACAGATTTGGGAAAGCAAACTAACACAAGTGATCAAAGGCAAGGCAAGTCCTCAAAAATCATATTGATGTGAAGCTTTAATTACAGGTTGAAAATATGTACAATATCGACATTATGAAATGACATGATGAGGGTGTTGAATAATTTACAACAATCATGAACTGACGATGATGTGCTGTATCCATGTATACATGTGTTTGTATATGTTTACATGTACATATATGATGACACATTTATTACATCTATTGTCCTTAAGTCATAATCAACAAAATACCAACATGTTCGTCATAAGCATTCTCACATACACTGAGGAATCTTGACTGCCTTCACCAAATGGCACCAAAATTGCCCCAAGCATCTTAATTTGTCTCTGCAGAAAATCTTTGTTTAACTGGAAGAGCTAATAATTATTGTTATGTTCCACCTATAGCTATGTCCCTGCGGGCGGAGGATAATGGGCTCAATGCATTATACCCACATAGGAAATCAAAACCAGGCCTACAAGGTAACAAGTATTGTTATATTCCACCTATAGCTATGTCCCACCTGGCGGGGGATAATGGGCTCAATGCATTATACCCACATAGGAAATCAAAACCAGGCCTACGAGGTGACAAGCTTTAACCACTAGGTTCCCCCACCGCCCAAGGGAAAGCTAAATACTCAACATTCTTTCATGAAATAGTTTCCTGAATTGAATTCAAGAATTGTAATTAATAGCACCTCAAACAAACTCTTTCTCCCCAGTGTAACAAACTTGCAGCTATATCAACTTGCTATCAGCAGAAACTCTCTCATTTTGTTGATGAACATCCCTGACACATTCCAATCAACACTTTGAAAACTGTGCATTGAAAGCGAGATGTTCTCCTTGGGATCATTTACTGTTACTGTAGGAAATAGAGTCCTGTCTGTGAAGTCTTTCCACACGGTCCCTGTTCATAGCTGATCAGGATCTCACTGACTTGTTCCATCAGCGCCACACACACACAAAGTCTAAGCGATGACCATCATACGAGGTGCGATGCTCATCGACATCAGTTCCTGGAACAACAGCTTGCACGCATACGGAATCCGCACCTGGGAAATCTGCAAAATAGGAATACAATGCAATCTGAAACCAAATACAATGAGTGAGTGAGAGTCCATTTGGCGCTTTATAACTGGAACTTTATTTCTTCACCCAGGACCTTCGCAGCGCTGTCCTTCTAGTTGTCGTAAGTAAGCAGTGAATGCATTAAGGAGTAATGCAGGATAAGTAAAAAATATTATTATTACTATTGATTTAAATATCAGATAAATCTTACATGCTTCAGTATATTTTGTTTCAGTCATTCAAACATACATTCTCTTTGGCATCCAGTGGGACTTGCAGTGGATATTGTTAGCATCTATTCTGAATCTTTATGCATATAGGATGCCATATTTGATACCCAGTAAAACCCTGTACTGAACCTCATTAAGATACCCATGGGTGTTGATGACCTATTCAACTTCAGACAACACCACTGATTTATCTGAACATCTCGTACATAAATGTCTTAGAGATAAAACAATTATCAATGAAGGACATTCATTTTCCATCAAAATGGGTCACATGAAAGTTCTAGTTCCAACAACAGTAGGCCCATGGATGTGTCCTGATGTCTTGGTAGAGGATGCCTGTGGACAATGTCTCCTTCAGTTACCACAACAGTGAGTGAAGTGAGCTAAAAGATTTGATCGCAAAAGCACACTCCTTTCAAGCTGTGAAAAAATGAACATTCTAGCTAAATCAGGGATAAGTGCAGTTGACTCTGACAAGTGTAAATGCTTTCTTACATGTGTCTTGTTCTTGCAACCCCTGCACTCGAACGTCTGGTTGCGGAGGTTGGCGATGCAGATGAGGCCACAGATATTGCACACATGGCACCGGTAAGGGTCTGAAGCCTCGAAGAGTCTCTCTCTGAGGAACTGGGCGGCACCGTGGGCAATCTGACAATCTCGCTCCATCTCCCCAAAACGCAGACCTCCATCACTGGAAAACACATCACCAATGTGAACCTAAATCACTCTTTATTAATTTTTTCAACAATTGAAGTCTGTTGTTAAACGCCACACAAGGGAAACGGAAACAGGTTACTTAAGCTACAGGCGACAATATTCCACTAATTTCCAGCCAGTCAGTAGATACTACTGCTGCTTAACACTGCAATAGACAATATTCCAGACATGGCCTGAAGTAATAGACTCTGGACCAGACAAAGCACTGATTGATGTTTATTATTTTGGGTTTGTTTGTTGTTTAACCCCGCACTCAGCAATATGGCGGTGGCCTGTAAATAATCGAGGAAGGACCAGATAATCCAGTGATTCATATTGTGAGCAAGGATCCAGGCTGTTGTGGACCGATGACATGCCATGAACCGAGACACCAAGCCTGACCACCCGATCTGTTAAACCACCTGTTAAGACCGGCATAGGCTGCTGGGACCTGTTCTTACCCAGAGTGAGTGAGTTGGGTTTAACACTGCTTTTAACAGTATTCCAGTCATATCACGGCATGTCAGCTTAATGTGGGAGGAAAGCCCAAAGTGATGCAGGTCTTAAGACGTTTACCACTTCGGTGAAACCTACGAGCACGGATATGGTGCTGACAAACCTAGAAACATAATCAGGGCGAACCGGGATTCGAACCCACAATCATAGGTTTCTGGCGTGCCCAAGGGACGCAACACTGCACAACGAATTGCGGCGCCTTAGACGACTGGGCCACCTGTGACCCCTTTCTTACCCAGAATCCCCATGGGGACAAATGAAGTATTTCACATTGAGTATGCATTCTCTTTTCCACCAAATTCACAGACCAGCTGGCTTGACTAGATTGGAGCGGACGTTGTTACCAACAGCTATGTTTCAACTACAGTAACAACTTAAATAATCACACCTGGACAAGGAGACAAGTGGTCGACAACGTGAGCATCGACCAACTCAATCTGGGTTCAATGACAGGTAAGCATTGTCAACACCCACTCCTCATTAATGGATTCTTACAAGCGTGAGGTACTGATAACACTGTTGCCCCAGTATGCCGATAGGTTTGCCACTCGTGGGGATTCCGGGTAAGAATACAGGTCCATACCAACCCATACGTGTCATTAGAGGCAACTAAATAGGTTGTGGTCAGGCTCAGTGACTTGGTTGATTGATGTCATTGTATTCCTATCGACAAAGCTTATGATGACAATCACTAGATTGCCAGGTCCAGACTCAGTTATTTACAGACTGCTGTCATGTAGCTGGAATATAGCTGAGACAGTGTTAAACAACAACCAAACCATAGGTTTGCATCAGCTGAATTATGGAAGCAAACTTCAATCTAACTAAAAGTAGGTACAATATTGAGCCAAACACAATCCCCATTTCTCACCGAGATCGTCCCTCCATGGGCTGTCTGTTGAGGATCTGTAGGGGGCCCCTGGCGCGGGAGTGGATCTTGTCGTCCACCATGTGCTTGAGACGTTGGTAGTAGGTGGGGCCTAAGAAGATCTGGGCGTTCAGCTTGCGTCCCGTGTGGCCGTTCATCATGACCTGTACACAACGGACGGGGAAAACAGTGAGTGAGTGAGTGAGTATGGTTTTACGCTGCTTTTAGCAATATTCCAGCAATATCACGGCGGGGGACACCAGAAATGGGCTTCACACATTGTACCCATGTCGGGAATCGAACCCGGGTCTTCGGCGTGACGAGCGGACGCTTTAACCACGAGGCTACCCGACCACCCCCAAAACATCAGGGAAGCAACATGCCTTAAACTGTTAAACAGGAATTTGTAGCAGTACATAAAACATCAACGTTTATAACACAAACATTCTCCAAGGCTGAAGGATACATGGGTGATGAAAATTTATATTCCTGTGCCTAAAAACAGTTTTGAAGTTCTAAGTTTTTCAGACGCCTAGGTTGAGGTTGAGAGGGGTTCCTCTCAGAAAACAGCTGTAATAAATACAAGCAACAGTTTTAATTTCCGGAAAAATGCATGTGTACTTCTGGGGTCCCTTGACACTGTTTCTTTTGAAAAACTACAATACAATAAGCAAAACCAGGTAATAGGGTGACAATAGGCTTTCAATGCGTTTTATTGAATTTTGAAGCCTTTTGACGTTTTCAAGCCTGTGTGAAGAGCTTCATACAAAACTCAAAACAATTATGACATTCTCAGATGAACACACACTCACTTCATTGCCTCTCTGATGGTAGCCATACTGACTGAGTAGATCGGACACCTTCTGTACATTGACAGCATCGTTGAAGGGTGTGGCGTCGCCGATCTCCCCCTTGTTGGCAGCCACCTTGCCCTGCAGGCATTCTGTCAAGTGACCAATGGTCATACGACTGGGGATGGCGTGGGGGTTGATGATGATGTCGGGGGTGATCCCCTCACACGTGAAGGGCATATCCTGAACAAACCAGTCTTCAGTTAGAACAAAGAGAATCCTCAACATTTTGAGTAAACAAGTGAGTTTTGTGTAATAATGTTTTGAGCTGTATATCAGTTATATGATGGCGTGTCAGGTTGATGTTGGATGAAAACTGTAAGCTATCTTTGACACATACAACTTCGGTGAAACCATGAGCATGGGCATGAAGCCAAGTATCATAAAGCAGGGTAAGTTTTGTTTGTTTGTTGTTTAACGCCGCACTCAGCAATATTCCAGCAATATGACGGCAGTCAAATAATCAAGTCTGCACCAGACAATCTAGTGATTGATATCATGAGCATCGATCTGCGCAAATGGGATACGGTGACATGCATCAACCAAGTCAGCGAGTCTGACCACCCGATCCCGTTGGTGGCCTCTTACGACAAGCATAGTCACCTTTTACTGCAGGCATGGGTTGCTGAAGACTTATTCTATCCCGGATTTTCACAGGTCATCAGGGCAAGTATGGGATTCAAACTCACAATCATAGAACTATGGTACACATAAGGCATGCAACTTGACTAAACGTACCTCATGACAACAGTTAATTACAAAATGCTTTCTTATAAAACCAGAAAAATAGAAATCCTTTTAGATCTACAGTTAAATTGAAATACTGGTAAAACCATACCAAAGACAGGCCGACTCCTATAATTTTCACAACATTTTCAGGTTAACCCTTGACCTATTGTTTCTGAAAGACCATATCTTACCTCCTGCCTGTAAGTAATACCGCAGGTACCCTTCTGTCCATGACGACTAGCGAACTTGTCTCCGATCTGTGGTGTCTTTACAGTCCTCACCCGGATCTTGCAGAACTTGTAGCCATCGTTGTTAATGGTGACCATGACCTACAACATAGCCAGACGATGTTACCAAGGATGTAACAGCACCTGATGCATTGTACACGGCCAGACTTTATCCCCCCCCGGTCTGGTGCAAATAAAAACTGGAGTGTGGCTACTTATACCCCACCTTTGTTCACTGTCATCGGATACCTTCAGGTCAATAAGAAAATAATAATGCTGTTCCACATTTTTCGAAATCCCAAATTATCAAAAGGCACCAGTTCACCACTAGACTCATCTGTATAGCAAGTATCAATAACAAATATTCAATGGTTTTTGAGTTCTGCTCCAGAAACAAGCACTACCCTCATTTCAAAATAAATCCAACTTGTCATTGTAGATAAAAAAAAAAGAAATTCCCCAAATTCCCAACTCATCAAAAGGCACCAGTTCATCACTTGACTGATCTACATAGCAAGTTTCAAACGATTTTGGAGTTCTGCTCCAGAAACGGAAAACAGACAACTGACGGAAGGACAGACAGACATGGTGGTCGATATATCCCGCTTCTCAAACCGGGGGATAACAAATGATAAAAATCTTTAGATTTTCAAAAGAAGTCCTCTTCACTGTCAGCTATCCGTAATCAGCCATGTGGATAATAGTTTCCTACTGTCGAATGCTCTTGTGCAGTGAAGAAGACTTCTCTTCAACCAGTATTCTCTCATATACTGTAACCGATTTCTTGACAACCGGCTTAAAAAATTGAAATATCAAATTCCTGATATTTTGTGCCTCTTTATCACTGGTTTTGTAAAACACATAAAACATATAGGGACTGATATTTCTTCACCTGATCGACAATGCCTGTCTCAGTTCTCCTCATGAAGACACTAGCATCTCTCTTGGAGAATCTCCGGGCCGTGGACTCCAACTAGCAACACAAACAATAGTTGAACAGTTATTCTTGGAACATGTTGTAAGCAAAACTTTATATTTGAAAACACATTGCCACATCACAAGACAGTCATCAATATTCCAGCTATGACAGCAGCCTGTAAATAATCAAGACAGACAAACCAGTGATTGACTTTATGAGCAACACAGAACAGGGTCATGTCGAAAATTAAAATCTTAGAATCAAACTGCATAATAGAGTACAATTCAAACATGATTGATGTGATGAAATTAAACTTGGCAATCTTTAACCATACACAAATCCACTGACACGACATCATTCCAGACTGACCTCATCATCATTAGCTGGGAGTGTGATTGTCTTCCCGATCAGCACATCATCTCCAGACACTCTGGTTCCTGGCGCTATGATGCCGTCGTCATCCAGTTTGTCATACGTTGCTGGCCGCATACCTGCGTACAACACAATCAGATGTCCAGCATGCTCATCTCCAGACATGATCAACGTACTGAACATGCAAAACATGCACTGGTGCTCATGTGTAAGTCTAACTCCATTGTTGGGATACATACCAACACAAATATCACGTCTCTTAGCCATTCATTTTTTAGATTTCCTACAGTCATAGAATAGTTGTTCAATCAAAAAACAAACAATATTTTTTAATTCCATGCCATGAAAAAAAATAAATCAACTGCCGGTCTAACCTGTTACTGTCAGGTCTAACTGGTCAACTGTCAGGTCAGACTGGTTACAGTCAGGTCAAACTGGTTACAGTCAGGTCAAACTGGTCGCTGTCAGGTCAAACCAGACAGTGTAAGGTCAAACATGTCACTGTGGTTACCTTGGACATAATCTCTGGTCGGCTTCTCAAACACTTCTTCCTGATCAAGACCCTTCTTAGATTCTGAATCCTTGTAGGAACGGAAGAAAAAGGATCTGAAAACAAATTCAGTTGAAAGTAAAAAACATGATCACAACATCAATTGCCATCAGATGCAAATATGCACAAAGGTTAGCCAAAACAGTAGTGGCTGGTCTCTAGGCAACAGGGTTATGACCCATCACTTTACACGGCAGCTGAATTTCCTCCAATCACATAGAATAGACTGTCTAAGATGCTGAGTGACTGAGTGATGGAGTGAAAGATGTCATATTGTGAACTGTTACATTAGACAAGTACTGGTCGTTTTCTCTTTATTAACAGCAAAATTAATGGACCGAAAATAAATTCGAGTCTGAACCTGATCAACAATCGACTCCATCAGGACAAAATGATGTCCCATCACATCACAGCTAAGTGTTCACTTTTCTGTTAGTGTGCAGTATTCAGTGTCTGCCTGCCTACCTGAAGAATCCTCTGTCGATGGCTCCCTGGTTCAAGATGACAGAATCTTCCTGGTTGTACCCAGTGTAGCAGGCGATGGCCACGATAGAGTTGATGCCTGGAACAGTGACACGCACTGGCTCAGTAAAACTAACACTAATGTTTCAGGTAATGTTTTGTCTCATTGGTTATTTGAATTTTTCTTTGGGTAATCAATGTACAATGAAGAAATTCTGCTTAACATGTTGTTTCAGTTGACTTCCAAAATTCATCTGTGTCTGTGCTGCCATTATGTGCTGAAAATGTTTAACGACAGCATGAGTGAGTGAGTGAGTGAGTGAGTGAGTGAGTGAGTGAGTGAGTGACTACAGTTTTACGCCGCTTTTAGCAGTATTACAGCAATATCATGGCGGCGAACACCAGAAATGGGCTTCACACATAATACCCATGTCGGGAATCGAACCCAGGTCTTCGGCGTGATTAGAGAACGCTTTAACCGCTAGGCAACCCGAGCGCTCAGTATGACAGTGTGCAATGGTATAACAGTCAGTGCATTAGGACGACAATTAATGCAATGGTATTATGTCGATGCAGTGATATGTAATCGATGCAGTGGTATTATGTTGATACAGTGGTACTTAATCGATGCAGTGGTCTGTGCAGTGGTATTATGTTGATACAGTGGTACTTAATCGATGCAGTGGTCTGTGCAGTGGTATTATGTTGATACAGTGGTACCTAATCGATGCAGTGGTCTGTGCAGTGGTATTATGTTGATACAGTGGTACTTAATCGATGCAGTGGTCTGTGCAGTGGTATTATGTTGATACAGTGGTACTTAATCGATGCAGTGGTCTGTGCAGTGGTATTATGTTGATACAGTGGTACTTAATCGATGCAGTGGTCTGTGCAGTGGTATTATTTTGATATAGTGGTACTTAATCGATGCAGTGGTCTGTGCAGTGGTCAGTGCAGTGGTCAGTGCAGTGGTCAGTGCAGTGGTATGACTGTGGGTACAAGGACATTACAATCAGGACAACAGTTTGGGACCCACCAGCGGGCAGCTCTCGGAAGCGGAGATACTCCATGGACCGCGTGGTGACCAGGGGCTTCTGGGGGTAGAAGAGGCCGTGGGCCAGGGTGTCCATCCTCACGTGGTAGTTGGTGATGTAGACGCCCATGGCCTGCTTGCCCATAGCGGATTGGTAGGTGTTACGGGGAGACTGGAACAGACACACACCAGGGTTACACAACAGGGTTACACACCTCTCTACATCCACACAGCGAGTAGCCCGCCACACCATCCCATTCCAGTAAGCCTCTTGGGTGGCATTTTATTTCTTACATATTTTTTTAAACAAACTCACATGGCACATTTTCAAAGCTAAAGGCTTTAAGGCCTAAAAATTCTTTAAAACATTTATTTTGACATTCTGATTGTATTTCATTCACATATTTCATATTCAAGTATACAAATATTTTTTTGTAAATGTTCTCATATTTCCAGTTTGTACTTTTGGGCTCCATAAACACAAAGTAAAATGTTACTGTTACTGTTACCAGACAGCTCCAGCAGCAGGAGGAGGAGAGAGTGTACCTGGTTGTGATCGGGGAAGGGGATGATGGAGGCACAAACCCCGAGCACCATGGCAGGGTGGATCTCGCAGTGGGTGTACGTGGAACAATACGCCGAGTCCTTCTCCTGGAGGTCGTCTGGGGTCATGGCCAACATGATCGTCTCCTCTTCCACAGGGTCGATGTACTCCACGACACCGCTCGCCACCAGGTCCTGCCAACTGGGGACAGATCGGGGGATTTACAACACAGCTGCAGGGTACATCATGGACACGTTTCAATATGCACAGGCCCTGTTTGAAGCAGGCAACATGAACTGAGTCAAAGAGTGAGTTGGGTTTAACACCGCTTTTAACAGTATTCCAGTTATATTGCGGCGTGTCAGCTTAATGTGGGAGGAAAGCCCGAAGTGATGCAGGTCTCAGACGTTTACCCCTTCGGTGAAACCCACGAGCAAGGGTATGGTGCTGACAAACCTAGAAACATAATTGGGGTGAACCGTGATTCAAACCCACAATCATAGGTTTCCCAAGGGCCGCAACTCTGCAGAGCAAATCGCGGCGCCACCCGTGCCCCCGCAACATGAACTGATGCTGCTGGTATACGTTTTGGCTACGAATATAGGCACATGTACCAGTGAGAGCAGCGAGAGTGATATTGAGTGAGTGAGTGAGTGAGTGAATTGTGTTTAACGCCTCATTGTTTGTTTGTTGTTTTGGCTACGAATATAGGCACATGTACCAGTGAGAGCTGCGAAAGTGATATTGAGTGAACATGTGAATGAGTGAGTGAGTTGTGTCTAACTCCTATTTCAACAGCATTATTAAAATCACAACACTGTGAGCAACGATCCATGGGACGATGACAATCTTCAGTGATGAGGAGGCACTGGTGACTGGGGAGGTAATCTATCCCTGAACCTCCCGGGGCTCAAGGTGCAGTACCTGTAGTTGTTGTACTCCCTCTGCTTCAGCTGTTTGATGTGACTCTGCTTCAGCAACAATTTCTGATTCTCCACGATCAGCAGCGGACGACAAATACGTCCTGCATCTGTGTAGATGCGGATCTCACGGTCATGGAAGTCGCGAATCATGGATACCTGGAGGTATAGAAAATATGAAATAAAAAACAAGCGTATTGAAACCTGCCTGCACTCAAAATATTATTCCTGTATTGTATCTACAGGTTGTGTTTGTTTTTAAAGAACAAGAAAAAAAAGAGCTAGTGTTTGTTGTTTAATGATGCACTCAGCAATATTCCAGCTAAATGATGGACCAGACAATCCAGTGATTGATATCATGAGCAACGATCCATGCCATTGTAAGGCGACACGCAATCAACCAAGTAACCGAGTCTGACCACCAGGGCCCACTTACACAAAGCGATCTTAGCGCTACAACAATTGTAAGCCTATGTTAAAGCATGGGGTTATGATCATCTTAGCGCTAAGATCGCTTTGTGCAAGTGGGCCCAGATCCATTAAGTCGCCTCTCACAACCAGCATAGGTTGCTAGGGATCAATTCTAACCCAGAATCCCACAGGTTAAGTTGTGGACAAATATGAAACAGTTGAGTGCGACACACATCAAGGGGGGACTGACCTCGGACACAATGATGTCCATCTCTCTCCTCAGCTTCCTCAGCGTGGCCATCAGCTGGTCAGGGTCGCGATGGATTCCCACCCAGCACCCATTCACAAAGATCTTAGTCGCACTGGAAACAGAAGTCAACAATAGTCTCAGCTCTTCTTCCTAACTAAGTATGTGGAGACAAGTAGGGAAGCACGACCAACCATTGCACTGGTTGTAGATGAACTGTGTCATTGTTCATTCTGTCAATCCAGTGGCCTGACATCAGCAGATGAATAAGCAAGTCTGTACCAGACAATCCAGTGACAGTTGTTCTGCATAGGGGTACAGCGATGCAGCAAGGTCACACTATGATACGTATCTCGATACACAGGTAATGATACGATACATATCACGTTACACACATTTATGTCACATTGTGAGGAAACTTCTTGACCATAATTATTTCGGAGCATGTTCTAAAGGAAAAGCTGGCTGTCGACATATGTTCGTAGCTGCTATTTTTAGTAATGAACTTAGAAAGCTAATTACAACACATCTTGTAAAATTTGATTGACAAAATTGCTGGAGGTCATTAATTGAGAAAATTAATACAGAAAAAATGTATCAAGTATCGTATCGTCTTTAAAAATGATTAACAATGTACTGGTGCACCAATGTATCGTTTCAACCCTAGATATGCATAACATCCAACACATGCAGACACAAGGACTTACAATCCAATAAGTTAACGAGCCCCACCATCCGATCCAAGTCAACTGGGTACTAGTCTTACATGAATTTCTCCCAGGGCCTGAACTACTGATAGTATATCGCGTCTATATTCAGTTGAAATACAAACGCAAACAATTACTTGAGAATCTACGAGGAGTTATAATCAAACTGAAAATGCAAGTAGTCGTCAAATTATCTGCCAGACAGTTGAGCAAGTGGAGAAAAATTTTATGCAGCCCACCTGAAGAGTTACCAGCTACAGTCTGGCTGGCAGGCAATTATTTTGGAGTGAGTTGAATTTAACGCCGCTTTATAACAGTATTCCAGTTATATCACAGCGTGTCAGCTTAATGTGGGAGGAAAGCCCGAAGTGATGCAGGTTTCAGACGTTTACCACTTCGGTGAAACCCACAAACACGGGTATGGTGCTGACAAACCTAGAAACATAATCAGGGCGAACCGGGATTTGAACCCACGAACATAGGTTTCTGGTGCGCCCAAGGGACGCAACTCTGCACAGCGAATCGCGGCGCCTTAGACGACTGGGCCACCCGTGCCCCCTAGTTATTTTGGATGCTGTGGGAGACTGACTCTGACCCAGGATGACTTAGGGTTCCATTTGAAACATTCCTAAAACAGACTGAATGTGGCCGGGCTAAAGCCTACGTACTCCTGTATGGCGGATGGTGCCACCTCTTCCAGGTTCTCCATACTCCACTCCTCCAAGAACTCCAGGATAGGGGACGGCTGGGACCCCACAGAGATGTAGGCCATCAGCGCCAGGTTCTTCACAAGGCCGACAGCACCTCCCTGCAGACACAGACACACAGACATAGGTGAGGTGATGTGAAATGCAGTTTAACTTCCTGTTTAAGATTATAGCACTTCATTAGCGATGTGCATGCAAGTGTATGTGTGTGTGCGTGCGTTCATGCGTGCAACTTATGCCGATTGTATAGTGCTAGCTCACTGTGATATCATGCCGCTATTTAACATGAATACCCCACCTTAGACACAGTATACAGACTCCGAGCTGACCAGTCCTTGTGTAGCCCCTTAATGCCAAGCGCTAGACAGGGTAACAACAAGTACCATCTTTTAAAGTGTTTTGGTTTTTCTGCGGACGGTGATTGAACCACTGACCTTCACTCTCTGGGTAGATGCTCTAACCAACAGACCACGAGGCGGTCACATACAGGCAGAGCAATATGGAAAACAGGATTGATAATTGCAGCAAGTGCAGTTCCATGGCATCTTTACCTCGGGTGTCTCGGCCGGGCAGATCATACCCCACAGGGTGTTGTGCAGCTGTCGAGGTCGGGCCAGTTTACCGTCTCGGCCGATGGGGGAGTTGAGACGTCGCAGGTGAGACAATGTGGAGGCAAACGTCAGTCTGTTCAACACCTACAGTATAGAAGACCCATGTTTAAGATAACTGAACACAAAAGAAAGTCAATGAAGAGCTAATTTACATGATAATCTACCTTCTCTAGAGTCATATCACAGGAATCTGTGACTAGAACTCATCTGAGACAGTCAGCCTGAGACCGATACCTACCCGAGACATCCCTGGCATGGCCAGATACCCACACAGGACTGTCCTGCTACCCATCCAAAACATCACAGGCCTGTCCTGCTCCCCATCCAAGACATCACAGGACTGTCCTGCTACCCATCCAAAACATCACAGGCCTGTCCTGCTACCCATCCAAAACATCACAGGAGTGTCCTGCTCCCCATCCAAGACATCACAGGCCTGTCCTGCCACCCATCCAAAACATCACAGGAGTGTCCTGCTACCCATCCAAGACATCACAGGCCTGTCCTGCTTCCCATCCAAAACATCACAGGAGTGTCCTGCTACCCATCCAAGACATCACAGGCCTGTCCTGCTACCCATCCAAAACATCACAGGAGTGTCCTGCTACCCATCCAAGACATCACAGACCTGTCCTGCTACCCATCCAAGACATCACAGGCCTGGCCTGCTACCCATCCAAGACATCACAGACCTAGCCTGCTACCCATCCCAGACATCACAGACCTAGCATGCTACCCATCCAAGACATCACAGACCTGTCCTGCTACCCATCCAAGACATCACAGGCCTGTCCTGCTACCCATCCAAGACATCACAGACCTAGCCTGCTACCCATCCAAGACATCACAGGCCTGGCCTGCTACCCATCCAAGACATCACAGACCTGTCCTGCTACCCATCCAAGACATCACAGGCCTGTCCTGCTACCCATCCAAGACATCACAGGCCTGGCCTGCTACCCATCCAAGACATCACAGACCTGTCCTGCTACCCACCCCAGACATCACAGGCCTGTCCTGCTACCCATCCAAGACATCACAGACCTGTCCTGCTACCCATCCAAGACATCACAGGCCTGGCCTGCTACCCATCCAAGACATCACAGACCTGGCCTGCTACCCATCCAAGACATCACAGGCCTGGCCTGCTACCCATCCAAGACATCACAGACCTGTCCTGCTACCCATCCAAGACCTCACAGGCCTGTCCTGCCACCCATCCAAGACCTCACAGGCCTGTCCTGCTACCCATCCCAGACATCACAGGCCTGTCCTGCTACCCATCCAAGACATCACAGACCTGTCCTGCTACCCATCCAAGACATCACAGACCTGTCCTGCTACCCATCCGAGACATCACAGGCCTAGCCTGCTACCCATCAAGACATCACAGGCCTAGCCTGCTACCCATCAAGACATCACAGGCCTAGCCTGCTACCCATCAAGACATCACAGGCCTAGCCTGCTACCCATCCAAGACATCACAGACCTAGCCTGCTACCCACCCAAGACATCACAGACCTGGCCTGCTACCCACCCAAGACATCACAGACCTAGCCTGCTACCCATCAAGACATCACAGGCCTAGCCTGCTACCCACCTGGGACACTCCAGCTCTGGCCTGGGAGGCCTTCTTCTGATCCCCCCAGTTGCCTGTGGCCAGGGAGTACTTAAGTCCGTCTGTGATGATTCGTGTCTTAATGGCCAGCTCCATGTTGAAATCTTTCCCTCGATCTATGAACTTCTGGGCATACATTCGTACCTCTTTCATCAGGTTACGGAACATGCTGTAAAGTCAAACAAGACAAGTATAGTTTTCCAAAACTAATAACAATATCAACAGAAATAGATAAACAAGAAGACCAAGTGATCCACATGTGCCACCATTACCAAAGTTCAAAAAGAACCGGGGGCACGAGTGGCCCAGTTATCTACAACACCACGATTCGCTGTGCAGAGTTGTGTCCCTTGGGCACACCAGAAACCTATGATTGTGGGTTCGAATCCCGGTTTGCCCTGATTATGTATCTAGGTTGTCAGCACCATACCCATGCTCGTGGGTTTCACCCTGTGACCTGCATCACTTCGGGCTTTCCTCCCACATTAAGCTGACACACTGTGATTTAACTGGAATAATGTTAAAAGTGGCGTTAAACCCAGAACAGACATGTGACTCACCCTCTGAACAAGAAAGCCAGAAGAGGCCCAGCCAAGTCCAGCCTCTTGTTGCCGTAGTGATCTCTGTCATCTACCTCCCGCCTCCCGAGAGCTGCCATCAGCAATCGATGGACCATGTACCTGCAAATAACAAGCAGATTTCAGTATTAGCATCAGCTTTTAACATCTTCACTTCCTGTGAACTATACGAAAAAGGAGATTCACGTCAGTGTCAATTCTGCAATAATACACTCCTATAGTCCTAATCTCAATATCATTTTGCTATTACAGATTAACATAAAACCCAATTTGAGCAAGTCACATACTTCTTCCCAATAATAAACCATTATTCACAGGTTTCAGAATTTATAACTATTTCACTTAATTTTTGTTACCAAAAAATTCAACTTAATCCTGTTTCACCAACTCTGTTTTAAAATCCCTTCCATCAACCACCATTATCCTTCAGTGTCTCAATATATTACCTATTCCTGAACAAACTAAACCTACGTCAGCCATGAGTGACAACATGAGAGATGACGAGAATAATGACGAGAGTGATGACGAGAATGATGACGAGAGTGACAACCTTACCCAAGGAAGTAGGCCTTCTTGGTCTCACAGAACTCGCTGACGCCCACATGAGGCAACATTTCCTTCTGCAAGATTTCTCTGGCGTACTTGATTCTCTTGTCCTTCGTGACACCAGGCCGAGCACCTCTGGCTCCGATAAAGTTGAGAGCCACGTTTTGTTCCTGGATGACAAAAGCCTCATCCAGCGACGGCTTCACCTGTACACAGGAGGATTAGAGTAGGGTGAGGTGAAATTGGGTTTAACGTTGCGTCCAAGATTATTGCACTTATATAGCGACGTGCATACACATGTGTGTGTGTGTGTGTGTGTGTGTGTGTGTGTGTGTGTGTGTGTGTGTGTGTGTGTGTGTGTGTGTGTGTGTGTGTGTGTGTGTGTGTGTGTGTGTGTGTGTGTGTACTAGTCCGGACTGACGCCAATTTATAGTGCTAGCTCACTGAGATACCATGCCTCAGTTTAACACGAATACCCCACTCAGACACAGTTTACTGACTCCGAGCCGACCAGTCCTTGTTTTAGCCCCTTAATGCTGAGCGCAAGACAGGGTAACAACAAGTACCATATTTTAACGTCTTTTGGTGTGACGCAGCCGGGAATCGAACCCAGGACCTTCCGCTCTCCGAGGGGACGCTGTACCACAAGACCACGGAGGCGGTCGATTAGAGTAAGACATTATCAGGATACACAAGTACTTGTTAAAAAAGCCAGGATAACAACAGGCTTGAAATCTGGCCATTATGCAAATGAGACCATCAATGCTTCATAAACACTGATAAATGTAAGATAAGACCTTCTAAATTTTCAACGAATGTCTTATCGGCCACATACTGCATACATCCAAACAGTTGTCAGTCTAACCCTTACCATTTCCATCATTTCAGGGTCATCAAAGTCGTAGATGATGTGTTCGAGGATGTCTCTGTCGGACACGAAGCCCAGAGCTCGGAACACAATGATGATAGGGATCTCCTGCTTGATGTACGGAAGAATGGACACAATTCTCTGACCAATGGCACTCTTCTTGGCTCCCTGCACACAGATGGGGAAAGTGGGTTATCTAGTGGTCCCTTCAAATCAGATCTGTTTACTCCAACATGAAACATCTGTGTGAGGGCTGGACAAACCCTCCATTGGATGTCTTGTCAGGTGAACCCTGAGTGACCTTTGACCGCCAAATCATAATTAAGGATTCTATTGCCTATGAGCGAATCAGAAGTCAGCTTACTAAAATCATTCAGCTTCATTTAATGACCAACTTGATTCCATATTTGGATTTTTAACAAAAGACAAGCCAAGAACACAAATATTCCTTGATCATGTTGTCGTTTTTGTTTGTTCTTTACGCCGCACTCAGCAATATTCCAGCTATATGAAGGCGGTCTGTAAATAATCAAGTCTGGACCAGACAATCAAATACTGGACATCATGAGCATCGATCTATGCAATTGAGATACAATGACATGCATCAACCAACCGGATCCCGTTAGTTGCCTCTTACGACAAGCATGGGTTGCTGAAGACCAATTCTACCCCGGATGTTCACGGGTGTGTTGTTGGTGGTACTGTGAATGCCAATTGAAGGGTGGGCAGATCTTCATGCAGAGACGTGTCATATCAGAGTAAATGATCCGATTATTGTGGAATTGAACCATGTTCAGCTAAGTACTCAGCTCCCTACTGAATCTTGAAGTCCACCAGTAGATACACATCACATTCTTAGATTTGATCAACTTACAATAGAATGCTTTCACACCCTGTTGACAACAGATACAAGCTGTTGACAACAGATACAAGCTGTCAACATACTGTGGTGTGCACTGAGACAAGGGTTTATGACAAATATTACGACAGAATGTGTACCTGATCCAAATTGTCAAGAAAGAATCCTTTCAGATAATTTATTGAACTCTAAAATGAGTAATGTTTTACTGCCGTCATGGATGGTAGAGCTATTTAACTCTTACAGTTTGGATGTTACGATAAACATAGCATCTGTAGAGAAACCTTGGGTGTCTCCACTCACCGATCCGCCCCTGGCCATCATGTTGACCCACAGTGTACTGGTGGGACGTGACGAGTGCTCCAGGCACGACCTCAACTCTGTCTTGAAGGCATACTTGGAGTCCTTCTGCTGAAACACGTACACTGGAAAAAAGACAGTAATCAGTCACACTTGCTCTTCAGGCAGTCTATTTGGAAGTCTTAATCACAAAATTGTTTGCAAAACTGACCCAAACAGACCCTATTTTTTTAAATTTTATATCACACTTGTGAAATTTTGATCCAGCATATCCTTAAACCAAGTAATACCGTATTCGACGTAATAAGCGCCCCGCTCTAATAAGCGCCCACGGTGATATTTGCTAATATATTGGCTAGTGAACAATCTCAATTAGCACCCCTTCCGATCAATGTACACAAGACTTATTTATTCATGTATAATACGCACTCGTGTGTTATATGCACCCTTAATTATGGGCAATTAAATCCTGGAAAAATATATATGTGGTATATAAACATTTCAGGTTGTCAGCATAAACCACGAAATTTACGAACTTTCAACTGTTTTTTTCCACCAAAATAATATTCCAATAAGAGCCCCCTATTTCTAATTTTGAGAGCACCCTGGGTGCTTATTACGTTGAATACGGTAACTAAAAACAGAAATCCCCAATAATATTCCCAGAACTCTAATCGCAATCATGATGAAAGTCACACCTGCCGACCATGCTATTCATGCTACTAGTACTGTAATACTATCCACCTACCTGTATTGGTGGCCATCTTCTCCTGAGCTATCAACACCTTCTCAGATCCATTGATGATGAAGTAGCCGCCGGGGTCCAGCGGACACTCGTTCAACTCCGTCAAGTCACGATCTGTGAGTCCGTTGAGCAGGCAGTAGGTGGACCTCAGCATGATGGGGATCTTGCCGATGTAGGTCTTCTGATGCAACGTCTCCACTGACTCCTCTCCCTCCTTGATCACGGTCTTTGTGATGTCCACGTACAGGGGAGCAGAGTAGCTGTTCACACAGACAAACAGGGTGCAACTGGCAGACAGAGCTTCGGCTTTTACAATCTAACAGAAAGTTTCAGAACATTTTTTTCAATTGTTGTTGTAATCTTTGTAAAACTACAATGTCACTTCAGCCACTAGTTCGAAGCCTGAGTTTGTCCACATATTAACACAAAATTGTACAGAAAATTATGCCAATTTTAGGCTAGTAGGGTTTAGATTGAAATATATGTAAAAGGTGAAAGAAATTAACACCAGTCTGCCAGCCCAAGACTCATAAATTTTGCTGAGGACAAATTGACCAGAGCATTTGAGGGCCATAATTCTGAACCAGATCATGCTTCAAGTTTGCTCAAAATTTGGTGTGAATAAATCTGACAGTAAATGTAAACATAGTGAACATTTCTGTTTTGTCCAAAGAGGACTAGCTTCTAACTCTGAGTGAGTATGGTTTTACGCCGCTTCTAGCACTATTCCAGCAATATCACGGCGGGGGACACCAGAAATGGGCTTCACACATTGTACCCGTGTTCGGGAATCGAACCTGGGCCTTCGGCGTGACGAGCGAACGCTTTAACCACTAGGCTACCCCGACCGCCCCTCTAACTCTGAGGACCAATGTATTAAGGTTTACACTAGTTCTCTGGACTACTCTAAAGAAAAATGAATTTCTGTATACCATGTAATAATGTGTATCTACTGTACATCATACATGATTTAGTACAAATAGTACATTAATAAACTTATTCCTAATTACATACGTGAGATTTCGGAGTCGTGCCTCGTTGGGCATCATAGGACTAGGAGCGCCATCCTTCTCCCAGTGGGTGGGCTTGGACAGGTAGATCTGCTCAAACTTCAGCAGGTACCTGGGCTAAAGGGCAGAGAAAGTGTGTTATTATGAAGATCATAATGATCATGTTCTGTCATATATATCCATAATAACAAACAATATTCATTTTCTTGCTGAATCAAAGTTAACTGTGTGTTTGTCAGTGCAAACTAAGCCAAGATACCAATAGCACTCTTTAAAGGACAAATCATTTCATCGTACTTAAGTGTCTGATATTCAGCATGGAAGTCAAGGGGTCCTGTGTCACAACCCTCATGTTAAGGGTTAAACATTTTTGGGGTATCTACATTCAAATACCATAGGTGAGGTGAGGTGAAATGGGGTTTAACGTCGCATCCAAGATTATTGCACTTATATAGCGACGTGCATGCACGTGTGTGTGTGTGTGTGTGTGTTTGTAATAGTCCGGACTGATGCCGATTTATAGTGCTAGCTCACTGAGATACCATGCCGCAGTTTAACATGAATATCCCACTCAGACACAGTATACTGACTCCGAGCCGACCAGTCCTTGTTTTAGCCCCTTAATGCCGAGCGCCAGACAGTGTAGCAACAAGTACCATCTTTTTTACATCTTTTGGTATGACGCGGTCGGGGATCGAACCCCGGACCTTCCGCTCTACCACTAGACCACAGAGGCGGTCAAATACCATAGACCCCACTATAATTTTGAACATTGTAACTATTAGTGTGTACTGCATCCATTGTTATGTGTTCTGCTACTGTGCACACAATAATGTAAGCTGGCGATCATAGAAAGATGTGAAAGACTTCATCATGTTCATGCTGATCTGCATTTAGCATGTTAAAGCAACGCCTTTACAATATTCATGTTAGGGATAATGACCAAGAGAGCCAGAAGCCACATCAAGAAACGATTACAAAAATTACATTTGTATCATTTGTCTATCCCTAGAAAGTAAAACAAAAAGAGTTTCGATATATGTTTACTTAACATGCCATTTCTTTGGTGAATATGGAACAATACAGTAACTATTACCGTATTCGACATAAATAAGCGCCCCGTTCTAATAAGCACCCACGGCGACATTTCCTGATATATTGGCTAGTGAACAATCCCAATTAGCACCCTTCCGATTGACCAATGTGCACATGACTTATTTATTCGTGTATAATACCCACTTGTGTGTTATATGCACCCTTAATTATGGGCAATTAAATTCTGGAAACATATATGTCATATATAAACATTTCAGGCTGTCAGCATAAACCATGAAATTTATCTTTCAACTCTGTTTTTTTCACCAAAGTAATATTCTAATAAGAGCCCCCTATTTCTAATTTTGAGAGACACGTATTACGTCGAATATGGTACTTTTACTTATACTACCAATTTGATATATTAAATTGATAAAAAAATATGTTACCACATTTTCATTGTATGTAGTCTATGGTCACTGCAATCCTGTCCTACATGTTGTAGAGGGTACAGAGCTGTTGATACACTTTAGTAGCCACATTCACAAAACTGACAATTATCCATGTGATTAGCTCACCGGTGTCTCCAGTGTCCCCGATGTATGCTGGGCCTCTGCCTGTAGATCGATCGGGGGAGCATCTTCTACAATTCTCTGCACAGACATCTGGATGAACTCATCAAAGGAGTCGAGCTGCTGACGTACCAGACCCTTCTCATCAAAATAGGAACTGATGACGATCCAGCAGGCTTCCTGCCACAGATCCGGGGTGAGGTCGTCCCCTTCGTCTCCCTCATCATACATTTCTGCAACAAGGCATCAGAAAAATTGCTGTTTGTTGCTTAATGCCACACTCAGGCATATTCCAAATATAAGAAGCAAAGGCATACTGTAAATAATCAAGTCTGGACCATGCAATACATTGACTAATATGTAGATCCACTCTGTCGGGGTACAATGACAAGCAATCAACCAAGTCAGCTAGCCTGACTACCCAATCCACTAAGTCGCCTCTTACAAAAAGCACAGATTACTGGGGACCAATTCAAACTCAGTATCCCACAGGGTCAGAAAATTCAGATCTCTTTCTTTTAATTCCCTTAAATATGCTTTTGGATCATGGTGAGCACTGGCATTTAACAATGTTCCAGGGTGATCTATAATCAAGATCAGCTGCCCTTTCATGTACTGTGATCCCTCGCTACAACGCTACCTTCAGGGTCCAAATAACTGATGAGCGTTATACATGATCAGCGGTTTAACGAAGGTGGAGTCGTAGGTGGTAATGACCAACAAAACAGTATACATGTTCTGCCTACCTAACACGATCTATGTTGCACCTTAGAGTCTTAAAAAAAGATTAGAATAGAAGTTGTTTATGATTCATAGTGTACAATGGTGTAAAAAAAAAGATTTATCGAGTATTAATATGTGCTTAAAAAAACCCACATTGTATCCCTTTAGCAAATTCAGGTGAATAAACAGGTATAACAAACTTGGTCAATAAAAGTATTAAATTTGACATAAAACATTACTAGACATGATGATTTACCATTCAAATTGTATTTCCTGCTCTCCAAGGCATTGTTTTATAAGCAGAGATTAAGATTACCGCATGTATTTTCTCATAAACTAAGCCGGAAATAGCAATCAGCTGTGCACACGTTTCCTCCCAATCTACCGGTGATTCAGTTATAAAGCACCCAATGATACAACTTCAAAGACTTTTTATGCAATTGTCGGAAGAAATTGTATCTGAAATTATTATTTTATCAGGAATAATATATTCCAATATCATGATATTTTAGTTGCAGCTTCCACTATATATATAGTTAAAATGATAAGAACCATATGCGTAGCACTTTGGTACAGATGGTATGCAGGATATTTTTTTTACGTATGGAACAATTTGACCAGTCACTGTAGGAACTTCATGTGCTACATGTATTTCGCTTGCGAAAAAATTATGTTGACATTTAACAGTCAAACTGCCTCAAATGTGACTTTTAGCGAGTCATGGTACAGCATTTATGATATGTGATATGTCTCTTGCAACTAAAGTTTGTTTCAAGGCGTCAATAGCGGTAATCTGACCGTGGTTGCTGTAAATAATGGTGAGTTGTGCGATCTACTGATTACTTCGGATACGACTTCGCCGAAATAATTGTAAACATTATTGTAATTATTGAATGAAATTTTGAATATAATTAATAAAATATATTGCAAACATTAGTCCAGATAAACAATGAACAATTTGTTTATAACAAGATATTATAATAATAGGATCAAATTGCGTACTTCAGTTCGGATTTCCGATGTTACGTGATCGCAGTGATCAGCCTATAATGTTTTCTGAGATGGGGGAAACATCGTGTCATTGGAAAACTTGAGTTTATGTCAGTAATTTTGGGGGGGCCATGCTTTACCATGCGCTAATACCGAGTTAGCACTATATTGAAGAGCGCAATAGCGAGGGAACACTGTATCTTGGAATAAGTTCTGGTTTACATTGGATGACATCCCATTGCCCAAAGTGTTTACAACTCCATCAATGACCAGATTACACAGCCTTTCAAGACAGTTATCTTAAATCAGGGGATAGTGTGAATAAGCACAGGACTTTCCCCACAATACTGAGGTAAGAAGTGGACTGCACTACTTAGGAGACGGGCTGCTGACTATATCATGCTATATTGGATCATCCCAATACATTTGAACTTACTGGAATGAACATGGTCAAACAGCAGAATAACTTTAACTTGTGGTAGTACTTACAACCATATAAGCCCTAGTCTTCAACTTACATGAAGATCAATTATGCTGAATTAACAAAATATTGGAATGACTCGTAGGATAGTATTGTCAGACACAATTATTTTGGACAGAAAACCTGTGTATTTGTGGCTGATTTTGCATCTATTTGATATAGAATCTGTCGAGACTGAATCAGTAAGAATTAATACGAGGAAAATGGGCTTTAGGATTTCAAAGGTTCATTTGTCTCAAACATATCCCTCCAAATATTGCGAACGTACGTTTATTTTTGTTTTTAACAGGACCCGCCAAAATATAAACATTGTGAGATGCTGCATTTGGTGTCGTAAATTTATTGACACACACGGCGTTCGTAATCGACGTGTTTAGATAAAATGGACATTTTCCCTTGACAGATCATATGTGTGCAGAAGTTGATACATTGACGCCTTATTTCTTTGTCAGAATTTTGAACTAATGCCGGTGCGCAGAATGTAAACAACGTTTACAAATGTTCATATAACAACAACAGATACCTTCGTCTTGACCATACATGGTTGATTATGTCCTTGAATATGTTATTGACTAAAATATCTAGAAGTTGGTTGATTTGGTCATATGATGACTCCGATATTGACAGATTATAACACCTTCTCCTCTAAAACCATCAGAGCTCCGCCATTGAAGCTGACGGAACTCTTCTCTCGGAGAGTTACGAAAGTGTACTTCGACAAGAAACCGGATCGACAGAAACCGAACCTGTTGAATATAAAACTTGAAGCGATAAACGGAATACGGATTTCGATAACCTTTTGTTCATTTATAGTTTTTTTCGCAAGCAGATCACCTATACATAGAATCAGAAGATTGTCAGTGTCAAGTGAAAAGGGTCTTGATTATATATTTTGATCCCCTCTCTCTCTTATAATCAAATGGTTGCTCCTTCAAGTCATATTGGCATTTTGCCTGTTGTCTATGTTTTGTCTTTGTGCATGTTCATTTTTTGTTGTGTGATTAATCAAACAGTAAAATAACTCTTCTCTTCATCAACAGTAGCATCAACACTGTTCACAGTTTTATCTGACATTTTCAGCATCTGCTGATGTGTGTTCTATCCCAGAAATGCCCTGATTATGATCTTTGGTTTGTGAGCACAATAACCCTGCTTGCTGATTTCACCAAAGTTGTAAACTTTAGCCGAGGTCAGTTTGGGCTTTTCATCAACATTTTCTATCTGATTTGCCTTGAGATAACCAAAACACTGCTCAGTGTGGCATTAAACGTAACTCACTCACTCATTCACTTATCGGGCAGTGTAATGTATTGGTAAACAATGATTGTAACTGTATTACATTGTTGCTGTTCAGATTCAGTAGAAGTTTATTGCATTGTATTTGGACAATGATTAGTTGACAGGAATGTAGTACTATTTAATGTAAGCAGTGGTGACGAAGTTATTATATTTAGATGCTCAAATTATCTGTAGACTATCGGAATAGCAAACATGTGGCATATTCTGTGATGTTCTAGTGACACTTGACTGGTCAAGCACTGTGTGGAAAGTGCAGGAAGCTGGTCAGACTATATAAATGGAGCGGGCACGTCCCTGTCTCATCTCACATTTCATGTGACATTACATCAAGACCAGAGGTTGTGTGAAGATCACTTATCACCCTGGATTCCCAGCCTAGGCCTATCTTGGAAGCCTGACCACTGTCACTGCTGGGTGAATATATTATTATCACTGACTTTGCTATCACCACTGTGTTTGTAACTTGATACTGCCCACTGCCATCATGTTTTATACTGCCATTGAATGCTGTTCTATAATTCTATTGTGTACTGCCATTGAATGCTGTTCTATAATTCTATTGTGTACTGCCATTGAATGCTGTTCTATAATTCTATTGTGTACTGCCATTGAATGCTGTTCTATAATTCTATTGTGTACTGCCATTGAATATTGTTCTATAATTCTATTGTGTACTGCCATTGAATGCTGTTCTATAATTCTATTGTGTACTGCCATTGAATGCTGTTCTATAATTCTATTGTGTACTGCCATTGAATATTGTTCTATAATTCTATTGTGTACTGCCATTGAATATTGTTCTATAATTCTATTGTGTACTGCCATTGAATATTGTTCTATAATTCTATTGTGTACTGCCATTGAATGCTGTTCTATAATTCTATTGTGTACTGCCATTGAATGCTGTTCTATAATTCTATTGTGTACTGCCATTGAATGCTGTTCTATAATTCTATTGTGTACTGCCATTGAATATTGTTCTATAATTCTATTGTGTACTGCCATTGAATGCTGTTCTATAATTCTATTGTGTACTGCCATTGAATGCTGTTCTATAATTCTATTGTGTACTGCCATTGAATGCTGTTCTATAATTCTATTGTGTACTGCCATTGAATGCTGTTCTATAATTCTATTGTGTACTGCCATTGAATATTGTTCTATAATTCTATTGTGTACTGCCATTGAATGCTGTTCTATAATTCTATTGTGTACTGCCATTGAATATTGTTCTATAATTCTATTGTGTACTGCCATTGAATATTGTTCTATAATTCTATTGTGTACTGCCATTGAATGCTGTTCTATAATTCTATTGTGTACTGCCATTGAATATTGTTCTATAATTCTATTGTGTACTGCCATTGAATGCTGTTCTATAATTCTATTGTGTACTGCCATTGAATGCTGTTCTATAATTCTATTGTGTACTGCCATTGAATGCTGTTCTATAATTCTATTGTGTACTGCCATTGAATATTGTTCTATAATTCTATTGTGTACTGCCATTGAATGCTGTTCTATAATTCTATTGTGTACTGCCATTGAATGCTGTTCTATAATTCTATTGTGTACTGCCATTGAATGCTGTTCTATAATTCTATTGTGTACTGCCATTGAATGCTGTTCTATAATTCTATTGTGTACTGCCATTGAATGCTGTTCTATAATTCTATTGTGTACTGCCATTGAATGCTGTTCTATAATTCTATTGTGTACTGCCATTGAATGCTGTTCTATAATTCTATTGTGTACTGCCATTGAATGCTGTTCTATAATTCTATTGTGTACTGCCATTGAATGCTGTTCTATAATTCTATTGTGTACTGCCATTGAATGCTGTTCTATAATTCTATTGTGTACTGCCATTGAATATTGTTCTATAATTCTATTGTGTACTGCCATTGAATATTGTTCTATAATTCTATTGTGTACTGCCATTGAATATTGTTCTATAATTCTATTGTGTACTGCCATTGAATATTGTTCTATAATTCTATTGTGTACTGCCATTGAATATTGTTCTATAATTCTATTGTGTACTGCCATTGAATATTGTTCTATAATTCTATTGTGTACTGCCATTGAATATTGTTCTATAATTCTATTGTGTACTGCCATTGAATATTGTTCTATAATTCTATTGTGTACTGCCATTGAATATTGTTCTATAATTCTATTGTGTACTGCCATTGAATATTGTTCTATAATTCTATTGTGTACTGCCATTGAATATTGTTCTATAATTCTATTGTGTACTGCCATTGAATATTGTTCTATAATTCTATTGTGTACTGCCATTGAATATTGTTCTATAATTCTATTGTGTACTGCCATTGAATATTGTTCTATAATTCTATTGTGTACTGCCATTGAATATTGTTCTATAATTCTATTGTGTACTGCCATTGAATATTGTTCTATAATTCTATTGTGTACTGCCATTGAATATTGTTCTATAATTCTATTGTGTACTGCCATTGAATATTGTTCTATAATTCTATTGTGTACTGCCATTGAATATTGTTCTATAATTCTATTGTGTACTGCCATTGAATGCTGTTCTATAATTCTATTGTGTACTGCCATTGAATGCTGTTCTATAATTCTATTGTGTACTGCCATTGAATATTGTTCTATAATTCTATTGTGTACTGCCATTGAATATTGTTCTATAATTCTATTGTGTACTGCCATTGAACATTGTTCTATAATTCTATTGTGTACTGCCATTGAATATTGTTCTATAATTCTATTGTGTACTGCCATTGTAATTGCTGTGCAGTAGTTTGCATTGAAATGTAAACCTAGTTAATTTTGGAATACAATTGTTGATTGTATACCATTTGTTGGTTGTTTGTTGGTTTCACACTAAGTTCTTTTACATATTGATTTCTGGGTTAACTTATTGTTTCAATTTGGGATTCAACACGTAACACTCTATTCATTGACAATTATTACCAACAATGAACGTCCATCCACACTCGATACAGCAATATTATATTCCTGGCTGAGAAAATAAAAAAAAATGGATCAGACTGCAATGAAGCCTTTCTCAGACTGGTTTTTGGCTGTAAATGCAATGCGTCACCTTTATGTGAGATACAAGGTTTTTTTGCCATCAGTTTCCTGACTAATCTATTTTTGATGACAGCAATATCATAATTTTCATTTTATTCACACATGAAATGTTTGCACAGGTCATGGCGTATCAAATATAATATTTTGTGATTTCATAACCTGTATCAAACATATGGTTGCTCCTATACCTTATCAGCCAGGAGATGTCTGATTTGCAGGTGTTACTGAGTAGATGACATTTGGAACTACATGTAATACCATCACAAATCTGACTAAAGTCACAAGGCTCTGTAGATCATCTGAAATATGAAGAGTTCATGGTGTCAGTCTTCACAGTTGGATCAGAATTCTGCGGGTATGTTTAGAGAGACCAGAGCTAGGATCATTCATACAAAGTTTCACCTTCATAGGCCTTGTAGTTTCAGAGGAGATGTCAAAATGCAAAAGTCAATGACAGACAGACAGACGTGCTACGACGTAAGCTCACTTGACTTTCAGTGTGTGTGTATGTGACAGACAGACAGACAGACACACGTGCTACGACGTAAACTCACTTGACTTTCAGTGTGTGTGTGAGATAGAGTGAGAGAGAGAGAGAGACTAGAGAGACAGACAGACAGACAGACAGACTACAAGCCTGGGCTAAGTGCTAGCCCAATGACATACCATGCCAGAGTTTAACATGGATATCCCACTCATCTGACACAGTATACTGACTCTGAGCCGTAATGCCAAGTGCCAGGCAGGGTAAAAACTCAAACATGTAAGACAGACATCACATCCTGATACAGGTCATGACATCCTGTGCTTCCTAACAACTGAACCTACCTGGCCAAGAAAACAAAAACAAATTGAAGCTGTTCTGATATATTGATCAAACTTTATACGCTTGCTGACTTGGTTGGTGCATGTCATCATATCCCAATTGTGTGGATCGATGCTCATGATGTCAATCACTGGATTGTCTGGTCCAGACTTGATTATTTACAGACCGCTGTCAAATAGCTGGAATATTGCTAAGTGCGGCGTTAAACAACAAACTTTATACATAACTATTGGGAAATGCGGTATCAATTTCGCCAAGCTGAATAAAAAAATTGTTTTGAAATTGCAATGGGTAACAAAACAAATCAAGAAAAATATTCATTCACAGTTAAAAGGTCCGGAAGATGTTTTTTTTCATCCAATGCCATTTTTTTCAACCAATCAGATTACAGCACACTCTTCCCTTCATTCTGCATTAACAAATAAACAACAGAACAACTACTAGGTGAAGTTTATTGCTTATTGAAACTACTAATGCCAATACAGAACATGTACAAAAG